CGGCGAAGTTACCGAAAAATGACGAGCCGGTCCTCCAGGAATTATTATATAGCTCAGTGGTACAACCTTTGATTATTTGAAAATATACGGCCGTTGCGAGTTGCTATGACTACAGTGTTTCCACTTCCAGAAAAATATCCCCATACTTCTTTTCTCACATACCACGTACCCTCCACACCTCCCAACCAACATAAATTTTCTAACTATCATGTTACAATTAAATAATTTCGAGGGATTGCTGCATGCATGTATTTCTAGTTTCATTATATTAATAGTATACAGGGGCTTAAAGGTGGAAGCTACCAATAGATCGTTTATGAAAAAATCATTGAAATCTTAGATATTTCCTATTGCCTAATGAAATTTTAGATAATTGTAATCGACTTTCTACTTATTCCTTCAAAATAGCACTAATTAAACACCTAAATCAATCAAGAGACTGACAATATTGTCAGGGCACGGCAATTACACACAAATATATCATGTAATTTTGTAAATGGTTTTGTATATATATACAGTACTGCTCAGAAGTAACCTAATGCGACGAACGACATGAACGACTTGACAATCAGCATTCTGTAAAATTTTTTAATCAGCTAACCATATAGTTGTTTAAATAAAAACTGAATGATCAGCTGTGATTCTCAATTTTTCATTAACAAATAGTACAGATATGTGGCGTAATAATATAATTATAATAATCCCGAGCCGCGCCTGTGAGGGTACTACTTCCGCTCGGATATTTACGCCCAGAATGTGCAAATGCGAAAGTCAAGTCAAAGTCGCCCGCCGTTATGCAATGGACCTCACGTCATGGACGGACTTTAAGACCATTTAAGACCATGTGACGTTCACAACTTTAAATTTTGTGCATAACCTACAACTTAGGAATGACTTCAATACAAGACTATGCTATGCTATGCTATGCTATGCTTTGCTATGCTATGCTATGCTATGCTATGCTATGCTATGCTATGCTATGCTATGCTATGCTATGCTATGCTATGCTATGCTATGCTATTCTATGCTATTCTATGCTATGCTATGCTATGCTATGCTATGCTATGCTCAGTGGCGTAACAGCACAACTAGGGGCCCGTGGTAAAAATTTAAAAGGGGCCCCCTACACACGTAACTACATAGTTTCTTGAAGAATTCCATCATACACAAACAAAAACCCTTTTTTTAAAAAAAATTTGTTTCAAACACACCACATGGTTGGCGGTTGTCCAACAAATTCCCAACTACCCCATCTGTTTAATTTTACTTCTATTTCTACGCCCCTTAATTCGCAATGAACTATTCAACAAATTACTCATTATGTCCCCCTTTTGCCCACATATACATAACGTCCTATTTTTTTCTCTAGTTGGTTTAATTCAGACAATTGTTACAAATTAACTTATAACTATATAAGAACTACAATATGGTTCCAATTACCTATGTCAAAGTATAAAATAAACATAAGGTTAAAATTACATATTTCAAAATTACACGCGCGCAAATGAGAAATTGATTTGAAACGAATCATCAATGATTATGTACTTTTCGCCTCAAATATTCTTGTTCTCTGGTACGATTTCGCTCTCTAGCCTTTGAATTGAACTTTTTATATGTAAGTTCGTGCGATTTCTCTTGTTTTATTCATAGAATTACAATAACCTTCTAATCTCACAGGGGCCCCCTTAAGCCAGGGGGCCCGCGGGTTCGCACACCCTGAGCCCATAGTAGTTACGCCACTGGCTATGCTATGCTATGCTATGCTATGCTATGCTATGCTATGCTATGCTATGCTATGCTATGCTATGCTATGCTATGCTATGCTATGCTATGCTATGCTATGCTATGCTATGCTATGCTATGCTATGCTATGCTATTCTATGCTATGCTATGCTATGCTATGCTATGCTATGCTATGCTATGCTATGCTATGCTATGCTATGCTATGCTATGCTATTCTATGGTATTCTATGCTATGCTATGCTATGCTATGCTGTGCTGTGCTGTGCTATGCTGCTATGCTATGCTATTCTATGGTATTCTATGCTATGCTGTGCTGTGCTGTGCTGTGCTCAGCACCCATTGGTAAGGTATACGAACGATAAAGAAAGTAAATACGAACGATGAGAAAGTAACTTCCGTTGTTTCGTATTTTATCAAAATATACTCACAGTTCCCGCAAGGGTAATACGGATGGTATATATATAAATAATATTCCGCAAAGTGTATGCATAGGTGGGATCAATATAAATTTAAATTTAATATACTTTTCAATAGAACAAACAGAAGTAAAGTAAAAATATCAAACTTGAACATATTTATTGGTTTGAGCGCCGCATATGATTTTCAAATGGGACGCTTAATCTTGACATTAAATAAGTTTGAAGGTAGAATATTTATCAAACCGTGGTTAAGATAACAAATAATAACAATAACAATGAGGCCCTTTAGAGTTTGTCATACATATCTGGGTACGAGTAAAAACATGAAGTTTCACAAAACACAAAATTACTCATGAAGTAATTGTGTTGTGTATTTTTCTGATAAAGCAATTGTGAATGTGTATTCGTATTCGATCTTAGTGGTCATATAGAGTTTAGAATGATTCAAAATTTTTTGTGCGTACAGCCCTAAGTATAAAAAAACACACTCGTCTACAAAGACTGTTCAAGACTTTCAGTGCATCCGTGCATATAATCACACAATCCATATTAATTTTGTCATCAAACAGAGTTAGCTATTATAAGACCGTGTTAAAGATATTTAAAACAATTCCTACATCAATTTCGGAACCAATCAAATAAGTAGTACGATACCTCGAAACGAATTCGTTTCAATTCGTTTTAAGGTAACACAGTTTAGCCTGGTTTCCATTTAGTCGTAATTGTCGTAAACATCCTGTCATTTTCAATTATGAGAAGTCGGTATGTAAATTCGTCTTTATTTCTGTATTCAAATCTGTCATTGTTGACTGCAGACGCATAGAAATTAATATTGTATCACATCAGCTATCTTGACATGTTCACGACCCGCACGACTAAAAGGGAACCAGGCATTATAGCCTTTATTTAGCATTTAAGACCATGTGACGTCCACAACTTTAAATTTCGTGCATGACCTACAACTTAGGCATGACTTCAATACAAGACTATGCTATGCTATTCTATGCTATGCTATGCTATATGCTAGGCTATGCTATGCTATGCTATGCTATGCTATGCTATGCTATGCTATGCTATGCTATGCTATGCTATGCTATGCTATGCTATGCTATGCTATGCTATGCTACGCTATGCTATGCACCCATTGGTAAGGTGTGTGTTTTATATGTTCTTCTACACAAATATAAAGTATAACCAACCAGGCAAGCAGAAAATTCTATTTGACCGCGGTGGGAATCGAACCCGCGACCTTCGCATTTCTAGAACGATGCTCTACCGTCTGAGCTACAAGGCCAAGTTGGGAACGACAGTGATTTTACTTGAGATGTTATTCGCATTACGGAGTTTCGTCCTTAAATGTCGTAGTGCAGTTAATTCTGCAAATGTTCATATATGTTGCGATTATATTTTAGCCTTTTTTAAGAGGTTTGTTCAAGATGGGTGCAACCATTCTTTGTGTTATGTAGCTAGCTTTATTTTCTATTTACGCGAGGTAGGAGATCTTTACAAGGTTTTACTAAAGTTCACTAATGTTCTCTTCTTTCTCCGTTCTTCTCTTCTTTTCTTCAACTGATATTCGTCGTTGCTGTCCCTGTCTTTGGTTGTTGGTTTTAAGGTTGAGCTTCTCCAACGTTTCATATGCTTTTTACTCCGCTAGTCCACTCTAGGTTCTGTTGCTGTGCGCCTTTTTTTACAATAAAATTTGAGGGGATCTTGCAGACGTCCTGTGAAAGGTGGTGTGGTTCACACTATCCAATCAGCGTTGTAGGTTGCAAGAGTGGGTTGGCGTTCGAAGCTCGGTCCAGCTCTCATACTTTGTTTACTTAAGGCCGGTGACGCACAAGTCAAGTTGGCCTTTTACTTAATCGATCACTGTTAAAACTTGTTCACAACTTAAAATATTTATCATTAACTTAAGCTACAATTATCATCTTATATACTCTGTGAACCGTATATCTTAACTTATAAACTATTTTACTAATAATTTCAGCGAATTAAGCTTTTTGTGACGTAAGGCTTCAAGTGCTTAACCGAGCAAAATATAACAAAGAAATGATTGAAATAAACTAGTATCCGTCTAGAACTTATGTTCTTGAGTCGTGACACTTGTACTTTGTACGACATACTATTGTTTCGGAGGAAATCCCATGGGCTGTCACCAGGAAAAGTAATTTTGTGATTCCGAAGGGTCATAATGATATTTACTTTACACTTCATTTTGTGTGACATGTTCCCCAAGTAATTTCCTCATCTATATTGACCTTCTATTTTTTTAACAAAGTTAAATTACATTATATATTCGCATTTTGTAACATTTGTAATATATCAGTTTGTACGGTGCATGCATGCATGGGTGGTAAGTGCTTTGAGTCTGCTTGAGAACACATCGCAGGGGGCCGCGGAATAGATAATGAGCTGGTAATGAAGCTTAATAATGTTTATCATCTCATTACCTATTGTTTGATTTGCATTCGACGCGACAAAATGCGACGTTTAACCTAGGCCTATAAGATTCACATATTCAAGTTTTCAGATCAAAAAACAATCGATTTCAAAAGTTACTAATAGTACTCAACGTTAATATTTGAATATTAGCCCCCCACTTAACGAACTTCTGCGGCTCTTACATATAGCCCTTTTTTTCTTTTGAATCTGCCGATACTGATCTCTTGGCGTCAGACGTGAAACTCATTACACAACCCTGCTGCTCTTGAAATTAATTTCCTGTAGCTATATTAGCACGGGCATGATTTAAGATGAATGGATGAATTTAAAATCAGACACTACAAAACGCTGCAAAAATCGGACAGACTGCACAACTTCGAGAAGTTTTGGCAACGTTAGATCAAGAAAGACTAAAAATACGAAGACAGCTTACAGGTATTTACAAATTTTCGTGTATACCTCCAGATTTATATGTGATACCAAATGAAGGAAGTTTTGTTTATTAATTATCTTGCATGTATCCAGAATTAAATCTTGTTTTTTTACACTACGCCCTTTAGTTACTGAGATTTTTCACTATGGCTCTTTACTGGAAAATGTTCGCTTTGCTTCTGGTACAGTATATGTTCATAATCTATAAGCTAACGTCAGCATTATGTAGCTACATATAGGACTAAAAAGAAGTAAATGTTTAATCTTATATGAATTCCAGACCGCGTACTGTGCTGCTTCACGAAGTCTCGATAGTGAGGGGAAAATGGGATTTCGAAGTGTGGTATGTATACAACCAAAAATTGAAAAATCCTAAGCAAACTTTCTTATTGCACGACAAAAAATTCAAACTATTACACCATATAGACGAATTCCATATTGCATATTCCTACAGTTTGCATGCATATATATTCCTACAATTCTTTCCAGCATTATGCATGCGGTCCCTACGAAAATCCCATTATTACATTTATACATTTTTGAACTTCCATAAACTGATGCAAACTCACAAAGTATAAGAATCTACTGGAAAAAATGTTCAACTGGTTGTCTGCTAACAAATTAGCTAATTAAACAGCAGTAATATGACTAACTATTATATATGTCCAATAATTAATATATCTTTCATGAAGAACGATGAAGAAAGTAAGATTGCCCAATATAGAGCTGATAAAGGAGAAGAGAGGACTCTACAGCGTCGATTTTTTGGTGGCAGTTGTAAGTACATATAAGATTCAAAAGGTGGTCTCGTAAAAGTATAAAAAGCTTAAAACCCAGAGACTTAAGCCTGGCGCAAACTGGTATATAAGCTTAGTACGCACATGCACAAGTAATTTATTACAATTATGACTTATACGTGTTTCTAATCTGTGGGGGTAAATTTGAGATATTCTGTCATTAGTGTCGAAACACAAATGACAAAATATCTCCATTTGGTTCCGTATAGATTAGGAATATATGTAGGTCAAGATTGCACGAATGGTATGTGCGGATCGCATATAGTACACGAATCATTTTAGCCATCTCCGTTTGTTTCATGACCATTATATACTGACATAGAGTTCAAGGTTTTAACGCGGATGGCATCACATATTAAAGTGTAGGCGATCGCATTCTCCTTCGTTAAAAGCACATATTTCATGGGCCGATTCGAATCAACGTTATAAAAGGGTTTTTTTCCATCAATTTTTGCACTGTTGTCGACAGTTTTATGCATCGGTAGTTAAATTACTTTTGTTACAAAATTCAAACCCTTTCAACTCTTTTTGTCATATTCTTTCTTTTCACGAAACAATACCTTCCTAATATGCTTTGACAACGTAACTTTAGCGATAATAGATCAACAATTCGAAATCTTTTTTTCTTGTTTGACAATATAGGCCAGACGGGAACCGTAGCAGCTAAAAACTGTTATCCCAATTATAAGTCGTGTAAATCGAGACGTTTTCCAGTCACATTTCGAAAAGTGTTCCACAGAGCGCCTTCTGTAAGCGTTTCTTTGGCTGGTCTTGATGTAGACTATAAATTCAATCTCCGTGTGGATGGCTCGGCCGTGAATATAAAACCTACCGGCTTCGATTTAAAGCATGGCACTTGGGCCGACACAAGAATCTATCACCTGAAATATTCTTGGATTGCATGCCCTGATTAACACTTCCTGTCATGTCACCAAGGAACTCAAGTGCTTCAGAACTAATGCTGCTGCATGAAAGTTCACTTTAATTTCGCTTCATAATATTTCATTGATATAATACTCCGCTTGACAAGTTGTATAGAATCTACTAAACTGCTTGTATAGTTGTAGTGCTTTTGAAATAAAAATCCTAATGATTACATGTGATTCTGAATTTTCCTTTCAATAAATAGTACAGAGGACGGTTGTATACGAATGCCGGATAACGCTATTCACTCGATAGTGGGTTTTTTAAACGCTTCAAATATGTCCGTGGTTTAGTACACTTTGAATTGAAGCTTCGTCCGATTACAACGACATGCTTTAGTAAGATTTTTTATTTATATAGTATTTTTCATGTTTATATAAAAGTTCATTTCTCTGCATTTCTTGAAGTTTCTTTGTATAGATGAGTGTGTTTTTTTCATACTTAGGATTGTACGCACGAAAAATTTTGAATCATTCTAAACTCTAGCCTATATGACGACTAAGATCGAATACGAATACACATTCACAATCTCCTCATCAGAAAAATTTAACGTCTCTGTTGCTATAGCAACGGCTGCCAAGCACAAGTTCTGAATAGATTTCGGCTCTAGGTATATGTTGCCAGAAGATACATAAAATTTTAGTCTTCTAGTCAAACATTTAGACGCTGAATATCCCTGTTTAAAATGTGCATTTAATAATTTGGAGAAACTGTAGGGAGCCACCTTAAGAGGAATAATATTCCTCTTAAGATGGCTCCCTACAGTTTATCTGAAATGGATTAAGGCCGTTTACTGTATTGCGTCAAAATATCTCGATAATGGGGAAAAGCTTGATTTTCGCAGAGTAGTATACAGTCGAAAATTTGCATATCCCTTGCCGCATGACTTTCTTATTTCTACGATTTTTTAATATCTCGTATATAGCCTTTGTTAAAATCCATGATTACATTCACTAAAAAGACTTATTTTTCGACAGTTTTATGAGGCGTATATGCAGCGTCGTTAGCCTCAAAGCGATTTTTTGAGCGCGTCGATTTTTTGACCGCCGTTCCAGCTGTGAAAACATCTTACGATGCAAAAGGTGGTCGTGTTAAAATATATAAAAAGCTCAAAACGTAAAGCTCAGCGTGCAAAACATCATGGGGGATCACATATACATATCATTTTAACCTTCAGTTTCCTTGATACAAAATAACTTTTCTATAAAACATCCATTTTACATATAGTTTTTTCCTTTGTATGTAAACTAAGCAAACTATTCACAAGATTTTTTTATTAAAACAGAGAAACTCCGAAAGCTAAAATTAGAAGTTGAACCGCCCACTTTTGGATCAAAACCAGACGGCAAACACATATAAAAATTGAATAATAAAATAGATCCGATAAATTCACAGGATTAGCAAATATGCTATAAAGCTTGTTACATTCATAGCATTGAGAGTTAAAATTTTCATCAGCCCATGAGTTATCGGAAATCACCGACTAGGAAAATTACATTGGTTCGTCAGCCTTAAAAAACGCATATACTAAAGTGGAACCTCATTTAGAGGGTTTTTTATCTAGACTGTACTTACTGTTTATGCTGAATGACCAAGCAAAATTTGACCAATGTAGCGAATCTATCACCGCGATTTTGCATTTGCAGCGATAGTTAGGTGACCTTTGTGCAAATTTATTCTTTTTATGAAAAAAAAACTTCAAAAAATGCTTCTTTTTTAACATAAGGCGAGACGGGAATCGTAATAAAAATACAGCTACGCGGCTTCGATGTAAAGCATGTCCCTTGGTATGACACCAGGCTCTATCATGTAAGATATTCTTGGATTGCCTGAAGTGCTTAACATCTTCCGCGTTTTCATGGAACTCGACAGCGTCACAACTACTGCTAAAAATACGAATTCAATTTTGCTTCCTGCTATTCTTTTTCATAGAATGCTCTGCTTAATAATTTGTACAATTTCCTAATCTGCTTGTATAGTTGTGCTTTTTAAATTAAAAATCACATTTTAAAAAACGTAAACAAATATATCGACGATGTAACAGCGATCTAAATACATAAATATTTTTGCCAAAAAGAGTTGAGCGTGCACCGTTCAACAATGTAGTTTTATTTTCCATAAAAATGTTTATTTAAATACGCTTTTTCCCAACCCAATATAGCTATTCCCGTATAAGAAACCACACGGCAGAAAAAATTATACGACTTTGTTATATAAAATGAGTTATAGAAATTTCATTTAAAGATACGCCAAGAATGTCTGCAAGTAATGCAAAAATTGAAGAATTGAAAATTGTTAGACCATGCACGAGCCTTTCTAAATTAAAACATCCTGACTTGGAAACTCTCTATCTATATATAGAAGTCCTATTTTCTTGTTGCACCAGAATCCCCAACACTTGTGACGAATTGTTATGAAGTTGGTTTTTGAAAAGTTCTTCGCGAAGAACTTATCCCCCTCCCCCCCCCGCGCGGGGATACAGTAGCTCAACATGACCCATGCTTGGAGTCGCTGGTAAATATACGCATACCTAATTTTGTTACCATGCATAAATTTGAACTTTATCTCTTAAATAATTATCCTATTATGCATGATTCAAAAAACTTAATTTTTCTAACAAATATGTTATATGTTTACGCGAGTAATAATGTTTTTATTCATCAAGATTTTTCAATGAACGAGCATTCAAATCTCTTTGGGCAAAGGCAGAAACTCGCCAAAAATTGTATCCTAAAAATTTTTCTTCCTTTTCCCAGTGAACGTTAAACACTGGGAAATATAAGTTAGAAACAATATATAGCGCCCAGGTTTATTTATGTAACCTGCGCGAGAACATTTCTACTCAAACTATTAATAATGAAGAACATTACTGGACATGACCATGCATGCCAGTTCGGTACATATATAATAAAAATCACATTTGGAAATAATGAATTTCCGGCTGAAGAATGAATTTCCAAATCTAGCAGGAAACATGAAATTTTGCTTCCTGCCAACCCAGGAAACAAAATTTGTTTTCGCAACAATGTTACCACTGTTGAATGGCGAACAAGAAAACATTTGAAGGAACATTGCAAAAAATGTTACTACATGGCAATGTTTTCTAGTCTGTTCAAATCTATATAGTGAAACCAAACGCGACAGCTAGATGGACCTATTATAGAATAGCAAAAAGGACTTGCCGAATTAGGCCGTAGGATGAGCATCCAAAAGATGCTTAGAAAACGGATTCCGTTGCACCCCTCGTGAAACTACATAATTTTCACATGAATCAATAGATAAAAACTTACTTTATCAGAATCCGTCGCTCCCCAAGCGAAACAGGTGCACAATTGGGAAAACAATCCCTCCAAAGTTTTCTATATTCGCGCTTCGAAATATTCAAATCGCCATTGTTTTAGTAGCAAATGCGCATGCGCTTGTCAGCCAAACACGCACTGCGCACGCGCATAAGCACGCACATGCTTCGAGTTATGCAAAATAATCATGGCTGAAGATATTTATAACACTCGAATATCCTCATGTTTTATTCATTTTGATGGCGTTACGGAGCAACTTTGCAAAGTTACACGCCAAAGGCGTAAGAAATTTCTTGAGTGTAGGTCCAAAATGGGCCAAACTTAAATGTCAACAAGCTGAAATAGCTAAGAAATCTTACGAAAACATCGATGACGGATCTGTCAATTCATACATGGAGAAGAACCCTGACAGCATTAACTGAGAATGGTACCATCATATGAAATGCTGGAAGAGATTTTGTGATGAAGAGAAGATCCGTAGACAACAGCGAAAGGAAGAAAAAGGAGAAGGCACTAGCTCTGAAACTGTAACTCCTACCGAAGGACTACATGTGAAAGTGGAACCAATGGAACCAAGGCGAAAAATTACACGACAATCAGTCGCAGACGTTAATAAGACCCTGCCTAAAAGAAACGAGCATGTACTTCCAGAGATATGTATTGTTTGTGGAAGAGATTCCTCTTAGTTCTCACTAGACAAGGTATGGTCATTTTGATAGATATAATTATACTAGTGCAATGTGCACTAGTAGCTGGTGCAATGTGCACTAGTAGCACAGCATTCTCGAGTTTGGTTTTAAAATATCTTGAATTGTGGTCAATTAAGTTTATTTAGTCTTAGGGTAAAGTAGTTTCTAATGCTACAAACATCCAACTGTGTTATTAGCAGATATTAAGTTTAATAGTTTTGTTCACACCAGGTGACTAAGAAGAGAAGAAGAACCCCACTCATGTTGGCAGAAACAATTGATGCTGGTCTTCTACGTACAGCTGCCGAGAGAAAGAATGATGAACGGATACTCGTGTAAATCCGGGGGAAAGACTGTGTAGCACTGGAAGTCCGCTATCACAAAGTTTGCTACTGCAATCATACAAATTTTCTCACCAGAGAGACAAAGAAGCAATTGGAGACTGAAAGATCTACAGTGTACGAGAAGTCTTATGATGTCTTCTGTAAGAAAGTAATCGAGACTGAGGTCATCGCAAATAAGCAAATAAGGTACATGAAAGATTGCTGGAGAAATTTGTTATCATTGCTAAGGACACCGAGAATGTGGATGCATCTAAATATAGAGCTTTTAAACTCAAGCAACGACTGATGAAAAGTTATCCCCAACTTGTGTTCTATGTACCGAAAATGAGAAATGTTAGTGAGATTGTATATGTGGAAAATTTGGATTCTTCCGAATTGGTTGAGGAACATATGTCAAACAAGTCAGAAAACAACGATGAAGACTTTGATGAAGAGAGCTATACCGGTACCATTGATGATGATGATCTGAATTCCAACACAGAAACTGAGGGAAATTCTAAAGTCAATGAGTTACAAATTCTATACAATGCTGCATTGATTCTTCGCCAAAAGGTCCAAGATATACCAAAACTGAATCTTCCTTGGCCACCATTGGCATCTGATTTGACAATAGATAATGTGCAAAAAGTGGTTCCATGTGAACTTTTTAATGTATTGGCTTGGACTTGTGGATTCTCTTCAGAGCCAACTTTAAGTGAGTACGTGCCAATTGAGGGCAAGAACAGTTCCAAACTAACATCAATTGTACAAGACCTTGTGAATTTAGCATCTGGGGGAAGGAATCTTACACCCAAGAGCATAGCACTTGCCATGGCACTTAGACAACTGACAGGTTCAGCCTCAGTAATTTCTCTATTGAGTGGCTTTGGACATTGCATGTCACACTCATTTGTATTGTGCCATGAAACTGCCCTTGCACAGATGAATATATCCAATGATTCTGCTATTCCTCCAGGCTTTGTTAGTGATGTTCCAACTACTCTTGCATGGGATAATGCGTTTGGCCAAGGCTATATTTAAGCGAAATATTTAACTTGTTTCTTGATTGTGTGAGTTGTATGTATATTTATATATTCTCCGTCCTGTTTGATACAGGTGGGTTTTTTACCTCACAAATTTTTATTGAATTAAGATGTTAATAAGTAGAATTATACGTTAAAACGGTATTTTGAAACAATAGCCAATAAATTGAAGTGATTTAGCATATGAGCAAGCAAAATGTACAATGTGTTTTAACAATATTTATTGTGTGTGTATTTATTCGTTAATATTACAAGGTTTGATCTTTATTCTGTGATTTTATTTTGTTATTTTTACACGGGAAATCGGGGAAAACCCACAGGGAAAATCCATTTTTCCTGTCTGCGCGTGCGCAGTGCGAGTTTGGCTGACAAGCGCATGCGTATTTGCTACTAAAACAATGGCGGTTCGAATATTTCGAAGCGCGAATATAGCAAACTTTGGAGGGATTTTTTTCCCATTTGTGCACCTGTTTCGCTTGGGGAGCGACGGATTCTGATAAAGTAAGTTTTTATCTATTGATTCATGTGAAAATTATGTAGTTTCACGAGGGGTGCAACGGAATTGCATCTTTTGGATGCTCATCCTACGGCCTAAATTTAAGCAGGCTGATTTCATGTAGTAATTTCAGTGGAGTTTTAGCGGTCATCCTAACAAAATTGCGCACGCTATCACATGACAAGAATTTCAGCTAGGCTTGGAATTTTAGCCTGGTTTGAGTTACCCGGGCTGAAATCACTCCATGTAATCAGCCCCTCAGATGCGAAAAATACAGCCGACTCAGATTACAAAATATTTTATATCACGCGCAGTATAAGAAACCTCTTTAAACATGGACATTTCGTTGTTTTTGCTAAGCATTTAGTGATGTTTTTTTAAAACAACCAAATGATACGAAGATGTAATAATGAAAATATAACTTACGAATTCATCAATTGTTCGTTGTCTAGTCATGGTCTCGCGAGGCATCTTGGAACTCCCCAAAGATGTCCCCAAACTTCCCTTGTCACCGCTACTACTGCAATCTGGAAACACACGGGGATATAATGTGGTTAGACTCGGACAGACGCCAGGCAAATAATATTATTAGATCATACACAAGCGCTGGATATGAGCTAACTTGCAATCTGATTGGCTCTCTACTAGTCAGATATTAGCTCGTATCTGTCTAGTAGAGAAACGAAAACACAATGGCGGCAAGATTTGGGGAGTCAAGCGACGATGAAATTCAAGTTTTCCTTGATAAAAGTATACCAAAGTACACCGAATAGGCGACAAACTTTGAAATAAAAGTATTCAACGCATGTTATTGTTTCAAAACATAAAATCAACCTTTCATCGGTGATCCACCATCTGAGTCAGTGGACGAGTTTCTCTTTTTTCGTTGGACACTGGGAGGAAACGATTTTGAAGGATCCCCTGATAACCTGATTGTTGACAAATAAATAAAAAATGTGAACAAATATAACAAAAAAATGCAATATTTATAACATATCTTGAAAAACTTACTGCGTGTCTGGATATAAGATATAAACAATAGACTAATTAGAGACTAATAGATTATAAGGTATGGCGGGCAATTAGGGTCATAAAAATCCATTCTCTTCCTATTTTATCTCTAAGTAGAATTTTTTGTTATTATAGTTTCCTTGCACATAACGTCGCGGTAGGCATTTGTAAGGACATATTGAAGAGCACGAATTTTGTAAATTTTTGGTCTGATACAGAAATGATAATTTGTGAAGTTGAAGCTACTTTTTAGAATTACTTCATATTTTTGCTATATAAACTTTCACTACTCGTATGGTAACTCTTGTTAGTAAGACAAGGAAGCTTTTGAAGGAGAACTCTTAGTGATAATATGACGTCAGTGCAATGGATTATTGAAGTTTGATCATTTTTCCCTAATCAGGACTAAATGTCTCCACGTGAAACGAACACCTACAAATCAGTTGCAGGAGCGTCCTCTCTTGGTGATGCAGGAAAGCTTGTTGGCGTAGAAGGAGAAGGAAATGCATAGTTCTTTCGTAGAAAAACGCACGTGCCAATACCACGCACTACGATACCAGATTCACCCTCCAAATCAAAATATTGCTGGTATCTGTAAGTGAAAGATGTGGAAAAAGTTTGGCGTAAATACAAATTTTGTTGGTGTTTAAAAAAGTTTTGAAAATGATCATAACGCTTCAGTTGCAAAGAACATTTATCCTCAAGAGGCTGTTTGTTACTATATATATACATGTGAAACACAAACAATTACTAGAATATTGAAGTCAGTGTAAACCACAAAATATTTTAACTAATTACAGATAACTTTTGCGCAAATGGCAACGTAGTTAAAGTGGCCCCCTACTATTATGAAAATTGAGCTCAGGCATGCATGACGGCTCTAAGAAGTTCATGCTGACTTACGCCCGTATTCAAAAAGCTCACTCACACTCATACTCATCGAGTGTGACATATAAATTTCTTTAATGCTGATCAATGAGAAAGTTTTTTCTAAATAGATGGAAAGATATAAGGTAAATCACTGAAAATCAAGCCCCTGTTCGGCTGGAAATACCGCCATTAAAACGTTATGAGAGGATTAAGATCTCCCACTCAATGAGTGTGAGTGTGAGTGAGCTTTTTGAATACGGGCCTTAGTATTGAAGGCCTAAGAGAAGTAAAACGTATCAATATAGATTGTAGATTGTATTATTCTATTAGTTTGTAGGCTGTATGCCATTTCTCACCCAATGACGGCGTTTCCGCCCATGTCAAGGACTTTCAATCCGATTTTTCTCTGCAGTTCACCTGGATTTATATAAATGACGAATATCTTCAGAATAATGCAACATTAGACCATTTCGATAGTAGCCATGTGCTTTAAAATTTTCGTTTGTTTTAACAACTTACCCGAAAGTTTCTGGAATAGCCTCTGACGGGCTTCGTTCGTGGATCTCGGAGTGCGGAAATTATCAATCCACTAAAAAACAATATTTCTGGTTTTGAATATTTTTTGTTTAATTAACTTACTGTATTACTATCTGGCGTTTGGAAAAAATATCCACACATTTTGGGCCGCACTTCCGACATTTTCCACAGCTTCCGATTGCATTTATATATGCAATAACTATAGTTGAAAAGTTAGGGGGAAAAATCACCTGATATTCCGGGTCATCATTCACTACCAACTCTTCAACAAAACCATGAAATGCAATAGCTTTGTAGCAGCTTGGAATTGAAGGAGCTATAAGCATAAAAAAAGGTGGATATGTATGCATGTTATCATTTAATAACCCAGGAATATTGTTATAATATCCTAAACCACATTTCGACTCCTTCGGTCTACTTTCATTCGGCGAGTCTGGGCGTTTGAGGCCGACCAGTTTTGCGGTCAAGATTTTTTATTTTTTTGTAGTTTTTGGTGCGATGACATAGGCTGGTTTTCACCACAGCGTTATAGCTGATCGATGTGCCTCCACTGTTCGCTTTTAGGGGTCAGTACACCTCTTTCCAGGTCTTCGGAGTACTTTGCCCCAAGTAATCCGAGTAAAACCTCATTTTCAGGTCCTTGTAGTGCTTCGAGAAAACCCCCGATCAACTTTCAGAAATTAACGCATAACCAAATGGATGATCCGTTGAAATATTTTAAGACAAGCAGATACTACATGCAAGCGACGTTTAAATAAAACTTTAGGTAAATGTTGGTAGATGGGTTATGTGAATTGATTCAATAAACATGGACGGTCAAAATTACCGGTAGGGTGAAAAATTGTCCAGCCAAAAAGCATGTTAATTTCTAACATCGTGGAGTCCACGAGGGCATTAACTGCATAGAAAGCAGAACCAAAAAAAATATTCATGCCTTACTTGTAAAAAACTGCACCCCGCACGATGACTGACGAAACTTGTTTGCATCAACAAAAAAATCGACTTTGACATCGATCTTGATTTCTCCACGTATCCCTATGGAATTTAGGTTTAGAATGAAAATAGCACATTCTGTCATGTTTACAAAGCAGACAATTCAAATTACTGTTTACGTCCATTCAAGTAATACGCATGCCACGTTTACATTTTCAAATGCAGTATTTCAAAAAATATCATGTAATATTAAATTGATCGCTTCAATTTCGGTTCGATATACTTCTTAATCAATATATGGCCGAGTTTAGGTTTAGAAATATTTGAAAAAGTAAAATCTCGCTTCGCACAAAAATTAACGCTAGTGGAAAACCGGCTTAACGGCGACACAGACCGGACGCAATGAGGCAACTTGACGCGAATTTTTAGTTTTCAGAAGAGTATAAATAAAATTGTGGAAGCAAAATTTGGAAACTATGGACGCCAGAGCAGTCAAAATGTTTTATTGTTATGTAATCTATAAGAATATTATGATAGTTTAAAATTTATTTGATTTTGAAAAATAAAAACGTTGCCAATTCTCGTCCGGTCTGTTTGGGCCTTAAGACATTGGAGGCAGCGTCCCTCCATGCGACCATAGCTTTCTATTTTCTACAGCCACGTGACTTACCGTGCATTGTGTCGTAGATTGGGAACCATCCTGATAAGGATTTTGGAGAATCATTACTCAGCAGGCAATTCAAGCTAATGTTTACCTTAAATACAATCAGCGGCCATGTAAGTAACATGCATGTACTCCTGTGGGGTGTGCGCATATTTTGCGGACAGGGATACAATATTCTTCTATCAGCCCAAGTTAAATACGATAAATTCTCAAATTCTTAGTCTTCACCACTGATCTTGTAATACACTGGATATAGAAGCCACTAGCATGGACAGTAGGTGTTTGGAGAAAAATAAACGTAGCATAAATTTCAAAAATAGAATAATTTCTTGGACAAATACTAAAAAATTAACTATAGCGAATGAACATTGCTTTGTATATGAACCTTAGTAGGTAATTACAAAGGTGATTACTGAATTTCTCGTCTCTGATTGGTCGAGGAACCTCGGATAATCACGGATAGTCAAAATTCACAAGCGAATTTTTCAAAATGGCGGCAAGTTGTTTTTCAAAGTAACACTGACAGGCTATTTTTAACAAAAATACTGTACCTAAAAGAAGTGACACAATTTGGCCTAGGTCATTTATTTGATTTATTTCTAGGTTAAACTACCTTGTAGAATGCTTTTTAACTTTATTTCACGAAAACATGGTTTTATTATATAAATAAACCGAATTAAATTATTATTTTTTATACGTTTGCAAAACCCATATTTTCTTCAACAGATTCGTTTTTTCAAACATTCACCTTTGTAATTATACTAAAACTATTATTATTCGCAAAAATGTAACAGTCATCTTAAAATGATAGTCCAAACCATAAATAGTGCAAATTCAGTTTGCATGGGAGTGTTCACCTTTCCTATAGCATCATGTGCAGTGTATGTGTCATAATCCATAACACGGAGCTGCAAGGTTTCTTCTTGCAGATCCTCGTCATCAACCTGGCAAGCCAACAACATATTTGAGGTATAATATGGGGCCACAGAGGATTGTTAAGTGGGGGCAAATATATGAATTTTCATGCTAACAGACAGTAAAAACAATAAATTTCAAAAGAAACTAATAATGTAAAATGTGAATATATGAATATTTCCCCCTCCCTGACTTAACAATCTACCATGGCCACTACCATGGGTATAATAATGTCAAAGCATGTTAACTCTGCCCCCTTCCTCTCCCCAGGGATGGATTTACTGAAAGGGGTACAGTGGGATGTACACACCATTAAATTAGTCCCAAAAGGTTGCAAAAGGGACAAAAATTGGGGTAGTAATTTTAATTTGGGGTAATTATTATGTACAAAAATTAGTACCCAATTATAAGTATTTTAGTGCATTTAGAACTTCTCTGAGGTACTGACAATCTGGGATTCTGGGTAGCACAATTTTGGTCTCATTTTTAAAACTTCTCAAACAAACATACATTCTTACATCCCTAAAAACTGGTGCTTGTACCCTAATCCGTGATCGCTGCAACAAGTTTACGAAATCATGGGACCACCCCACTATACACTTTAAATAGTCCCCTAGCTGCCCTGTTATTACTAATTAATGTGGAACAAAGAGGAAATCTTAAAAGAATAATGTCAGCTGGATATACTAAAAATTTGTTCCGGGTGAGAATGGATGAGTAAAATTGTGACAAACAGCCATTTCACAAATGTTGTGTATTATACTTGGATAATGCATTACGATTTAACCTTTATTTCCCATAAAAATGGACAGGACATTTAATAATTCTTTTCAACATTACATTTTCATACAAATTTCAGTAATGCAATGAAATTAAATCCATTTACTCACTTCAAACCTGTACCAGTCAGAGTTCCAAATTGGGTTCAATGATTTTTTACAAACTTCAGTTTTGTAGAATGTATTTCCCAACTTCACCTAATCCAACACAAATTCAGTATGTTCAAATTTAATATAATTGCAAACGCTCAATGATCATGTGCCTAAATCCACACTTACTAAATCATGCACACTCTCTGGACTTATCCAGGAGCAGTTCAATATAGCTTTATATATCTCTCTAATAGCAATTGAACTTGTGGTTTGGAAACTGAGGGACAGAGTCAGGCATTTCTTATCTTATCCTCCCTATCTTCTTCAAACAAGTCCCCTTAAAATGGATTAACCTGGAGTAGACCTGTGTTAATTTGACTGCAGTAGCAAGTATCAAATGTTGTATAAGTATAGTTCATGTCGTACACAAAGCGCTACTGGTATGCAAAATTAGGGCATATTTTTGGACAAAAAATAGCCTCCCATTCTTACGAGGAGAACTAGTGTGCAAAAGCTGCTGTAAGCCTGTAACCCCCCTGCAAGGTTGCTCAACAATATCAAAGTTTCCATAGTAGAACTTTTGCATTGATAAATTCTAGTGCAGAAGATCAAGAGTAAGATCAAGGTAAAGCACAATTCATCGTCTCTTGGGTATTCTTAGCAAATACTTCAATAATACACTACTATTGCCAAACTAAAGTAAAACATTCAGTTAGCCCACTATAGCAAGATAGCATTGTAGATAGATTATAGTTCATCCAACTACAAGGACTTGCCTACCTCTGCAAATGCATCTGCCAAATCACTGGAACGGTCCATAACCGGCAATCCTCGTGCTGATACAATACGCACTTTCACTTTACCAGGCATGGTGCACGAGTGAATGTTATGATATGTCGTTAATATACGTCGTTAATAGAGGTACAAATGAACATAAAGTACAATTAACTGTAAACGTCAGCTAAAAATACTGTACATGAATAACACATTTGTTGCAAATATCATCGAATGTTTTTTTCGCTAGAAAATAGATTTCATGACTGTGATCCGAGACCAACAATGTAATCTTATTAATCTACCAGAAACGTGAAGGAAACACTCGTTCATAAGTACCCGCCATGTTGCTTTATAAACAAATGTCAACAGTGAAATTACATGAAGTAACCGTGCGTAAATGAATAACGAAAAACGGATCCATTAGACGTAGCACCGACATTATAAGATTATTTTACATGTCGCAGCTCTCGGAGGCTTTTGTGCAATAGGATAATGCTTGTCTATACTTTCTATAGAACGAAGCTATGCTATTGGTTGAAACAGAAATGTATTGTAAAGTTCAGCCAGTGAAAACCATTCTTTGAGGAGCTGCAACACTACCCTTTTTTTTAGGGAATTTTAGCAAACATGACGGCAAATCTAATTTTAATGATAAGGAGGTTTAGCATGAAACCGGTTTTCCGCTAGCGATATTTTTCGCAGAGTTTTGTTCTAGTGGAAAACCGGCTTGAGGACGTGAACATCAAAGACAGCCTGAAAATGCCGAATGAATGGCGTGGCCTGTCCATATATGGACGCAACACGCCATTTACTCGCAATTTTCACGTCCTCTTTTGACGACTTTCGAATTAAACATTCAAATTTATCTTGAAATATGCATACATAGATCTTCTTCACAGATGCCACCTTCATATAAAACCTCGCACGCCAGAAACCTGTTAGGAGAAGCATGAATGTGACTGACTCCTATATAACATCCAGCCCGTGAATACGTGTGTTGTTGAATATAGCGCATTAATCGTTCGGTATATACTTAACTAATTTTAGCGCAATTTGTGCATATATGCTCATTGCAAAGACGAGATTCTGGTGATGATATGATGACGTGTCATGGTCATGCTCATTTACTTGTATGTTTGGATATTCACATTATGATTTCCACGTTTCTTACTTCCTTGAAAGATCAACTTCATCGAGCCCCGAATATTACTGATTGACAGGCCAGCAATGAGGGAAACTTACCAAGTCGACGGCCTAACAAAACTTTTGAAAAGCGTTTGCTTTATACAAATGCCAGTGGGCAGGAAGTAAAAATGCTCTTTTTGGAAAATCCTGTCCAAGGAAATAAAATATCCTGCTGATGAGAGATATAAGGGGAATTCCCGAGTAAAAATAGGCTTCATTGTAAAGCGCCGGGTTTTCTGTGAAGAAGAATTCGTGAAAGTATTCCAGTTCGCATTTCTCAGAATATCTCATTCTCCATTTTTCTGTCGCTTTATTAATGTGTTTACATTTTTTTAAGTCATATTTCTTTTGTTTCTTGAATTAACTTGTCCACTTTTGATCTTAAATACGCTCTTTATTGCAAGCTTGTTGCCGGCAAACACTTCAATGTGAGAAGCCGCACTATATGGACGAAATGTCAATAAGTTAAGACTGAACTAACACACCGGTCTCTTGGCAAGTAATGCTCTGTCTCTCAGTAACCATAATGCGCAAATTTAACTTAACTACGGCATTTTCGGAAATTTGAGATCTACTAACGAAATAACCGAACACTCAACAGCGACATGGGGAATATTCCTGTAAACAATGAAGTTTCGACAAGTTTCCTTTCGCTAGGAGATGCAATCGTTGGCGATCCACAGCTGGCGCGACTACGCTAAGGAAAGCATATGTTGGTTCTTATGTTGCTGGAACGGTGGAAATGATAAAAGGCCGCAAGTAACAATTTTAGAGACAAAGCATTAGCTGCCCAGAGATATGACCTATCCACCTATCTAGACCTATCTAGACCTATCTAGAGATATGACCTATACATTAATAAAGCGAAAGAAAAGAGAGAATGATATATTCTGAGAAATGCGCACTGGAATACTCTCAGAAATTTTTCTTCACAGAACACCCAGCGCATAACAATAAAGTCTATTTTTACTTTTAACCACGGGTTTCTTTTTTGTGGTAACGTAAGAATTCACTGCATTGACATATTATTCACGTTTGATAAACAAACAACAAACGTATCACGCGTTAATCTTCTTCACAGATGCCACCTTCATATAAAATCTCACACGCCAGAAACCTGTTAGGAGAAGCATGAATGCATGTGACTCCTAATCATAACACCCAGCCTGTGAATACGCGTGTTGTTGAATATAGCGCAGTAATCGTTCGGTATATACTTAACTAATTTGTGCACAATTTGTGCATATGCGCTCATTGCAAATACGAGATTCTGGTGATGATATGATGACGTGTCATGGACATGCTCATTTACTTGTATGTTTGGATATTCATATTATTATTTCCACGTTTCTTACTTCCTTGAAAGATCAACTTTATCGAGCCCCGAATATTACTGATTGACAGGCCAGCGATGAGGGAAACTTACCAAGTCGACGGCCTAAAAAAACTTTTGAAAAGCGTTTGCTTTCTACAAATGTCAGTGGGCAGGAAGTAAAAATGCTCTTTTGGGAAAACCCTTTCCAAGGAAATGAAATATCATGTAGATGAAAGATATAAGGAAAATTCCCCACTAAAAATAGACTTCATTGTAAAGCGCTAGGTTTTCTGTGAAGAATTCGTGAAAGTATTCCAGTTCGCATTTCTCAGAATATCTCATTCTCCATTTTTCTGTCACTTAATTAATGCATTTATATTTCTAAGTAATATCTCTTTTGTTTCTTGAATTAACTTGTCCACTTTTGATCTTAATCCTTGCGGGCAGTAGTGAGATTTGAGGACATGTCCCACTGAGCGCATAGGCTTGACGAGGCCGCATGGATAGCTTTGAGTTCGGTCATGTATTTAGCTACCAATCATCCATCAGTTGTTAGTTGGCTGGAAAGATATAAGAGATTCGAGAAAAAATTTTCGGAGAATGCAAAAATCCCAATCTACATAGATTGAAATTAATTTCACTACCTGCCACTTTTAAAAGAAGGGTTTTTTAAATGGAAATTTTTTGGAATTCCCCTGATTTCTCACCTTACAGGATATTTTATTTCCATGGATAGGGTTTTCCCAGAAGAACGTGCTTCTTCCTGCCCACTTGCATTTGTATATAAAGCATACGCTTTTCGATACAAGATAGTTTTGTTTGACAGTGGACTTGATAAGTCGCCCTCATTGCTGCTATCAACCAGTCATCTTCTGACCTCGATAAAGTTGATCTTTCAAGGGATTAGAAAACGGGGATATTTAAAGGTAAGCACTTGACTAAAATATGTAACGCTATTTGTTCATCGCCAGCACTTTCCTCACGGCAATAGTTTCCTTCTCTTTACACTTAATGGCCATGCGTCTAATTGCCGTTGTCGCTTATTACCGTCTCTGTTCAACTCTGCTAAGCGAGTTAAACTGGAAAATATATAGATAAAGCCATGAACGGGATAATACTTCAACAACAATGTAAGTTTTCTGTGCCACGACAGTAATAGTTCATCACATATTTGCTCTGCTTCGTAATTTTTCGGCAAGAAATTACTGTTACAAAAATACAGCCTGTTTTAAACCATATGGCATAAGTTGAATAATAAAACATACGAAGTGAAAGAGCATGAGACACGACACAAGTCATCATATGATCACCAGATTGTCGTCTTTGCAATAAACATATATGCATAAGTCGTGTTAAAATTAGATAAGCATTTTCGGCAAACGAAAGGAAACGAACGAAATGCACACTGGAATATTTTCTGGAACTCTTCTTAACAGAAAACCCGGCGCTTAAAAATGGAGTCTAGTTTTATTTATCTCCGCAATTCCCCTTATTAAAATAATAATTTAATTTATCCATCTTAAGTGAAAAATTACAAGGGATTTACAATTGTTGAATATGATTAAAGTATGTATATATACAAGTAAAATAAGTTTACATTTTAAAATATGTCTATAATAGTACATGAAAGTATGGATACCTATAGCTATATACAGGGTTAAATTATGGATACCTATATACTTGAAAGAATTACGTCCATAATAATTATAGTGCATTATAGTCCTTGGGATAAACGAGAGTTTAAGACTATTAGTATGAGAAAAGAATTGCGGTAGAGTTCTTGGAATTCTTAGATCATATTATTGAGTGAGTTCTTGGAGTTCATATGTCGATTTCTCACCTTACAGGATATTTTATTTTCTTGGACGGGGTTTTCCCAGAAGAGCATTTCTACTTCTTGCTCACTTGCATTTTTATAAAGCATACGCTTTTCGATTTAAATAGTTTTTAGTTTGCGTGACTTCCCTCATTTCCGCTGTCAAACAGTCATCTTCTGCATGGCCTCGCGATAAAGTTGATCTTTCAAGGGAATTGGAAACGGGGATGTTTAAGTGTAAGCATTTGGCTAAAATATGTAGCTAACGTTACTTATTCATCGACAGCACTTTCTTCGCGGCAATAACTTCGGTCCCTAACACTTAATGGCCAAGCGTCTTGCCTGTTTTAAAAATATCAAATTAAAATGAAATTTACCTTCATTTCAAGCAAATGTGCGCAGGCGCTTTCGATACTAAGGCTCGGCTTGACATAACAGAATGAAAGAAAGTTCCATGGCTGACTACTGACATGGGCGGACGAAGCCTTACAACCAACTGAGATTCGTTACAAAATATTTGCTTAGCACACGAGGTTTATTTTGACCACTGTTAAAAAATACTAACCCACGAAATAGAAAGTGGGACAAACTCGGGGACGTTTCTAAGGGGAATTCCCAAGAGTTGAAAGTTGTGTTCTCCTGAGCTGATCAGCCCAGCTGCCCTGCTGTCTTGGATGAGCAGTTTGGAACGTGCGGCTTTCTCGACTTTTTCTCGTGAACCTTCTAGTCCTCATTATTCTATGGATTTGACTGCTGATGAGCGAAGCTGCCGGGGAGAAAAGATCGGTGAGATGTTCGACAGAATGTGATATAGATTGAATTGCAACACCATTAAGTTCTTGGCCAGATTGCAGGTCCTCAATGTTGGCATAAACATCATTTATTTTACAAATACTTGATTCAGAGAGATCGGTTCCGTTTGGCTGCTGCCATCTGAACATGAAGAAGTGAACATTAATTCGCATAGACCTCCGTACAGAACAGTTTCATGTAGTGGCCTGCCTGCTTAAATTCTTGCAAATTCTTGTCCATGCGCCAGCAGATAGATATATCAGTAATAAAGAATATATTTTTATCACCACCAGATTTCTCCCAAACACCGTCAATCAAGTTAAAACATGCATCGCTAAAGAATTTCTTTGTATAGTGAATCATAATCAACTTGCCATGCAAAGCATAAAGAATTCATTTGTATTTGATAGATCTGTAACTGTAATTGAAAATAATATATTGAGCATTATTTGAGAAATTGTGGGGCTCCAGAATGCACGTCCGTCCACAGGGCGTCGCTAGAAGCTTATACAATTGGGGGGGGGGGGTGCATATTCATATATTCAAAATAAAAAAGATAATGCCTAAAAAGAGAAATCAGTCGGGCATGAGACGAGTATATGAATATGGACCCCCAATTCTAGGGACGATAGGGACGACCCTGTCTGTCAAGTACGACAGCTGAGTGAATTCCCACACTAACACACGGAAATCTTTTTGCAGATAATGCCCTGTCTTTAATCATAAACGCAAATTTAACTTAACTAGGGCATTTATTGCCATTTCAGATCTACTAACGACAGAACCGAACACTCAACAGTGACATGGGGAATCTACCTGTAATCCATGAAGTTTCGACAAGTTTCCTTTCGCTAGGAGATGCAATCGTTGGCGATCCAGAGATGGCGCGACAGAGATGGCATGACTATGCCAGTGAAAGCATAGTTGGTTCCTATGTTGCTGGAACGGTGGAAGCGATAAAAGGAAACGAAGAAAAATCGAGAGAGTATCTTAAAGGTAGGAAACAGGAAGGTTAAACTCTCTATCGCCCTAGCTAACGTCAGGTAATTTTGCTCTCCGACGGGAATAAGGCCCGTTTCAGGGGTGTGACTAATTAACGGAACTGCAGACCACGGAACTGCGGAACTTGCGGAACATGCGGAACTTAATAATATCACCTTTTTCTTGTCAGTAGATAAACAGTATAGTGTGTATTTATATCATATGTTTTCGTATTGCGCGTCATGCTCTGAGCAGTCTGAGTTGCCCTTCTGTGTACGTGCCTTTATTCTGTATAACTCGACGCGTGCTATATGGCAGCTTTTTCGGAGGAGGGATTCAAAAACAAGAGGTAGACTGTTATTTATGTTTTATTCATCATTTTATTCGTTAATTTGCGTATACAGGGTGTCCCAAAAAGCCCCACAACTATTGAAATCATCTATTGTTAAAATTTGAATGATTTGTTCGCGAATTTTTGCTCGTGGGGATTAACGCAACTTATAAAATTCTAAATAGGCCTAGATTTAAAATTTTAGGACATGTCGAAGGTCATGGTGCTTGAGATTTAATATATGCATAAAAATGCCAACGTCAAAAATCTATTTATCCACTTGTGGGTCCCAACATGGCGCTTAGGCATTCAAACTCCAGCTATTACATTGTTATGGGTGATTTCAATTGTTTTGGGGGTTTTTTTGGACACCCTGTACAACAAACCTGAATTTCGCCATAACATTTTGCTCAGTGATGCAAAACTAAACATTAGGCAACTATAACATTAATTGACACAACAAACAAAAAAGGATCGAAGCAACCATTGGCGGATTAAGGGTAAGTCAGAATAAATTACTTGAACTCAGATTGGTAGAGTTTTATGTAGAAATATACAAATATTTTTTAGAAACAGTAACCAATAGCGTTGTTTTTAGGGGTACTTTGAATTGGATATTAGGCCATGTCATTTATTCCTACTTATCCTGAATACCTCACTGGACGCAACAGAATTTAAACAAACAAGGTCGACGCAACAGAATTTAAAACATAGTCAACAACGATTCTTGTATTCTAACCAATCTATACACCTAACTGAATTTTAACCCAAACATTATATGGCGAAATAATACCCCTTTTACTAATAGAACTTCTATATAGGTCGATGCCACAGAATGTGAACCATTATAGTAAAAAATGATTCTCATACCCTTCTTTACAAATCAAATATTCTAAAGTTGCAACCCGAACTGCTGCAGAAGTTCATTAGCCTGGATACTGTTTATCACCGTCTCTGAACCCAGTTGCAAAGACCGCACGTGGAAGTATGGATGACGTGCAAGGATACAATGCATTTGACAATGGTAATAACGATTGGTCTCATTTGACACCTTCAGATTTCCAAACTTGTCTGGATAAAAATCTTTTTCTTTGTGTTGAATGACAAGACCGATAAATGGCGGGCCTAGTGGATCCCGAAACTGGAAAGGGCACCCAGCACACTTTTTCACTCGTGTCGTCAATGATACAATGACAAAAGGGTTGTTGTTGTGCCAAGGTGCTTTGCTTGGTGGGGTTACGTTGGGCATCAGCACTTGTGGGGAGGGACTTCGTTGAGGATAGTTGCGTTCAGTATCGTTGCTCGGGAACACTGGAGAACTGTGCAAGACAGGTCGTGGATTTTGAGCTGTCCCCAAACATGCACTGGTTGTCGGTGGAGTTAAATTTGACTGAAGATGCCACGGATTCGCGACCGGACTGTGAAACCCTACAGGAGATGCTGAATTTGAAGCCAAGCTGTGCGATCGAACCATCTCATTGGGAGAAATACCAAATAGCCATTCCCCGGACGAAACCGTTGACGTAGCTGTCTGGGGTGTCTTTCTTATTCTTCTTGGTTTCCCCCCTTTCTGTCCCGCAGCCCGTGTGTTTATATTACCTGTGCCAATGTCATACATGCTAACTGACTTGTTCGCTTGCTTTACCCATTCCAAATAGGTAGATAACACATTAGCTTTTTCTGCTGCAGCGACTGTATGTGAGCAAACATTGGGACTGGACTTGAACATCAAACAGGTACAGGTAATCTTTCCACTATCAAAAAGGGTTACAGAATTAGGGCAGGCTGATGATCGACTATGAACTGAGAACCTTCGAACTCCGCTTTCTACAGAAGGCGCTTGGAGTACTGCGTTATCAGTAGCGAGATATTGAGAAGCCTTGTTCCATATCGACGCAAGAACAGTGCCAGGGACACTGAGTTGCGATCGTGAATAACACACGGATAGCATTGGGGTGGAGGCATTCGATGGATCGGCACTTGTGACGTGCGAGTTATTTTTCGAATCAAGTTCAGTTCGCATAACCTTTAAAGTATGACTTTTCTTTTGATCCTGATTCATGTCGTGCATCCACTTTAATTCCGGTACTTCGAGAAAGGAATACTCTTGTTTAAATCGATACTTTCCTTTTCTTATGACCGCTCTCATTATTTCTTGACGTTGACTTTCTGCTACGGCCTTTGAAAGGGCGATAAAGTCTGGAAGAGACATTTCTTCATATTCCGCAGCTTCTTTCAGGACATGATTTACACTCTCAGAGGGATTAGTCGTAATTCTTTCACCGGATTTAAGTCCAGCATTTTGTCTCGCTTCTTCTGTAAGCGAACTCTTCATCATAACATCATGCTTTTTTAGCCACGGGTAAAACTGAGGTGAGCTTCCAAGAGGTCTGATAGCTTGCTCTCTTTCGTTCATCTCCTTTTCAAGAGACACGAGTAGGGCGTCAAAGGTTTCAGCGTCGGGTGCATCTAATAAACCTTCGTGATAGATTTCTTCAACAGATGATCCAAAAATGCATCGAGTGAAGTAGCATTGATCATCGCCTTTAATCCCGAGAGACTTAAGTTTCTCCACACAGTTTTCTCGAAAATGGCGACAGCAACGCAAAAGGGGCATTTGAGGATAAAATACTTGAAATGCTTTAATCAGACCTGGTTCCCCATCGGTAACAACGCACTTAAGGTCGCAAATTCCGTTATCGATCTCCTTTAACTTTGCAGCTAAGTGGCAAAATGCACTGTAGCTTCTGCTCATGTGGATTAGTGTAGGCCCAACCAATGTTGGGGATTTAGTATCATCGGCATTATGAAGAATAAGACTCTTGTACGCAGTAGGGGTCACATAAAATTCGCCGAGATTGAAAGTTGTGTCAATGCCAACTGGATAGAATTCGAGAGAATTAGAACAAAAACGCGATATATCATGAAATTGATATGGAAAACCAACAATACACATTGCTTCTGGCCATGCTGTAACACCGTGGATATATTTTTCTTCCTCGTTACTTTGTTCTTCTACAGCCATGATCAACACACTGTACAGCCTATCCCTTCTACTTTCGTGAACAGGAATTCCTTGATCTTGCCTCTCCTTAGATTTTACAGAACTGCGCATGTTAGCAATTTGCTTTACATCACGAGGAATAGCTGCGCTGCTAGTTGCATTCATCATGTTCGATTGTCGGTCAAGCTGCGCCAAAGCTTTCTTTGGTTTTTGGTGTTTGACCACTTCTTTTATTTTCTTCCGTGTAGTAGAATTTACGGGAAGGAAAGGAACACTCTTGTCTTTCTTGTTACCATGTGCTGTAACAAGAAATGAGCACTCTGCACCTTTGAATTGATAGTGCAGTATTGCTAAGTTATTTACAATACTGCCGTTTTGTTCTGCAAATGTGATGACTTGCGTAAAATCTTCGTGGGATTTGTTCCTACGATATGTTCTCTTGATTGTTACACAATTTCCTCTTGTTTTCAACTCGTCAGGTCTCAGGGCACGCTTTGCAATCAAAGTCTTTTTGATTTTTCCATCTGTACCGCTTTCCACTTCAAATACCCAAGTGCGCATTCCGTAATGACGATAAGTCCCATTGTCATCAGTAGGAAGGTCTTTCAAACTTACTGCGGACACATTTATAAGAAAAATGGAATTTTGTTGGACATGCATCGGTTGCTTTTGGCACACGTATGAAGCTGAGTGTTCCTTCAAAAGAATATCCATGATATCATCTAATGAGATCTCTGGGTGGTTTCCTCGGTAAAAGAAAGGCGTGTCCGTTTGACCTTTATAAAGGGAAGGTTTTTGTGACTCATCTGGTATCCATGACGCCGATTCAATCAAATCATCAGAGTCACTATAAAATTGCACAAACAAATACACTTGTATTTTAGTGTCTTATTGCGTGAGTTCTCTTTCAAGGAAGAGAAGCTGCTAATAATTGAGGTAAACGACTTTATTTCTCTTCTTTCCTCTTTAGCGGGACAAAAATTGTCACTAGCAGAGATTCGAATGTTTGCCTATGAAATTTCAAATGTATGAACGAAGCAGTACCAGAAAATTTGAGTTCACAATTTGTAAGAACAATAGGTAGGAGAGCAACTAGACTGTCTGATATACATAAAAAACTCTTCTTTTTAGCTACTAGTGCAATAAGTAAAAAAGTTTCAGTATTGTATAACAAAGCTCTGGCATGAGGTACCATCTAATCATAGATTAAGTAGAACAACTAATATTTTTTAAATTGAACTTAATAAATTATAAATATGTAATAAAATATCACTCATAGTATTAATTTAGATAGTTATTGTTGTAATTTGGGGGTGACCAATTAAATAATCAATCAAACAATAGTGGCTTTTGATTTTGAAAATACAAATTAACAAACATTAGTTAAAGAACTCAATAATGCAGACAACACAAAGTCCAAGTAAAACAATCAAGACCATTGTCATATATTATCATGAACTAATTAATACCTATCAATTATACCTGTATATATAGCAATGATTAATTATACAACAACTTATTTCAAACCAGTTAGCGAAGTCTAATCTATGGAGGAGAAACATGCTGGAATTCAAGACAAGCCTCAATATAAATACTCTCAGATAGTTTGTATTGTATTGTATATATTTGGTCAACTTTTGCACTAATTAAAATAATATATTATATGAATTTTTGAAAGTAACTATCATAACATATATATTTACCTTGAATCATTGTCATTTAAAGTCTTGGTTAAAGACACATTGCTACTTCTAAAAATTTGATAAAATAATTGGAAATAAAACAACTTTGACAGTTGTGTGTGTCTAAAATGTGCAACTTCACTCACAACTATTAATCAAGAATCAACTACTTTTAGCATGGATAATAAAATCACTATCTATATGTCTTTTAACTATCCATGCTTTTAGTAAAAAAATTAAAAATATTTTTTAATACATACATTTTGACCTTCTGTCTTTTTTTTGATGGAGAAAGTCCATGAAATGCATTTTGCAAACTTGAAATACTAATGAAGGGTGGAATTAATGTATTATGTATAACCTAAATTTAATTTGTATGCATGTGATACATTTCATGTAAACATTCTAATTTATATATGTCACTCTCCTAAGTCCTGTAATTGAAGTGCCCATCACCATACCTTATAATATCAATGTCACTCTCCGTTTCTGAAGGAGATTCCTCTAAAGTAATAAAAGTACATTTTACTGGCAGACACATTTTTAAATATTGGGTGGGTTGAGTTAGGTTGTCAACATATGGTCACTTTTTGTAACTTGGTATTTCAGTTATCCTACTATTTGCCTTAAATTTCCTAATTTATACCTTAATGTCTATAGCTAAAATATTATAGTTATTCAGCATTCAAAGATAAATGCCTCATAATTTGTTGGTGGTAATCAGTTGGTCAGAATCCCTAATCTAATGTCTGCCACAGTGCCCATGCACTTATTTATTATTATAATATTAAAACAGTATTCAAAAATCAAATCGCATTTATCACAAATATTTATTTCCAACCTAAATTTCTTTGCGCCTTCGAAATATTGTTGGAGAAGCCAGCGATAGGTAATTCATCACTAAAAATGTATTGCAAGTATTAAAATGCTAATATTATTATATGCTGTTCTAATATATTTTTTATTATTGTGTGTACACTATCTGTAGAACTAATAAATCATAACCTGCTACGTTCCTCTTCCTTAACTGTAATCTCTTCGTCGCTACAGTGAAATAACGTTTTAATTCATGATAAGATTGAATGTAATTTCATGTTTCTCTTCATATATATATATACACAAAACTAGGAGTAGGATAGTTCAATACTAACCTGTCTAAAGTCAAATCCACAACAATAGGTCTCGCATCACTGAACAAAATTTTGAGAAGAAGTTCAGGTTTGTTGTATATACGCAAATTAACGAATAAAATGATGAATAAAACATAAATAACAGTCTACCTCTTGTTTTTGAATCCCTCCTCCGAAAAAGCTGCCATAGCACGCGTCGAGTTATACAGAATAAAGGCACGTACACAGAAGGGCAACTCAGACTGCTCAGAGCATGACGCGCAATACGAAAACATATGATATAAATACACACTATACTGTTTATCTACTGACAAGAAAAAGGTGATATTATTAAGTTCCGCATGTTCCGCAAGTTCCGCATGTTCCGCAAGTTCCGCAGTTCCGTGGTCTGCAGTTCCGTTAATTAGTCACACCCCCCGTTTCAGACGTCGAACTTTTCATGTGCCGAACCTAATGTTAATGAGCTGAAGTCTTTGTTTATCTTCATTTGCATTCGATTCAGCACATGAAAAGTTCGACGTTTGAAACGGGCCTTAGGTGTAAACAATGTACTGAGCAATTGGTTGTTTGCAATGACGTAATTTACGTATTTCAGTAGTTAGAACAAAACATAAATTGTGGTGATTTGTTCCAGTATCGAGACACTATTAGAGCTAAAATACGGATTACTGAAGATTTTATCTTTCTTTGATCCTCTGATAGAAAGAGAATCGTCCTAAAGTTGCTTGATTGCCCTTCATTTAAAGAAAAAGTCATGTGATTGCAAACAAGCAATTTGCGTGTAATGGCGTTTGCGATCACTACATACTCCAGAAGGTACTGGATGCATTTGCTTGCCTGTTGTACGCTGTGTTCGAAAACTAGCAGAACAACAAGATCAAGTAGCTTAGACCATCAAATGGAAGTAAATTAATTATTTTCCATTCTTATATCTCTTGCCTTTGCAATATCTGATATCCCAAGTATCTCATCTAAACAAGGAGGAATTTCGTTTTAGACCAATTATTGACCATTATTTGCTATTCTACATGAAGTCAATCGAAATTATCGCTACTCTGGTTATAATAAATGAAAGTAATCACCACACAAAGATTAACTTTCACGACCCAACGTTTTGACACTCTGGTCTAGTGTCTTCATAAGGGTCATCTGATGTTGAAACTCGGTTCCTTATATACTCTCAAAATGACGTCATCTAGCAATCAGATGCAAATATTCTTTTAGCAAATAGCTTCCGTCATCCCTATTAAAGGCACAAAGACTCGCATTAATATGCCAGGCTTCCAAACAACGCCTTTGTCCATAACGATCATTAGTGGTAATGACTTTTGAATCGTTCCACCCAATGTTATGGTTAGTTTGACACTGTCTTAGTTCGAAACAGCCTTTTGATGTTCTTTTAAACGTGTGCCAAACTGGCGTTTTGTTTGACCTAGATATTCTTTCTCGCAATCACCACTGACATGGTATAGAGTATACAGCATGAGTTTTCTGTTTAGTCGCTACGCGATCCTTGGGTTTCGCGAAAATATGTCCCAGTGTCTGAAATGGTTTGAAGGCAACTTTTATACCACAATTATTCAGGATGCTCCTGATTGGTTCTGCAATTCCCTGTATGGAACTATAGCAACTCCTGTTTTTGAGGAATCACCCTCTGAGGAATTGCATCTAGTCGAGACAGGGGATTTTTGACAATCATTTAAAAAGTTTCGTGGATAATTGTTCTCTCTCAGTACACTGAGGACATAATCACGCTCGTTGTCCCTAGCAACGCGATTGTATGTTAACGATTCAGCTCTGTTTAGCAACAGACTTTTTATGACTTTTTGATAAAGTATTGAAAATTTATATTTAAGCATTCATGATGAAGTATTGAAAATTTAAGCATTCTGATTGGCTTAGGCTGAAAAATGTAAACAAATATGCGAATTATAAAGATTCTTGAGGCAATATTTTACAAGAAACTTTTTTACGCATTTTCAAACACAAATCAAGTTTCAAGAAAAATATATTAATTTGATATTTTGACTCTTAAATTTTATCTTACGATGCCACTTGTTTTTTGGCTCTACACATGCAAAAATGATGATAACTTTAAGGCCATGTTGCACAGTGCCATTTTCCTTGCAACTTGCAATACAATTCTTCCCTTAAGTGATGTCATTTAAAGAAATCAGTGAAGGATATTCGACATGTGAAGTAAACATCAGCGAAAAACTTAAGCAGCATTGCAATTTGCAAGAAAAATTGCCCCGTGTAACAGGGAAACGCAGATCTTGTTCATATCTTATTTTTCATACATTTTCACGTGCCAACAAAAGCCGGTTTTCCACTAGCGATATTTTTCGCGCGAAGCGACTTTATTCTTTTGTATTTGAGCAATTTGTTCCAGATAGTTGCAATTGAAAGCTCTGAAAAAAAAGTTAAATGTCGCTTCGCGCGAAAATGAACGCTAGTGGAAAACCGGCTTAAATGAAGTAACCGGGAATGCTGTCTTTATAACAACACCTTTATTACTGTAAGGTATGGGTCGCGCAACTGGAAAAACACTGTTGGGAGGCGGTGTTCTTCGTGACGTCCCTGTTTTCCATGAATTAGCTGTTTGTGGAGATTCCCTTGGTGATATGATTGGCGGGGGAGATGACGAATCAGCAAGGAAAAGATGGAAAACGTACAGCGAAAGCAGCGTTATCGGTAGCGGACTTCGATCACTAGCGGCCAAAATCGACGGGAATGATAAAGAGGCCGAACGCTTGGCGGAATGTTGTGGAAAAGCGAGTGCAAGATTTGGCGTCACAGCAGTGTCGGTCGGTGCAGCCGTCGCAACAGGGGGTCTCGCAGCTCCACTTGGGACATCAGTCGCTGTCGCTAGTGGGGCTGTAGTCGGTGGTGCTACAGGGGCAGGCTCGACCGCGGCGGTGCAACTGATTAATGATGAATATGATCCTGGTGCAATTGTTGGAATGACTCTGCTTGGAGCGGTCTGTGGGGCTGAAAGTGGAGCAAAGGCCGCTAAAAAAGCCAAAGCTGCTAAAACTGCCAAAGCAAACACAGAACAATCCCAAAATGCTTCATCATCATCTTCGTGCCGTGAAAACTCAGAATCTAGCAATCCTTTAAGCGGAAAACAGGCCCCAGGCGATCCCTCACCCCCTCCTCCTGGTTCACATACAACGACAAATAAAAACAACAGACGACCGAGATCCCATTCATATTCTGTGTACCAGGAATCCGAGCATTTTACCCCAGATAATGCAAAGAATGTTCACAAAATGACTGGCAAAAAGACATTCTCACATAAGAGTGGAAGCGCGCAAAGAGACAGCAAACGTCCAGATATTTGGAATCCCAAAGATCCCAAAAGTATTCATGATAGAAAAGCCGCTGCCAAAGCAGCAAAGCAAGATGCAGTGAACAGCGTGAAGGATCTAAGTAACAAAAAGAGACCTAGAGTCGTAACAGTTGCACAAGACTTAGAGTCTGGCAGCGCCACAGCTTCTACATCCATCAGAGGTAAAACTCCACAAAGAGACTTTAGTAATAAGATGGGCTGGCAACATAAAAAAATTTTAGATGTCATCGATCCTGAGTTGCGTGGAAAGGGTCATGGATGGTGTGGCGAGCAAGTGGCTCACAACAACACTCTTGCTTATGAAAGGCTAAGTAATGATATCTTCCAAACTCGTGGGAAGGTGTCCATGACAGCGTATGCAGAAACGAAAAAAGGTTACAAGAAAGTCCCACCGTGTAGTACGTGTGCACAAGTTCCAGGCAAAATTTGGAGACGCAACTCTGGCCCCTGAGCTCTTCCCTTTTTTCGATCATAAGCAGAGCATGAGTAAAAACAGTTAAAAACCTACGCAACATTTATTATGATACGAAGTTCTGTTGGAAAAAAAATTCAACGAAAAACTGTTTAATTAAACACAACATGACAGAATTTATAACATTGAAAAACTATAGCTAGTTGGGAATTTGGGTGCCTCATTTACTGCACGTGTTGAATAGCTACTCGTTGCAACTGTAAACAGATTTGATGGTGTACATTTTTGTTTATTAATTGCTGTTAATAACATTGTAAGTTTTGTGTTGCAAGCTAAATAAACTAATGCATTCTAATAACTAGAGCAAAATGTTGCAAGCTAAATAAACTAATGCATTCTACCGACTAAAGCAAGATGTTGCAAGCTGAATAAACAAAATAGGGAGCAGAATGATGATCCTCTTTCGTGGATCAAACGAACTAATTTTAAATCTATTTATCATCAATCAGACTCCCACACGGCAACCTGGTAGAACAATTGTTTTATGTTTATCGTTCAGATATTTACACGTTTACAGAAATTTAATTAGCTTTTCATGTAATCTTACTGAGTGGTTCACCGAGGCTGTTTCGATGAGGGACTAAGTAGAAACTTAATAATATTAACTTTGTTTGGCATTCATTAATTAATTGCACGAGATTCTTGAGGTAATATGGACCAGTATACACTGAAATGATTTAGGTTGAGATGCAAGAACACTTTTGTGTGAAAAGGACTGTTATTCTGTTTGCTAACCCGTTTAATTTGATTTATGTATGATTATTTGAAGATTATGTAGAACGCGTAGACCCAGCAAGAAATAAGTGAAACAGACATTTATAAAATTTACATAGAATGCGACAAAAGATAGAAGGATTTAAACACTATGTAACCTATACTTATATTTACTTATCTATTTGTCATTTTTTGTTAGATCAAATAATTTCATCAATATAAAATCACAAATCATACGATTCCGTGTTCTACGTTCTTAACCGATATTCCAGAGGCTTTAAACAAAGGGGATGCAAGTTGTATATATTCATGTATGTATATATTATACCTCACATCAAGCTTGTCGAATCATAGACGTTGTTTGATTCCACATGATCATGGTACTTCTCTGGAATACCACGCCCCCGAACGATCGTACCCTTGATGTTTTCACCGGGGCATGGTATTCACTCTAATACCAGGCTCTTACCTAGCACAAAATGGCGGAATCTCTCGAAGAATCTGATTTTTTTTTAAAATTGTGAAAGATTTTTTAGAATTTATTTCATAGTTATTTGAGGTTCGGTATAATACTACGGGCTTCGCCCTCGGGATATTTCATCCCTCAGAAAAATTTTTGGGGAATATTAATACCCCTCGTTCAAGGTCTATAACTAACAGGTATTATATCTACGGTATAGATGTCTCTTGTCGTTAATTTTCATGCATAGAAGCAATCTGAAATTTCAAACTTAGTTTAATAAATAAATAATTAATAAATAATTTTACTCAGATTCTGTGCTACCACCTGTTTTAATTAACCCTTGATTTTGAGACGAAACTCAGCGGCCAGTTGAATGAAAATACAGTAAAAATGAGCTAAATGTTCTTGCACCATTTCGGCGACGTGCTTTAATTGCAGTTATATCTGTTTGTGCAAAGAGTAGAGTATATATATTAAACAAGACGCCTGGCATGTGTGCGACTCTTGTAAATTGCAAAGCTTGTGAACACAACACTACTCACTAGTTTATATTTGTAGCGAACATAAATGTAGTTTGATATTCAAACAGCACATCACCGTTTGTTTTACATACGGACACGACGTCTACATTAACTTTGGAATTCGTGCTTATATTAAGAAAATTTTTTTCACATTTTTAATAGGTTTATAGAATAGCGTGTGTCAACACACGACTGTCGACGAAATTCTATAAACAGTAAAATACAATTGGCGATACAGATTTACTTATAAGAATACTACGAAATCCAAAATAAAACGTGACATGAACATCTCTTTTAAAACCAAAGTAAAAATTTGCCTTCAAACGGTATTACAATTTGGTTTGCGAAAAGTGCACGGCAAGCATTGCGAAACGAAACTTGAACGTATATATTTACGGTCACATACGAATTTCCAACGTGCCATAGGTACCAAATAGCCGCCGGATTGCTTTGAATTTCGAAATATATTTCGCGCAAAAACGCACTTGCGACGACGAATATCGAAAAATGAGAGCAAACGATGAACTTGTCGTGGCGTGTACATGACGTGACATAAGTACATTTGGGGGAAATTTGAGGAATAATCACCAGTTACACTTCTTATAATACGTATTCTTTGTCCTTGTGCTAAATCTCCCTAATTATTTTTGTTGCATGCGTCACCACACATATTGATTAGGTGTCAGGTCAACCTTGAACCTTGTATACCCAGTAAAGACCCTGGGTACGAGGTTGGTGTCAGGTGTGGTCCTCTGACATTTCAATAACAATATCTCCTAATTGAGAAGTTTATAAATTAGTCTATAAGCATGGAGTAAGCCCGTAATGCAAGCGCAATACGATTAATCAGAACATAAATTTATGAAATAAACCGAGTACATGCTAATGGTACTTTGCACTCTTACAGCCTCGATATTAACGCATTTTGCTTAGCAATATGTCATTCTTGCTAGCGTGCTTTAGCAGGAATCTCTATAGCGTTCGGTGAAAACTTTAGAGTTTATTTTCCTAACCGTCGGAAAACTGTCACCTCAATAGGCGAAAACTCGCCTTTCTGCCTAAGCAGTCTGCTAAGATCAGAATAACATTTTACGAGCGGAGAACTCTATGCACCAGGCTTGACATTACAAATGACTGCAAGGTCAAGAACAAGTCAGCAACCAAATCAATATACCACAGAAACAATCGTTTGGCAAAAGAAATACACAGTCATGGCCAAAAATCACAGACAGACAATATGCAGATTGTCGTAAATAATTTCCATATAATGCATGTTCAAATGTCTTTCTATTGCTGCGCTATAAAGTATAAAGGCGCTGTTACACTATGCAATTTCACCGCCTTAAATATATTGCGCATTTTTGTATTTGAAAAATCATTAAATATTTACAATTCGCACGGGTTGTTTCTTGTATGTCAAGGCACATATCTATGAAGGCATGTAGAAGTTCCTGGGGTAATATTTTGCTGGCATATGTAATGAATTTGCTTATATGTCAATTGTCAACCCTGGAAAAGCCTGCATTTCTATTTTATTTCTACAAACGTTTTAGAACCACCTTGAATGAAATTCATTACAAGTGGTACTCTCATGAGCCACGTGCAAAGAAGCAATACATTTCATTTAAGGTGGTTCCAAATTGAAAACGATAAAATAGTGACGTAATCACCAGAAGGTTCTATTAAGTAAAGTAGATATCCATTTCCGTGTTCTGTATTACTGAATTTCCCTGTTGTGGTTTAGTTAAAGTTAAAGGGTTTGCAGTTTAGAGCTCGCAAAGGGATGAATTAACTGTGTAAAATATGATATTTATAGATTACGTTTGCAACAAATTGCACTTGTGCATAGGAAGTGATATTGTTCATTATTGTTCAGACAATGATCTTTAGATTCGTCGGCACACATATTGTTAGGTGAGGGTTCAAGATATCCTCTGACATTTCGATAACAATATCTCCTGATTGAGAAGTTTATAAATTAGTCAATAAGCATAGAGTAATATGAGCTCGTAATGCAAGCGCGATACGGTTAGTGAGAAAATAAATTTATGAAATAAACTGAGTACATGCTAGTGGAACTTTGCACTCTTAGGGCCTGTTGGAGCGAATTATCCCGGCTAGGCGAGGTGAAAACTGCATATAATGAAAGACCAATCAGGTTAAGCTATTGATGCGATGCGCTTTTTACCTCGCCTAGCCGGGATAACTCATTCCATGTAAACAGGCCCTTAAAGCCAGCATGGTTCGATATTAAAGCATTTTGCTTAGCAATATTTCATTTTTGCCAGCGTGCTTTAGCGGGAATCTCTAACCTCCGGTGACATTTCACTAAGCAGAGTGGTCTAGGCAAGGTCAAGAAGTCATGCAGGTACCCAAATCAATATAGCATAAAAACAATGGTTTGGCAAAGGAAATGCGGTAATTCAGGCAAATATATCCATATGCACTCTTCTTGGATGTACTGGTTCAATACTGAACGCCTTGAACGTGATACCCTTTTTTGGAATCGATTTATGCATGCGTGGGGTATATATGGGACATGAATTGAGGACATTCGGGAGACAGGGATTGTTCAGAGGCTGTGCAAAATTTTCAACCGCAGAACGTCGAAAGCTTTTGGAAAGTTTGAATCCAGATCAGATTGAAAATATACGAAGACTAATTATTACAGGTAGATATTTATGTTCTTACATACATATATACGTGCAATAATCTAGATCGGGCATCTTAGCCAAGTCATGATAACGCAGATGATAATCTAGGGTTGCTAATACCACATTTTTCCATTGAGAAAACTACAGCAATATATAGTAGCTAAGAATTTGTGACAAGGTACCTGTCAAAAATTCTTAGCTACTATAAATTACTACAGTTTTCTCAATGGAAAAATGTGATGTGGTATTAGCAACCCTAGATTATCATCTGTGCTATCCTACCAGATAATTAGAGATCATTAAATAACTGATTTGAGCGTTATTTCATTGTAGTTATTTTATAAAGTAAATACTTTTCTGTGCAGGATAGCGTGATACTGCAATGGCTCTTTGCTGGAACGTTTTTGCTTCACTTTTGGTATGTCCATATTTTAAGCTCATGCAAGTATATGTATTATGTAAGTGAGTTCACGGTTGACCGTGGTGAATTAAAACTAACATGCATTAATAAACTTTATTATCATTTTATAGATTGCGTACTGTGTTGCATCGGCAGCAATCGATAAAGGAAATCACATTTCCAACCAAGTGGTAATTTTTACACTATCCTGTAACTTTTATGCACGTTTGCATATCCGCTGGAATGTTCTCATGCAGACCTGACTAAATCTATGTGCCAAATCTATCAAATTAATTAACATTTGCAACTACCCGTTCATGGGCGTCAATCGAACGTTGATTGAGGGTGACCAAATAAATATATTCTGTTATATCAGGCTGATTACTATTGAAAATAAGTGAAATTATTTCCAAAGAAATTAGCCATGCAGGCATAACAGAATATATTGATATGGTCCTCCTCAATTAACTATCGATTGCCGCCAATGTACCCGTTTCTCGATAACGAAAACGAAAATGTCCGCGCATAAACGAAACCTCGTGAAATTGACTTTCCTGTTCCGCTGCTATTTAGTTACATTTTTGTACGGCGTATAAGTCAAGGCAAAATAAGTTGGACGTAAAATTTGGAAGTTAATTTGGAAGTTGGAAGTTAACACCGCAGTTATAAAAACAGGCTTCGTGTTACTCAGTCACAACAGGTTGTCAGGACCGTATTTAGACAGCTTAATTTGGGGGGGGGTGAATATTTCATGTTTACATAGAAACAATAGCTTCCCGAAGTAATCAGTCGGGCATATAAGACGATCTTTTGATAGCGACTGTTTTTACGCTCATTATAACATCAATAAATTATAGACAGCGTAACATTCGTCCACTGCATGCACTCTGTTTCATCCGTTTTGGAATCTTCAGGTGCTATACCCATGAGACTGACTGTAGTTGACAATTTTTGGCAAGCAATATACTTTTATTTGCTATATATCTATATATATATATATATATATATATATATATATATATATATATATATATATATATATATATATATATATGCTTATACTCTTTAGTAGGATATGACACCGACTGGCGGCCTGCCATGACAAGCAGAAAAATCCACTTGACCACGGCAGGATTTGAAGAGCATCGGACTAGTATACCGAAGGGCGCGGGTTCAAATCCTGCCGTGGTCAAGTAGATTTTTTGCTTGTCATGGCAGGCCGCCACTCGATGTCATATCCTACTAAAAAATCCTTCCCTTTCCCGAGTACTATCTTCAAATAATATATATATATATATATATATATATATATATATATATATATATATATATATATATATATATATATACACTCATTTGCAAAAACTATGGCCGCAAATTGATAGATAGATAGATACTCGAAATTTAATTAGAATTGCATATGCATGATTACATTTGCATGGGATTTCAATCATATTACACAACATATGCAATTCTAATATGGTATATATAAACATAAACACTACTATGGTTTTTGCATTACTCCTTTGTTCTACTATTATTAAATTTATTCAATTTTATTGCATATTAACACACACTAAATAATACTAAACTTTTAGGAGAATCGTGTCACGCCTGAATACAAAACTGATAAAAAACCTGAACCGACTTCTCAGGTTGGAAAAAATCGCGCTTTTTGTACACAATGTAAGTAGCAGGTATATCAGCAATGTTAAATAATTTGTCATTTAGTCATTTGAGATCTGTCATTATTGTTTTACTCAAAAAAGTTAAAAAATCGTTTGAAATCATCATTTGGAACAAATTTAAAATATACAGATTTTAGCTGTTTCTGTTTTGTGTCCAGAACTCCGTGATATATGGCGACTCAGGACTTTTATACCTTTTGTTTCAACCAGGCCAGATGGGAACGGTGGGTCAAGATTGTTGGCCCAATTCTGATTTGTGCCGCACGCAAAGATTTCATGTCAATTTTACACAAAGCTTTGAAGAGGCGCCTTCTGTGATCGTCTCGCTGCATAACCTTGATGTCGACCAGAATTTCAATCTTCGTGTGAACGGAATCGCCGTAAATATCACCTCTTCCGGATTCGATCTTTGGCATAGAGCATGGGCAGATACAAAGATCTACGGCCTTGGATATTCTTGGATTGCTTGCCCAAATTAAGTGATGCCTAAAAATGTTTCATTCTATACGCGTGATTTACAACATAATCTTAATTTTAAACGTTTGTAGAATTTTATAATCTTTCACAGTTGGTTGTAACGCTTTTCAAAGAATAAAAATATATACATATATCGAATAATATTCCGCACAGTCGTTAATTGTAATTTCAGTTTCTTTTTCTGATCTACTAACTGGAACATGCAATGAATATCTTAAGGTCTGTTCACACCATTCAATTTTGTTGGATCCAATTCACTTCTGATGGATGTTTTATTGTTTGTTGTCTTGTAATGTATATCAGCAGAAATGCCAGTAGACTGAAGCCAATGAACTACAGCTCCATCGATAGCCGACTATATTTCATACATCAAAAGTGAATTGGATCCAAGAAAATTGGATCGTGTGAACAGACCTTAAGAAAACGTTTTGATCCGGGTAACAACGTGGAAATGCCGTATAATAAAGTTATATCATAGTAAGAAGACTCAAACAAAAATTAGTAATGCCGTAATAAATAAAAAGTAGCTATACCCTGGCAATGTCGCGCTATTAGCATGGAATGATAGCTGAAGTCGATTGCCAGTCTTTAAGTGGGTTACAGTCCCTTGTGCCCATCGCTTCTACCAAAAACAATGGGCAATCTACTTGTTTCAAAATTGCTCGAATTTCGCATGTTTTGTATATCTCTGAACATATTCATTTAGCAGTATAGTGAACTAAAAGCGTGCCAAATGTTCTGAAAGTTCTTGATATTGTAGAAAATAGCAAACGTAAACAAAGCGTTTCTTTACATTATATACGGACTGTATATACGCGCCGCCTTTAAGTTGCAACTATGAAAATTTTGTGATACGAATCAAGTTTAACGAAATAAACAAATTGTTATTTAATCTCAATGGTGCATGTTAAAAAAATAAGTTTCCTAGATGGATTATAGTCAGATAGAGAACCCGGCAGAGTTATGGTAGAATTTTAATTTCAAAATACGTGGAATTTTTGTTTGTTCGCGGGGTTTTCAAGCTGTTCTTTTACATATATTGTGCGTATTTTGTAACAATTAATTAGATCTAATCATGTGAGATGAAAAAATTCTGTGAGTCTGTGAAAAAAAATTGCAACCATGGTGGAAAATTAGAGGAAATTTTTATTCCAATTTCGTTTTGATAATGAACGTTTGACGTATTTAGAATCGTGCAGCGTGACCATGGAATACAAAATATATTTATTCCATTCTTACTAAAATTCCCTGGAAGCATTGCGTCTCTAAACTGACGAATATTGTCCACAGGTCGAAACTAGGGGAAAATTTTTTGTATTTCCAGGCTGCATAGCTAACCATTTTCGATGAGAAGTTATACACAGCTTATTAGGCTGCCACCAGCTATAAACATGCAGCTAAAATTCAAGCAAGATATTTTGGATTTTTTTTTCACAATCTGGAAATTGGAAATTATTCAAATCACCGATTTGATCTCAGATAGAAAAATACGAAAAATTTGCGAGTTTATGATTAGTCATTTTGAAAACAAGAAGCAAATATGACTCCAGATACGACTTAGCATATATAGTTGTTTTAAAGAAATAAACAGACTCCAGCTGAAACGGTGGCACGCATCGAATCGTAATTTGATGCAATCAAAGCAAAATTCGAGGGTGATTTCGTGTCTACATGCAAGAATGCTACATATCTCATTCCGTGTGTGGGTTGTTTTCGAATCAATCTCCACCGCTACGGACAGAAATGTCGCATCAACACTCTATTAACCGCTAAACTCAATGTGTTCACAGCAATTGCCGCCAAAAACCACGTATTAAAAGAACCGAAATGAGAACAAAATACAACAACAATATTTATCCCAAATGTAATTTTATTAATACCTGTTGAATATATTTCAGATATTTTACAGCATGAACCAGTTATAAGTAATCGAAGATCAGAAACTGAAATTTAACCAAAAGTCTATAATTCTATTCATTCGCATGCACGCTAATGAAAATTAAATGTAATTTTGCAGTGAAAGCTAAATATGTTTGTTATGGTATGACATTAACTGTTCCGTGTTTTGAGATCAGCGATGATGATGATGATGATGATGTGGATGACGTCTTCCAATAACCTTTCCAACTTCGCTGTTTACCAATTGTAGAGTATCTGGCCACTTATCAACGGGGATGTCTTCGGCGGCAAATTTGACATGCACGTGCTTTTCAAAAAGCAGTACGTAGGTCGAGCCACCGAACAAAAAGGTACCAAGAGGATCGCCTTTCTTTATCTCTTGTCCGTAGTATGCTTCAATAGGACAGCTGGAGATCTCCGCCATTCCCACGGCGATGAAGATTACCGTACCAAGAGCTGGGTTTCCTGTGTCGATGTGGATTATGGCCCGGGTATCCACGTGACAAAGGTAGCGCTGCGAATGGGTATTGGCTGTTGGATCATAACCCATGGAGAGAGCTTCTGCGTAGTAGGCGCCTTCCTTGATGTATGCCTTGGTTATTTTACCATCAACCGGTGCATGCCAGCGATGGTAGTTGGCTGTATCAAGGAACGCCTGGTACACGGTACCTCCCACATACTTCTCGGTCAAGGCATCGTCATCGAGCAGATGTTGCAAGCTGTACGGCTGAGCTTTGATCCAAAACTCATCACGAAGCTGCGGGTTTCTCTCGATGAAATAGGGAAAGGCTTCGCAGGGTGAACAAATCGTCAGAGGATCGTCCTTGTTCGCAACTGGACGAACATCTTTGTCGGTCCTCAACTTTCTCGCGAAATAATCATTCCAGCACTTGAATCCATAGTACAGAGGATCGGTTAAATCGACTTGGTACGTCTCAAGGAAATCGGGCATTGTCGCCAATGACTCCGGGCACAACCATCCATCCTACATATAGAGTTCAAATATAGAACCAAAGTTATGGTGCCTCGTGCAGTATCATTTTAAAGCTTTAGAGATCACTGCAATTACTGCATAATGAAATATATAATACATAATGAAATATATAAAAATGACACTTGATGTTTATTTAGTCCTTGATAAATTAATTAAAAGTCAAGTTGAAAGCCCCATGTAAACATAACTTAAGAAATGCCCGAGGTGTCATTGCGTATGCAAGTGCCTGGACGCAGTTGGGATTAGCCATATTTACTCTTACAGGCTTTGATTTTTGCCGCTTTAACAGCTTCGACGAGAAGACGACGGGGCTTTGGCCAGAAAATCTGCACTTTCAGCAATTTCAACCATGTTAATCTTTGAAGGCCTCACCAAAGTGCGTTTATACGCCCGTGTATAGACTATGCCTAAGCTGGGCTAGTAAATGCGGCTTATATAGTCAAGAACGTGCATTCCCAGCCTCTGCCTTGGGTTAAATTTAAGTTGACCAATTCCAAAGGTAGATTAATCAAGAATCGATTTTTTTTTCAAATTAGCTCCCACATTAATTAATTTGCAGTGTGGGGCTACAGTTCACGCCGGACCGGGGGATTTTGATCCGTAATTTGGGTCCGTAACGAAATGCTGGTAAGGTATAAGCATTTCAAACCGCGTTTTAATGAGATTATACTAAATAAGACTTACCAAATGCCCTATTAATTAAATTTATTACTGTTGCATGGAGGCAAGGAAACTGCATAGGCCAACAAAACGGCGGGTAAGTGGCTTTTCTCCTTAAGCACTTAATTAAATGCTAATCTTCATCAATTTACTGTGAAAAAATGATGGCAATAAATCAATATTTGCTATATTTATCGAATTATGTGTGTCAGATTGAGACCAATATAGGGTCATACTGATTAATGAAATAGAGACATAAAATAATCTTGTCATATACTGACTGATGAAGTAGAGACATTAAGTAATCTGGTTTGTTTGGATCTAGCTTATACAGACGCCTAAAATGCTGCTTAAAATCGAGGTTTGCACGTGCACGCATCAGATAAACGGAATTGACTAAACACAATAACTCCTAGTGAACTAAAAGCAGCCTTAATAAAGTCTCCAGCTAAAAGTCATGAGAATTCAAGCGTACCTTGGAATTCAAGGCTTCTTTTGAATCTTCATGGTTCAACAGCTGCGCCCAGTCGTTGAGAATATCCTTGAAGCATTTGTTGACTTTGTCGTTGATGAAAGCCATGGTTCCCGCTGGAGTCGCCATCACATAGATCAGAATGTGATTGATGGGTGCACTGCCGAGGGGATCGGTGTATCCGGGTGGTTTGCTAATGACTTCTTGAAACTTCAGTAACATATCCATGTAGTCTGTGATGGGATTTTCAGGGATATCAGGATCTTCAAATTCGTAGGTGAACATGGCTGAGAAGAGCATGTTTACCTCCGGGTCGGTTTCAATCAGATCTTTTAGGGCCAACAGCGAGGGTCGAGTAACTTCGTCTGCCGTGCGCATGCTTTTCACATGTCTGCAAATGGTTTTAATGTCGGCGGTAACCCAGTGACCAAGTCTGTACGTTATAGACATCTTTGTAACAACAGCTTGAAAAAAAAACACAAAGCACATTTAAGTACAAGAACACTGTTTCCAAAGTTCGAAACAGCTTTTCGAAATATGAATTTAATAAGTACCCTGCAAACTAGCAGCTATAGCTGCGTTTTAGTTATTGCATGTTCATATGACTGAGATTCCTACTCCTGAGTAGCCAGCAGGGGCAAGCTAAAAAAATTAGCTTAATTACAATTATTGGTTCATTAGTCCCACTTTTTGAGGTATATGCTAAAGGTACTGAGGGTACTTGTATTTCTAGATGGAATTTCGCATTTTAGAAACAATAGCTTCAAAAATTTGCGAAAAAAATCCATATTTTTTTACTCCGTATTAATCCAAATCATATTAACTTAACACTCCAGCTTTTTCAACTTCAGAAATGCAGCTTTTAAATTGTGCAAACGCTCCTTACGGACTATCGGTTATGAGATACAGCTAAATGATACAATATACATTTTTTAAACTACTGCAGAACATTATAATCAAAGCTTAAAAGTGAAAAAGTAAATATAAGAACAAGGTACATACCTTACTGAAGAATAAAACTCAACTCTTTGTATCCTCGAGACGTTACGATGACTCAAGCGAGATTAAAGTGAAATACGGACTTGGTGCATCTAATTTATAAGATCGCGCGTGAACTTGCCGGCCTGTAGCAACAGAATGCAGCTACATCGAAATTGATCTGCATTTTATCCCAGCTGTCAGAACTGTCAATAAAGTAATGTCATAAGTATTGTTCCCACAGAGTTAAAGCCTCCCGCCAAATAATTTCCCACGAAGCTCCAGAGTGCAGTGCAAAGATTCCGTGGGGCATTTACTGTCATTCGGGAGCTGCCTATAACACAATGAGCGGGTGTCGCAGTGTGTACATAATCTCAATTAATAAACTATTCATTTTCAAATGTTTGACAATTAGGTAAACTTACTTAATGAATATCACGAATTCTCATGGCAAGAATGCTTTTTTTTCCAAACATACAAGGATGAGATCAAGATTAAAACATGCATGCATGGTTAACTAACGATTTTATTCATGTGAAGTATCAGCCGCTCATTGGCCTGTTTTAGACGTCGAACTTTTCGTGTGCCGAATCCGCAAATGCAAACGAGTTTAAACAAAAACCTATAAAAATTAGCATACGATTTGGCACGTGAAAGTTCGACTTCTGAAATAGGCATTATCGTCAGTATAGGGACTTTGAGCATGCAGGAGGGCAACACGTCCGTCGACACGGATGGAACGCTCCTTTAAATAAATACTATATGGTAAAAAGTTGTTATATATTATCAATCGTGTTGATTTTATGTTGTAAAAGACGTTGAAAATATTAAGAATATAAGTTTGGGAACAATCGAGGGGGCGCTCGCTGCGTCCTGCATGAAATGCAGACGTTCTACACATGCATGACAGTTTTAAAAAGAACATATACGACGTCTAAAACTACCATAGATAGATCTTTAATTATTCTCTTCTTTTCAATGTCCTATTGTATAGATGACAGACGCCGTCGTCATATTCCCGTCCCACTTGCTTAAGTTCCCTATTAATATAGAAACTCTGGTTTCCCTTTAACATCGCGGGGGTGTTTACAGTATACTGAAGTGTGGCGATACTGCCGAAATAGACTCCCATGGCGCATGCCGACTTAGTTGTAATATGACTAATGGCAGGTTACATTCAGCTATCCGTGCAATGTTTTCGCGAACACTATACTAGTGTAAAGGTCAATTTCTTCATAACAAGCTACAGCTGTTTATGTATTCTCGTTTTCAAGACAATTATGCTCTCCCCTCGAAATATAACTAACATACAGGGTTGGGAACAGGAATATCACTTTTTTTCAAACGATCCATGACGTATATAAAAAAGCGAATAGCTGACGTCTGCAAATCGAGAACTTGTTTAGAGCCTCTAGAAAAAATCTTGCCTGGATGGTTATCTGTGAAATACGAAATGAACTAATGGTAAAACTGGGGATACGTTCACGGGGAGACGGAAGAATGGGAAACGTGCTCAAATTCGTTCAGTTCAGGTGTTCACAGGGTGAGAACGAATGAAAATTTGACCAGTTCTACGTGTTCACTCGAGGAAACCGGACGAGCTCGAGCATGGTACTAAATTTTTCGGTCTCTGGTGAACGCGGTACGAAATTCTTCCGTCCCCCGTCCAAGGAATGTATCCCCCGTCTTACCATTAGTTCATTTCGCATTTCACGGATAACCATGCAACGAGGGTAATTACATGAACACTTGCCAGCCCTGGCCGAGTTTCAGTATTTTATTTTAGGTACAGATAAATCGTAGAATACTTCAATTTCGTCTGCATTTACGACACGTGAAAAGACACGTGAGAAAGCATTTTCAAGGACAAGGCCACACAAAGCAAATTTTTTTCGATCCGGTTGAAATTTTTTACTGCCGAACTATAGAAGCAGCTCAGAAAATATTCTTTTCAGGCGCTAAACAAAATCGAAATGATCGATTTTTAGACGTCAGCTTTTGCCCCTCATTTAATATACTTCATGAATCTTTTTAAAATGATATTCGTGAACCAACTCGCAAGCTCTCTGCGTTTAATTTCGTCTAATCACAATGCTTGACAGTTTATTTTAATTACGTGCAAACAGTTTTACATTGGCCAACGGCGGTTACCTGATATAGTGTTTGCATATATACGCTTGGATGACGGCATGTTAATCAAGGATTTTAGATTGGGTTTAGTTAATCAACTTCCTGGCGATGGCAGAGTATTTTTAGGCGTTCGGCAATTCAGTTGACAAAACTAATTCCCGCATACATAGTCATAGACCTTTCCTGATAATACCACATTACCACTGCATAGTTTAATGGTAATAGGATTATAGCCAAAGCCTCTTAATTAAAAGCAATATTTTACGAATGAGCGCAGCAAACAGATGCAAACAAATGAGTAAAATATTTTTTCACTAACGAGATTTTCGTTTGAAAGAAACTCAAGAAATAGCTTCATATCGTAGAAGGTTTACTTTCTAATATTTTCATTTTCCCGCTCATCACAAAACGATTTTACATCTTTGTTCGTGAATTTTGCCATTAATTTTATTTAGTTTAAGCTGCAGGGTGTAAACAAACTGTATTGGCGGAAAATGATCACCTGTTCGATATCTTTACTAGTGAAGATATAGAAAATATCTTTCTGTATATTTTTCATATTTTACTGGCTGCTAAAATAAAACCGGTTAATAATGATAAGAACATAATAATAACAAAGTCATATAATTGACCCGAGCGAAGAAGACATTTGATTTATATTTAAGTCGAGATAATGAGATTTAAATTAAACTTATTAAACAGCTATCAATATCAATTAACTATGAACGCCAGAGATCTGAAATATACATTCAATAGCTTGGCACAATTCACCGACAAGCGTTAATGATATTTTTGTATTTTCATTCTCATTTTGTACTTTCCAAGTTGTTCTGCTGGAAATATATGTAGCGATATAAAGTAAATGGTAAATTCGTTAGCCATAAAATGGTGCGACAAACTTTTAATCTTTTAATTTAGCTCTAAACGAACATTGTAAATATTCTTGTGAGTTTTATAGCATTTTAATATTAGCACTTCATTGTAATTTGGTTAATGTCGTCCGAAAATCTGTTGTATAAACATCATCTGTGAGGCACAATATCTCAAATGAGCTTTATTACCGTATATTACATTGCGAAATATATATACAGTGTCAACAACCAGTGGGGTATGCCTTGTCATGTTCTGATTGACGTTTACAGTGCGGTTTTTAAAATTAGCCGTCATCTATTGTTACACAAGTCCCTGGTTTATCCTTGATAAATTCCTTCATTTGTCACAGGAATATTTGGAAAAGACCTGAAGACGTCCTCGTGTACTTATCGTAGGATATGCATGTATAGGCAGAGCTAAGAAAGAAGTCGAGAGACTGGCGTAGCTGAATCGAGTGTGAATGAACTTGAGGTTCATTAGGTTCGGCACATGAAAAGTTCGACGTCCGAGTGAGTTTGCCGACAAAAGAAAAATGGCTGGAGCCGGTTGTTCGAAAGCAACCTCGTACCCAGGGTCTTTACTCTACTCGTGAAGACCCTGGGTACGAGGTTGGTTCGAAAGGTGTTTAGCTTAAACGGCGGATAAGCCAAAGTTTAAAAATACTCTCATACATCTTTTGAATGACAGAAACTACATACATATTTTTGCATTTAATATGTACTTCCAATGACAATTAAAATATTTACATCGAAATATTTCAGCTCAGTTGTTCAATAAGTAGATAATTTGGTTTTCCATTTCTAACTTATCCACCGTTTAAGCTAAACGCCTTTTGAACAACCAGCCCCAGTACTACATGTATACAACATGTAAAACAATTAAATGTAATAGCGCTTTCGAAAATAGACTATTGCATTTTGGCGTTTTATGTTCAAATTATCAACTCCTTTTAAGAAATGTTGGACTTAAATTACTATTCAACACGAGGCGGGAAAATTAATTTTAAAAACTACAAACGTGCATTAATCCTTATGGCCTAGCTCACAAAGCACCCGCGTTTGCGAATTAAGTTGCTTGTAACTCGTTACATCATGCACACTTATATTATAAAGTTTATATATGAATTACTAACTATGGGTGTATACATGTGACCAAATACTGCGCTATGATTGGAAGTTAGACTCATTAATTATTCACGCATTTCACTTATCTTATCTTTATCTTATCATATGATTTTTATCTAAATTAAAATTCGCATGAACAGAAGTTGGAATTCTTATTTGAAGAGCACATCGACCTGATTTACATGCAGTGATGTGATTTAGAAAAGATGATGTTGCTGAGATGCCAATTGGTGTCATTAAATTGGAATTTGACATTGATTTATTGAATTAAATTTCTGGTCATGTATAAATTAAACAATTGATTTGCAAGAACAGAATAAGCATTAGAAAAAAGTAAAAAAGGGATTTCAGGAAAGGTGAATGATTGAGTTAAAAAGGATTATCGAATAGTTGGTGAAGAAAAAACGTCTGGTCTTTAGAGTTAGCAGTTAGCACTCATCGGCAGACAGCATCCATTTACAGGGACATAATTACAGCTATAGTTACATGGGGAATGGCATCCACATTTTAAAACTTTTGAGTCAAAAGGGTTGCAAAGATAATTCAATAAATTCAAATAGCATTTCCTATAATCAATTCGGTGTGTAAACTCAGGTGTGTAAACCTGGTCAACATGTCATTGTCCATGTACACATTCGATAAAATAGTTTAATATACGGCCTGCATTATGCATGTGTATGTCGGGCAATCATGCATGGGCCGGTTGTGTCAAGCCCTCGTTTAGCTTAAACGGTCAAAATTAAATAACACTTTTACATCTCTCTTGAATGAGTGAACTTGAATTTTATGCACTGAATATGACGTTGTAAACAGTATCTTTGTATTAAGCTGAAAAACATTTAAGTTCCAATATAACCAGGGAGCAGCGTGGCAGCGTCTTCAAACAACTTAGCATCAAATGTGGTATAACAAAATTAGGTACAGCAAACAATCGTAGACACGCTCAAACAATTAAAGTTTTTCAGGAAATCAGTACAAACCAAAGTCATAAACTGCATAAATTTTTATCAAAATTGAACAAAAATAGTTTTAATCTCAGAACAGCACGTAAATATCATGTCCCCGTGTGTAAAACCAATAGACTTCAGAAGACATTTTTTTATGGCAATTGTATATAATCTTATTACCATATAGTAATTAGTTAATTTAGAATATTTTTAACCATTAGTTTCAATATGCTTTGTAAATTCTTAATCTAATTCAGCTTAAATTTGGCTGTAATTATTAGAGTTAATAAACTATCTATCTATCTATCTAACTGCCTAAAATAAACAAAACACTTTTCGGTGTTTCAACCTGAGGGCCTTCGTCAGGAGAGTTAGTATGAAAATACTAACTTTAGCTCGTTAGTTGAATAAAACGATAGACTTGATTTCTATTTTCAACTTATCTACGTACCGTTAAAGCTAAACGGGCTTGATACAACCGGCCCCTGCCCAGTTACATCGCATTTTTAGTGTATTGTCCTAAGCGGTGGCAAAAACTGATTTTTCAAACAGATGCATAGTGGATTGTTTCAATTATTTGCACATGATATGAGCAAGTTATCTTCTGAAAACGAAAGAGAAATGAACTTTCTTCTTGTATATTTGAATTAGATCGCTAAACGCAAAATGTTATGCATGATAGTTTGCTGAAGTTGCCAGTTGGAGCATAATTTCTTCATTTACGAGTAATAACGTTTGAAATTGGGTGAGACGTCGGGGCGAAACCAATTCGCCAGAATTTTCAGGCATCGCGCGCAGGTGTAACATTGCATGATTATTTGTTTGTTATTTACAGCATTTTAAAAAATGGTATAATTTTTGTACTGCTTCATTGCGATCCTTTAGCAAAAAGTTTTAAATGCAAGCATGATAAACAAGACACCTGTTCTGGCGTTAACTCTGGCGTGCCGCGCACGTGCCAGTCTTCAATATAAGCTTCTGAACATATAAACAATACAGTTCATCATACGCATTTAATTTAGATGCCTTGCGAACTTGAATGTTGTTCGATCGCGACATTCAGAAGCACATCGTACTTTAAAAAGTATGGAAGTTCAATTGTTTAAAAATCTAAAAATTCAAATAAACCGCAAGATACGTTCACTTTGTCTTACACTTTGGAATTCGTGCCTATATTAAATCTTCAATTCTGTGCAAACTGACGTGTCAACGCGCCCATGCATACACGACCACATCTTGTTAAACGGCGAAATAGCAGCGATATTAATAAAATAGGACCAGAATCTACATGTATTAACTATATTCTTACCCCCAATTAAATCTTAATCTTTTTTCTTTTCGAAGAATTGCCGTATCATGCGAGCGAAATCGAATCACGCATCAGAAAATTAACCAAAGCCGTGCACCACAACTCTTGGGAGACAAAACTGTGACGTAGATAAATACGGTCACATACACTTTTCAAATACTAGTATATTTCGCGCGAAAACTCACTTGCGACACCGAAAAAATATTTTAAAAAAAACACGATACAAAACCGAAGCGAATTTTCAACTCCGTCGCTCACGCCGGAGTAATAATAATTTTTTGTGCCTCAGTATAATCAATCAAATAAATGCATGTACCCCTCTCGGCCAATCAGCATCCAATAATTTTATCATGCTAATAATAATGTCTGGAATATTTACCCACGCAAGTTAACCGCTGCTACCTCACCTAGAGATTTGGCCAATATTTGACCGACCAAGAGCTAGTCTAAACTAACATTTGTCGATATTTTTCTTTCGGCACTTAGCAATCTTTTGTTGTTCAACCGAAAGAATACGACCACCCCTGCGTGGTCTGTCTTGTTCAGTGACGCTGCGCTGTCACAACCTAAAGCTTTTGTCATTTCTGCATGGATGAGAATTCGCAGAACACTACAGTATGCAATGCATTGAAAAGAACTAGGAATAAAGTACACTTAGCTTATTAAGCAATCGTATAAATTTAGAGGTGTCCAACTCCCTGCTAAAGTTTGTCATTAGATGCTGGCTTCGATAACAGCTCGAACACTCCATCGAATTTGATCAGAAACAAAGAATATTTGAAGGTATCTTATCAATTATTTTCTGAGAAAAATAGTCTGTAGAGCAAAGCCAATTTTCTGTAGTGCAAGGGTGTGCTTTATGATTAAGTTGTACCCTATGCGAGACCTAAGCCTTAATATCAAGAAGATAACGTAAGAATAAATGTTAGAATGGAACGCATACATAAATTATTTCAAAACTGATTTTCCCGGATTACCAAAGCAAATTAATCTTGAAGTAAATTAATCATGCAGATTTTCAGTTCAGCGAAGTACAGTCATATCCGTAGCCCTGTGTATAGTTATTTCTATGTGACATTTAATGTGGTCATTCCGTCATTGATATTTCAGTAGCTTTTGAATACCCTGAATTTGCATAGATACACTGCATTATTGTACTTTCTATAACAACTATTAAAATGTAGGGCGAATGCAGGGAAAAATAGATACCCGAAGTGCATGGAGCCGAATTCAGTGCCGTACGAAGTATTAATTCCCGCTTTACTTAAAATTTATTTCATGATTTCCTTATAAACTTCAAAGAGCTTTTCAAATTTAAATAATTAGCATCGAAAGGAAAACTATGTTTAAAAATGCCAAAATTTACGCTTATTCACGGTTCAAAAATACCAAAATTTACGCTCGTTTCTCAGTTCATGACCAAACAGCTGTTTATTGCAATGCGTATTTTCCTCTGATACTGCAAACAATTGACAAGACGTTTGCCGAAGTTCAGATTCACTCTTTGCCGTGAAGCAGTTTTTACAGCCAAAAGCTTTTACATGTGTATATTCAATAGGTGTGGTAATTTCAACTTTAATAGTCGGCCAGCGCAGAAAACTGTCCAGCAACAAAATCTTTGCATTTCAAAATCGAGAGGCATTATGCGTTGGCATTAAACGAGTTGTGCATAAACGTGCATAACAAATGTAAAATAGTTTTTTTTGCTCTGCGTACCGCATAGGCGAGGGGCGGTTGGGTGGCCGAGCATTTTTATGTTCCTAAAGAACATTTTCATGGCTCTAGCCATGCGCAAGACGTTCAACGAAAGATATACGTTAAGATTAATGGAATGCTGAGACGCTGCATGTTTAGGGTTAGAAAATTATAAAACCATTATCAATCTTAGCATACAGCCATATACCTACATGCGATATCTATATCATAAAATGGATGAAATCGTCTAGGATTTCTCCTGCACCAGCATTTTAAACAATATATCCATGGCGTAATCTTACATAAGCGGTCGGCTGCGGTCAGGCATTTTCAAGTTAAACAGACACATATAAATTACGTACCTGACTTCAAAACATAAGAAAATGTTGTTCTGAAGTATTACTGAACTTTCTACGCGGCATCACGACGAAACACTGTTGGTATAGCAGCTCGACTGGCAAGCATAGTCCGTATCATAGAACGCCGACTTGACTCCTTTAGCGGTGAACTGCTGAATTGAATGACTGGTTGTTGTGGTTCGGGCTGATGAAAATACAAAAATATTCGATGTAAAAATCAGATTACATTAATTCATTACAATTCTGAAACAAAAATTAACCTATAAATTACTTCCCTACTATTAATCTCTAAATGATGAGATGAAATGAAATTGATGTGCTACAGGGTGCTTCAAAGTTAACCCAAATTTAAATTACACACTGTCGTGCATAGCATTCTCCGTTTAGTTATCTAATTCTTATACAGAGAAGAAGAAGCATCTATTTAGTTTTCTGAGGAAATCTTTCTCATATCATATGAACAAGAATGATAGGCCATCTGTTTAAAAGCTCAATTTTTTCCACCGCTTTAGGACAACACATTGAAAAATGTCGAAAACGTACACACTTGGAAACTGGGTGACTGCAGATCTCAAAACCATTTGCAGACACGTAAAAAACGTGCGAGAATCGCCCGAAGTCACACGACCATCGCTTTTAGCCTTGAAAGATTTGATTGAAACCGACCCTGAAGTGAACATGCTCTTCTCAACCATGTTCACTTACAAATTCGACGACCCAGATATCCCGGAGAGCCCCATCTCAGACTACATGAATATGCTGCAAAAGATGGAGACGATCATTGCGAAACCCCCCGGATATAATGATCCCCTCGGCAGTGCGCCCCTTAATCACATCCTGATCTATGTGATGGCAACTCCTCCAGGAACCATGGCTTTTATCAACGATAAAGTCAACAAATGCTTCAGAGATATTCTCAACGACTGGGCACAGCTGTTGAACAACGAGGACTCGAAAGACGTCCTAAATACGAAGGTGATATTTGCCTTACCATTTAGTCGTCTCTGTTTATAAATAGAAAGAGACTTACATCCACTGAAATAAAAAATTACATTAAATAAAATTGGCTAAACTATGTTTAAAACTAGTGTCTCGTCAAGTTAACTTTGATCTTTATATGCAGGATGGATGGTTGTGCCCCGAGTCATTGGCGAAAATGCCCGACTTCCTTGAGACGTACCAAGTCGACTTGACCGATCCTTTGTACTATGGATTCAAGTCCTGGAATGATTTTTTCGCCAGAAAACTGAGAACGGACAAAGATGTTCGCCCAGTTTGGCGACCAGATGATCCCTACTCGATCAGCTGCCCTTGCGAAGCATTTCCGTATTTCATTGAAAGAAACCCGAAGCTCCGCGATGAATTTTGGATCAAGTCTCAGCCGTACAGCTTGCAACATCTGCTGGATGACGACGCCTTGACCGAAAAATATGTGGGAGGTACCGTGTACCAGGCCTTTCTCAATTCTACCAACTACCATCGCTGGCATGCACCGGTTGATGGTACAATAACCAAGGCATACATCAAGGAAGGCGCCTACTACGCAGAAGCTCTCTCAATGGGTTATGATCCAACAGCCAATACCTATTCCCAACGCTACCTCAGTCACGTGGATACCCGTGCCATAATCCACATCGACACAGGGAACCCAATTCTTCGTACAGTCATCTTCATCGCCATAGGAATGGCCGAGATTTCAAGCTGTCCTATCGATGTTTACTACGGGCAAAAAGTGAAAAAGGGCGATCCTCTGGGAACCTTCATGTTTGGCGGGTCCTCGTATTGCCTGCTCTTTGAGAATGGCGTGCATGTCAGGTTCACCGCGGAGTTTTATCCAGAGCAACTATGGCCAAAACTACTGCAACAGGTCAATGGCAATCTTGGTAGAATCAAAAGTGTCTGAATTGCCCTGTATAACTAACAGAAAGAGCATCTAAGAGGCACAACCTTTTGTTTTATATAATTCTACATAAAAAATTCATGAAGTAGTAAGTAGTTGATAAGGGACGATTCAATTGGTGATTTTGGGCTAGACTGGTGCACGAGGAATCAAACTGAGATACGATATAAAAGGGTGATAATTATTATGAAAAATTTAGTTCAGGATAGATGGTCTGTCTCATGTGTAAATGGAACCGTTTTTGCGTCCGCTGTCCATAAGGACTGCGGAACGCTTAGTCATCACGCAGAGGCTAGACGGGGTTTATGGCAAATTATAAATGCAAAATATCTGAGCATGCGCGAAACGGATGGGGGAACCGCAGGCGCCCTAAAAACGTCATATGCTCACGTGATGACCGCAATTTCCGGTACGATCTGATCTGCTAATTTTGTCGACAAGTTCTGAGCAAACTGCCAAAGACAAGTTCGCAAAATTCGATTTGATTTGGCCGTTTTTTGCTGGTAAACGTCGCCCTACTTCATCTCATTCAAGGTACGCTAACCAGTTTCACCTTAGGCTTAGCTGTATTTATCTATAAATGTGTTGACCTTGAGGGCCGAGGCTTGTCTCAAAGTCGACGAGGTGACATGCAGTTTGTTAAGCACGCTTTTTGTTTTGTCTTTTAGTGCGATTCTCGTCGAGTCATCGCAGCAACAAACTCACTGGGGCCTTGTGTCTGCACTGACTCGTTTGTCAGGCAATTGCGTGTTGTATCGCAATCGAAAAATCTATAAACTAAACGGGGCCTTGTGTCTGCACTGACTCGTTTGTCAGGCAATTGCGTGTTGTATCGCAATCGAAAAAGCCATAAACTGGGACCTTGTGTCCGCAAAAAAATTGCTAAAAACTTGCTAAAAACTTGCTAAAAACTTGCTAAAAACTTGCTACAAAATTGCCAAAAAGTATACAAAAATATTCATCTGAAACTGGATAACAAATCAAACAAAAGACAGTCTGCACAAAACTACTGACAGTCACGTGACATCATACTAGACATGGGAGTGTCAATTGAACAATATCGAGCAAGAGTTGGTTCTCATGCAAACTTTGTGAGACAAAGAGAAGTGTCCAGACGTCTGACAGGTACTTTCTGGAACACAATGTTGATGATGTTTTATTTAAATGTATTTTACTTCCCAACATTAAAGCAAATAAATGAACAATACAGTAGATCAAATGAACCAGTAATTTGGTTTATCAAAATGGTCTGTTATCACCAAGTGTATGTGCCTGGTTTACTAAGATTGTCAAATGATGTGGAAACAAACCCAGGACCTACAGTATATGACATTGTTGATGCAACAAAAACTGTGTGTGCTGATTTTAGCCAAGGTTGTGAAGTCAGATTTGGACAAAATGCAGGAAAGCAATGTGTTGCTATGTCCTTGACTGCAATAATCTTCAGCCAAATACAAGATGTTACAACCTGGGATACAGAATTATTAAACACAATTTTAATTAATGGCAATGACCTTTATACATGTATATCCAATTCAGTGAATAAAGACTTGTTGCTATTGACTGATGTGCCTGAAATGGTTTCTGTTAATGACATAATCTATAATTTACAATACAGTGAGTCATATGCTGGTGATGTATTCATGGCATGCAATAGTCGACCATATTTCACACTTCTAAGTGCATTAAATAACATATTCCTATTTTCTGAGCTAACATACAGTTTTGCCCTGCTTACTATTGGTTGCAATACTGTGGCAATATTGAAAGTTGCAGATGGGTCTTTTAGAATCTTTGATTCTCATGCTAGAAATTTGTTTGGTGTTCCTAATGAATTTGGAAAATGTATTTTAATCACAATTAACAATATTCAAGATCTAGTTGTATATTTTCAGACTCTTTCACCTGGAGGTGTTACACCATTTGAGGTCAAAGGTGTTCAGTTTACTTCAATGTGCTCACTTCATAGTGAACATGTAAGAAGGGGAAACCCCGGGTTAAACAACCCTGCAACAAATGATGAAATGTCAAAAAAAAACAAAATATGCTAAACATAAACAAGTAGGTGAAAGTAGTGAGGCAAGAGAAAAAAGGTTATCAAGCCAAAGGGCATATAATAAACGTAAAAGAGAAAATGAAACAAATGAACAGAGAGAGAAAAGATTAGCGGCAAAAAAAATGTACAGGGAATATAAACAGAAGAATGAAACTGTAGAAGAAAGAGAGAACAGGCTTGGAGCAAGAAGACAGTATCAAAAATGTAAAAAGAACAATGAAACTGTTGAACAAAGAGAGACTAGGCTTGCAGCACAGAGAGAACAACGAAGGAAACAGAAGCAGAAAAATAGGCGAAATAATAAAAAATGTCATCATGTTGACATTAGTGATTTGATAACACAATTCCACAAAACTGTGTCAGAAGGGCCATTATATATTTGTACATGTTGTGATCAATCATGGTACAAGCACAGTGTTCAACGTGCAAATAACCTGCGACTGAACAATATCAACATGTCTAATCATTTACAAGGAAAGTTAAGTGTTAATGGTGAAGAATGGATTTGTAGATCATGTAATGACTATCTACGTAGAAATAAAGTACCTCCATGCGCAGTGTCAAATGGGATGAAATTTCCTGCCATACCTGAGTTTTTTGATCTAAATGAATTAGAATGTAGACTTGTGGCTCCAAGGTTGGCATTTCAAAAAATTATGCAAGCACCAAGAGGTAAACAATTCAAGATTAATGGTAATGTGGTGAATGTGCCAGCTGATGTGACAAATACTGTCAATATGTTGCCTAGGTTACCTCATGACACAGGTACAATTAAAATTAATTTGAAAAGGCGTTTACAATACAAAAGTTCAGCATTATCTTTAAATGTGAGACCGCAAAAAGTTTTACAGGCAACTGCGTGGCTTGCAAACAACAGCACCCTGTATAAGGAACAAGGCATAACTTTAGATTCTAATTGGGCAAAGCACTATGCAGATAGTCTACAAAATACTTGTCCAAGTGATGGCAGCCACAATACACAAGATAGTGACACTAATAAAACAAACAATGATAATTGGACTGAGGGAGAAGCAGAAATACCTGCTGGAGTAACTGATAGTATGCTTACTGCCACAGATTTTCTTAGTGACCATGAAAGGGAAGGTATTTATAGTATTGCACCTGGGGAAGGCAACAGACCAATGAGCATATTTAGAGACCAATATTGTGAAGAACTGGCATATCCTGGTATTTTCCTAGGCCAAAAACGACCAAGCGATAAAGACAGATTAGTCAGTGCATATTACAGTGAAATATGTAAATCTGAATTAAGACGGTCAGACCGCAGGGCTGCTATGTGTGTAGAAAATATATTCTTTAAAACCAAAAAGCTCCAAATGAAAATTCTGTTAGGAAAATCCCAAATTGCATTGAGAAAATGTAAATCTGGCAATCAAGCCATAACAGCAGGTCAATTGAAGCAAAGAGGAAGCCTAGAGAACCTTATCCACCATGATGAAGGTTACAAATTTTTGAGAGGATTACGAGGTTCACCACCCTATTTTGAAAAAGCAAAAAAAGATTTATTTGCAATGATTCGCCAACTGGGTCCCGCAACATTGTTTTGTAGCTTCTCGTCTGCTGAAACTAAGTGGAACCATTTATTAAGAATACTTGGCAAACTGGTTGACCACAAAAACTACAGTGATGATGAACTTGACAATTTAGAGTGGAATGATAAATGCAGGTTAATTCAAAGTGACCCTGTAACATGTGCTAGACACTTTGACTTCCAATTTAATACATTCTTAAGACAATTTCTGATTAGCAGCACTGCACCTTTAGGAAAAATCAAAGATTGGTTTTATAGAGTTGAATATCAACAACGGGGGTCACCTCATATACATATGTTGATATGGCTTGAAAATGCACCAGTGTTTGGAGTCAGTGAGGATAAGGATGTAGCTGCATTTATCGACCAAATTATCACATGCCGGAAACCTGATTATGACCCAGGACTGCTTGATTTAGTTAATCGACAGATGCATAGACACTCCCATACATGTAAGAAGAATAACAAAAATGTTTGTAGATTTAATTATCCTCAGCCACCTATGAGGTCAACTTCAATATTACACCCACTTGAAGACACATTTTCTGAAAATCACAAAAAATCTCTTAAGCAACAATGGAAGGATATTACGACAAAACTCAATGATTTGAAAGATGGACAAGATGTGACATTTGAGGAGTTTCTCCAAGAATTGAGTATCACAGAAGAAAATTACCTTTTGGCTTTACGTTCATCGCTGAATTGTCCCACAATATTTTTAAAAAGAGAACCAAATGAACTAAGGGTTAATAATTACAACCCAGCATGCCTTAAAGCATGGAGAGCCAATATGGACATCCAGTTTGTCCTTGATGTATATGCTTGTGCCATGTATATTGTGTCCTACATTTCTAAAGCACAGAAAGGTATGAGTGAGTTATTGCGCAAAGCATGTGAAGAAGCAAGAGAAGGCAATGCTAGTATAAAGCAACAAGTACGAGACATTGGTAACAAATTCCTTAACAGTGTTGAGATCAGTGCTCAAGAAGCAGTTTATGTCACCTTACAATTACCAATGAGAAAAGCTTCTCGTAGTGTGATATTTATTCCCACTTCACCTCCAGAAGAAAGAGTTCACCTGTTGAAACCATTGAGTGAAATTGAGCATATGGAGGATGACTCAGAAGAAATTCATGCAGGGGGTCTTTTAAAACGATATGTTGAACGACCACACTCAGTTGAAAATGTTACTCTAGCTGACTGGGCAGCTTGGTATGATTCTTGTGGCTCAAAACCATATAAACCAAAAAAATCATCTAAACTTGATATTGATTGTCTACCAGAAGAAACATTAGATGATGAGAATAATGATGATGAGTTATGTGATGATATTAACATAGAAGTATTGAAAGGCAGCAATAAACCTAAGAAAAGACAAACAGCTCGAATCATCAGAAGTGCATGGTTTAACAAAGAAGCTCACCCAGAGAAACATTATCGTGAATTAATTATGCTTTTCACCCACTGGCGAAATGAAGATACAGATTTAATGAGAAACTACTCTTCCTATGAAGATCATTATTTAGCCAGAGTTGATGAAATAGCTGAACAAATGAGTCAATATGCGGTCTGCGGGGATGATTTAAATGACATTCAAAGCAGGTTAAATGAAAATGATGATGATGATGAGTTTTGTAACATTGCACCAGTTACGCAGCATAATGAACTGCAAGATCAAAATGAAGGTGATGTTGATTTACACCCTGATCTAAATGAACAATATGATTTATCAGGTGATCTTGGTATTCCATCAACCTCAGTAACTAGTGAGCCACTTGTGTTGAATGAAATGCAGGATGATGAATACAGAACAATGGTACAATCATTGAATAAAGAGCAAAAAGAATTCTTTTATCATGCTTTAAATCTCATTAAAACATCAGATAAGCCATTTTATTGTTTCTTAAGTGGTGGAGGAGGAGTTGGAAAATCTCATCTAACAAGATCAGTTTATCAAGCTGCTCTCAAATTCTATAACACACGTGCTGGGCAAGATTTCCATCAAGTTAAAATACTTTTATTAGCTCCAACTGGTAAAGCTGCATACCTTATTAATGGCAACACAATACATAGCACCCTGGCAATACCAGCTAGCCAATCACTTAAACATTATAAACCATTGGATTCAAGCCGATTGAATACATTACGGACTCAATTAGGTGGAGTCAAACTAATATTACTTGATGAAATTTCAATGGTTGGAAATAACATGTTTACAGTGCAGATAAACAATCGCTTAAAAGACATCAAAGGTAGCAAGGAAGATTTCGGAGGCGTTTCCATAATTGCAATTGGCGACTTGTTTCAATTACCACCTGTATTTGACGGTTACATTTTTAATGATATCCAAAATTCAGAATATAGCATACTGTCACCTAATCTGTGGAATAAACACTTTAAAATGTTTGAATTAACTGAGATTATGAGACAAAGAGAAAGCAAAGCATTTGCAGAAATTTTAAACCGATTAAGGGAAGGGAATCATACAGAAGATGATATTGCAAAGATAAAAGAAAGATGTGTAACTGAGGCTGACTGTCCACCAGATGCTCCTCGACTGTATATCAGAAATGACAATGTTGATGAGTACAACCAAGAAGTTTATGACAGAGCTACTGGCAACAAATATAGCATAAAGGCACAAGATAGTGTTATTGGAGCAAACACTGCGGAATTAAGAGACAAAATTTTGAATCAAGTAATGAAAATGACTTTGCGAAACACTAAACAGCTTGCCAGAAACTTACAACTCGCTGAAGGTTTAAGAACAGAGATGGTCTTGAATGTAAGAACTGATGATGGTCTCACAAATGGAGCTGGTAATATTAAATTAATACAGTTGCATCAAGCTAACAGACCATCTGGTATAGTATGGGCTGAGTTTGATCATGAAGATGTTGGCAAAAAAACCAGACAGGAAAACAGACACCTTTATGTGCAAGGTATTGAACGTTCATGGACACCAATCAAACCTGTTACAGCTCAATTTGCTGTTGGTAGAAATAAGGCTGCTCAAGTTGTGAGGAAACAGTTTCCATTAAGATTAGCTGCTGCAAAAACTATACATAAAAGCCAAGGAAGTACTATGTCTGAAATTGTTGTTAATCTCGACACAAAGAGAGCATTCTCGCATATCCATTATGTTGCACTGAGTAGAGTAACCTCATTAGATGGTTTATATGTCACTGACCTGTGTGAGAATAAAATAGCAGTCGATGCCAAAGTTGTTGCTGAGATGACAAAATTACGAACAGATAAATCTTTGAAACTCTGTTACACCCCATTTTATAACCTTGACCAATCTGCCTTGAAGATCTGTCATTTAAACGCGCGTTCTCTGCATAAACACATTAATGATGTCCGTAAAGACTTTAATTACTGTAATGTTGATATAGCAGTATTTACAGAAACGCGATTTAGTCCATTTGATGAGGATGAAATGTACACAATAGATGGCTTCGAACTATTCCGAAATGACGCCATGTTTAATCAACGCACAAACACAAGAGGCTATGGAGGTACAGCAGTGTACAGCAAAGTACCATATGTTCCAGGATATCCCTATTGTCACAACATGAATGGTATCGAGTTCACAGTGATCAAGGTTGCCAGCAGAGCTGATACTACCATCATTGCAGTTTATCGTTCACCAAAAGTTCCTATCAGAGACTTATGCTTAGCTTTGACAACCATTTTGAATGAGCATGCATCACTACAGAATATTGTGATCGGAGATTTCAATGTCAACTGGTTAGTGGACACAGAACGACAACCGCTCTACAACGTCATGGTAAGAGACCAATGCTCATAGACAGTTGATATGTGATGTTACAACAGACAATCAAACGCTAATTGATCAAATATTTACAAATATTTCCGAGTCTGAAACAGAATCAGGTATTCTTGAAACATATTTTAGTGACCATAAGGCAATCTGGGTTTCCCACAAACCAAGGTATTAGACTTTAGACAATTATAATTACTGTTATGTAATACGTCTAATATATTCAAGACATATTACTTTTGCAAAAAAACAATGCAAACAACTTAAAAGTGAACTTAGTTATGAAATCATACAAACTATGCTATGCTATGAGAATATACAGTATAATATGTTAATTGTTATTTGGAATAGAGATTTTGGATCATTTTGATCATTGCAGTTCATATAAACAACATAACAGAAATAATATACACAGCTCTTACTAAATTTATTGTAGTTTCATGAGTTACTTGTATGTATGCGATAATTAATGCAAAACTGTGATAAGTGCAGCCATACAGCCATATACTACACCTTATATTACATGGTGGTTAATGGAGGGGGTTAGTTTTCAAAAAAGCCAATAACTTTCTATGTTGTTGGTTTCATTTGTAAAACAAACATGCTCTCCCCTTCCATTAGCCACCAAAACCTTGCATGCATGACTACAATAGGACTAGGCCCATTCTTGAAAATGATGTAAAATATTGTACACTCTGATATGCCCCGTCATTTTCAAGAGTTAACAGTAACAATGATTTTAGTAATATAATTCTATCCCAATTCTGTTATATGATCATATCAATAGTAACAAAATAATAACTGAAAAGCTCCTGCCATGTCTGGTTGTTGCATGTATTCCAAGAAATAATTAAGGTTTGTATACTGTCCTATGGTATTACTTGCATTAATTTACCAAGTACATCATTATTCATTGTTACTATGTTGTAGTTCTTCCATCTAGCATGCCTATTATTAACAATAATCTGTAATTCTGTTGTTTTTTCAGGATTAAAATCATTGGCCATTGAAATCTTGCCTGAGAGTCGAATGAAAATATGTACAACCCATGTACTGCACATCCAAAATTGACCATACTGGTATAACTAGCTTCTGTACTGGAGAGTCAACATCAATTATTATACTGACATACAATTCAATAATGGGTCCCATGGAGAGAAGTTTGTTAAAGACATGCTACAGGGATTATTCTATCCATTGGTGAGACTAAAGTACATTATATGCTTGACAATATCATTATACTGTACTTATACTGGATTAGTCATCAACTGCTATGCACTATGGGTGTGGTGGACCAATACACAAAATCATTACAACTGGTACCTACTGTAGTCTGCAGTATATTGCTGGTTCATGCACCCTGGCCCAACTCCTTCACGCTAGGAACTCATGGTATGTGGGCACTGGTGTGCATGCAACTGAACCTCCAACAACAATGATTGTACCAGCTTTAGCAATCAGCACAGGAAAAGCCTGGATTGTCACACAACAATGACATTGGACATTTTATTGAATATATATAAGCACTTGGAAGCTTGACTTGGAATATGGGATTTTATTTCTGAATGGATTTCAAAATAATGAAGATAACCATGCCATTGGCTTATTCTACTTGATTATTTTCATTTATCTGATGATGGTCTTCTACTGGAAACATCACCTGTTTATAACATCACTCCTCTTTCACCTTTGGTTGGAACACTCTCCATGCACCACGATGTTTTGGACAAGTCAATGAAGTCATGTTCAAGCAACAGTGTGGAAGCTATAGTACTTTGAAATGTGTAATCCATCTTCGATCGATATCTTCAAATGGAAAACATTGACTCTCAAAGCAGATGGACGAAGAGTATAAATTCAAGACATATTACCACACACCAGACTGACACTCATGAGACTAATTATTTATTACCTCTAATATAGTACTCATGTAATATTTTAGCTTAAGTAATTCACAATGCATAGATCCCATAGCATTCATTTTCTTAAACAATGCATTCATTGCATCATTATGTGCATCCATAGATCATAAAACATTTTGCTACTGTCAAACAGAAACACATCAACAAAAAATATTATTTTCATCTTTATTTAATGTTTAATATCAACCATTCATTACCTTTATGTAACAATAACTATTAACAAATTGCAAAGTATAAGTTATTAGCTAACTAAAACTTATTGAATAACTAGTAATTTTAATATTTGTGACTACAAATTCCATGTGATGAATCAAGTTGTGCCTATACTGTATACAGTAATATTGTCATACCAAGTCAATATAGAAACGAAAACACAACTTACAGTACCTATTATTACTTTCCATGGTGCAACTCTTTTTCATGAACAAAAAACGTGTTTACATAATATTAACAAAACCGTCCCTACGCCAGGCAAATCTAAGACCCTAGGCTACCCTCATTGACAATACCACCTTTTCTTCTACAGAAACAGTGAATTTCACTCTATCAATTAACAACAGGGTTTCGGTTATCATATCTTCAGACAACTTTTTAACACTTTCTTTTACGTTGTAATCATCTTTCTCAGAGACTGACTTAAACATCTCATCTATGACTGCTTCAGAACAGAAAAAATCTACCCTTGATTTCTCCTTCCTCTGCTATAATAACATTTGCTGTAACAACTGACACCAAACTTCCGCTAAGCATACTTAATTTACAACATTTACACTTTATGAACTTATCACTGCAATGAACCAACTTACTTTTACAATTTACGCATAAAAACGCTTTATTAACTTCTACGCCCACAATGTTGCCAACAAATAAACTGGTTTCTTTCTCATTCGGCACAAGCTCCATTGCTGCCTTCACGATCTCCTCCTCTATACTCATCTTTTCATCGGGCAATTCTACTATGGTAGAACCAGTGTTAGTATTCAGACATTTGCTTCTATCAAGGCAACTTTGACATCTTTGAACTTGTGCACTTTTTCCACGATAACATGGGCAATAAGATCTTCCCACACCGTCAATTCAATTGACCCAGACGCATCTGCCACTACCAGATCGCATTTTCTTAGCTTCTTTCCATACGCATTCGAGAAAATAGTTGTCACTTCTGACTTGTGCAGAACAACAGCTTTCAGTGAAACCACTTCTCCTTCTTTTCCTTCCTCCAAAATACTCGCAACGTCAAGAAACTTCGAATTATGGTCCTTCCACGGGAAGGAAACATTCTTGGCATCTTCGACTTTCGAATACTTTTCCAACTTGTACTCCGTTCCCTCTGCAAACTTTCGTTTTTGTGGACTGACTTGTACTAACCGCACTGGCGACTTGTCATCTTCCTTGCGTTTGAGGTTGTTTCTTTTCTCGGGAGAAAAGCACACCACGCGTCGGCTTTCGTCCCCTCTTGCACGACAAAATGGAAGTACCTTCCACCAGTTTTAGCTGGCATTGCCAGATCGGAAACCCGATGGACGAAGCCTTCTACATCCACTTTTTTAGCTGCCATGTTGATAAAGCACGTGCAATTTGCAAAAAAAAACAGCCGAAGGCCGAATCGCGAAAAATCGTCCCAGTGTCCTAACACGGCCGCGCGGCCGGAAATAGGTCATGTTTCAGGGCCATAATATATCATCGCGCATGTGACGAAAACGTCTCATGTGGAACCAAATATTTCCACTAGGATTTCCACTAGGCGAAAATTTTCGACCGAAGTTGGTTTCTATTGTCAAAATTCAATAGATCATAAATTAGTTCCACTTGAATGCTTCTGAGACAAAGGAAATTTTCGTTTCGATCGAAAAATTTCGCCTAGTGGAAATCTGCCTTTATATAGGTCTCTCCGTTGTGCGCCCAACGTCTGAAATTGTATCCCTTGATATTAACTCTACTTCTGCTCCTTATCCATTAGGCCGGCCTTACACGGTCCCACTTTTCGCTCAATATACAATTATAATAGAATATCCGAAAAAAAATTATAATCTATAGACACTCAACGGACTCAGCACCAGAAGGCCAAGAACCTTTAGCTCGACAAGCCTAACATTGCACGCCTCAACAAGTAAACTAGAGGAACTTTCTCATTAAATATTCGATCTAGTTACGCAGGGACGTATCCAGCCCGAAATGAGTAGGGTACAACTGACTTTTAACAATAAACCAGACAAAGTAGTACAATGCGGTGCCCCTTGCTGAGGCCTGTTGCCTGATGGCTTCACTACAGTTTTAATATGCAGCTATTTGCCCACAATGTGGTTGTGAACGTCATATACCAGGGCTCACCATGAAAATCAAATTTCCTATTAATAATTGTCAGTTTTCCTGTATCGCCAATAGACGGTTCATACATACTCACTTGAAAAGAAATGAAAAAGATGGCGATATTTATGGCACAGAATTATAGCGACATTTAACCAGAATGCATTGCGAGCATCTGCCTGTATGCCTGTTGCTGTAGTTTAATAATCATTTATATTTAATAAAGGGAAAGGTCACTTTTTCTATTGGGAATTTAATAATTAAATATTACTGCATATAAAATTTGGTGTATTGATGACATGATCAGTACAAGAGTATGAGAAGCAAAAATTTTAATTTCATACAGTAAAACACATTTCAACTTTACTATAAGCCACGTCCTTAATTAGTGCGAATGCAGTAATTATTTACAATGAAAAAAATAGTTGATAAAAAATAATACCTGTAATATGAACTGCTGAAAATAACGGGCAGAATCAACCTATTATTAAATATTACCCTCATCAGATGATTTTACTCACTGCCAGGAAAACTGTCAGTGAAATGTGAACTATGTACAAACAATAGTAGACTATTAGTAACAGCATACATGATATGCATCACAGGTGGTTAATACATGTAGGAATTGATGATATGATTCCCCAAATTAAAGTCTACTATATGAGAAAACAATGATTATAGTGACTATTGTGGCTATACTAGGAGGTTTAAGTGCAGGGGTTTGTGCTTTGCCTCATAACTCCTACAATAAGGACCTGTGTACTGTATTTAAATCAGGATTTATACTTCTTGGGAATGTATAGTGTCACCATAATGATAATACAGTAGTATATAATAATTCATTTTAAATTAGAATCAGTATGATATGTATTCCTATTTCTAACAAAAAATTATTACAGTTTAACAGAAAACATTACCAGAATATTGGATGAAATTGTTAAAATGACATTATAAGTCTAGTACAAACAAAAATTTGTCGCATGAAATTCTTCATTTACTTGTCTATTTGTATAATCTTCAGCAATATCACTTTCATCATCATGCTTGTCGACGTTCAATGCACGATGCCGATGGACACTTCTGCAGCCGATCGCTGTAATCTGTAGGCGTACAAAACTTGATTGCCCAAAGACAAACTAATTGCATTACACATAAGCGAAATCAGAGCTTTTTTGGCCGCAAAAATGAACTTTCCAAAATAGTGGTTTGTTTACGTGCACTGGTTCAGAAGCATGTATTTCAGCACGAAAGCAACGATTCCATATCCCCGAGTGCTTCCTCTATCTCTTATTGTACATCTACGATCCTCCAGATTCCCCCCAAAATCCGAGCCCACGGTAACTGGTCTGATCAAAATCCGAGCCCACGGTAGACGTCTGATGCGTTGTAACTTATACAATTTTGCATGTGCAAGCGGTAAATACCTATCGAAGTTGGTCGGACGGACGGACGAACGAACGAACGAACAAAAACCGAGCAATTATAATGCGGTGCTAGGGCACCGCAATTACAGAAAAATCCGTAGATAATCTTTCATTGTGAATGCCTGATTCAAAACAGACTTTGCACGCGTGATTTAATAATTAAAATATCACTATGCATTCCTATAACTTCCCACTACTGAGAAACGTTTTATTTCCTTATTAATTTCTCGCCCAATTCACAACAAAATTCAACCAAAATCTAATCAACTCTTCACACAATGTTAACCATTTACTTACGAGAAAACGAATTCCTCGCGGAACAGCGGGCGCATGTACGCATTGCGGACCTATTTTTATTAATAAAGAGCGGTCAAATGCAATGTTATCTATCAATGCGGGTACCTCAGTCAGTATTACCCCCCACACATTTTTTATACAACCACAAGAAACCTTTCCACCTTTTTTAAATAGCAACGTTACACTTCCTCCTCCACTTATGGTAAAAAATAAATAGCCCAAAATAAAGAACCCAATATAGCATTCGCGTTTCCCTTAATTACTGACTTGTCTTCCCGTTCTGTATACTTCTACCACGCGTAACTGCTGGAACCATTTTCTAAATCCAGTATTTGGTAACACCATCACCTCCTATTGCTCGATTTATAAAATAATCAGCTATATACTTGCATTTTACATCATGCACTATTGCTTCCAAGACATGCACCAAAACCAAAGGGTGTCAAGTCAGTTATTTCATCAAGCCCGTTTCGCTTAAACGGTGGTTACCTCAAAATTAAATAACACGCTTACATCTCTCTTGAATGAGTCAATTTAACTTGAATATTATGCACTGAATATGTAGTTGTAAACATTATCTTTGTATTAAGGTTAAAAACATTTAGTTTGCTGTTTGAATAAAACGATAAACTTGCATTCTAATTTGAACTTAACCGCCGTTTAAACTAAACGGGCTTGATACAACCTGCCCCTGCAGTGGCTTCGAATAAAATCCTCTGTGTTTAAACCTTCTTCAATGCACCGTTCAGTACAAGGAATTAACAATTTGTACAAGTTACAACATACCTTTCTCTGCGATCAACATCCGCCATTCTAGCATCGCATGGGGAGATTTTCTGTGTTTAAACCCCCTTAGCTTGTTTACTAACACTGATGCCATGTTTTTGGTTTGTACAGCATAGTCCTTTATCTTCTCTTACATTAACAATAAATTGATCCCAAACTTTGTTTAATTCCCATGCTGTCATCGCACACATTTCGAAAGTAGCACTCGTATATCTCTAAGCCCTGCCTCAACTTTATTTCCTTCGGTATCAGGCTTATACTTACACAAACATATGAATGAATGAAATAATCAACAACTGGGTGGGCATGCAGACTAACTGAATCATTAGGCCAAATCGTCATTAGTGCCGTCAACAAAAAAATATCCAACACAAATAAACCAAGTGGCTATTGTGTGCAGCCTAAACCATGCAAAATGCTCAAATGATTAATATACAGGGTGTCCTATTAACCTTGACCAATTTAAATGCCTGACCAATGCTCGAGTGCGCAAAAACACACAATAGAGTCAAATCTCAACCTCGCAAGCCAGGCTTTTCTATACCTTAGCTCCTACGCTAATAGATTAATTTCTTAGGCCTGTGTTAGACGTCGCATTTTAGTCGCGTCGAATACAATTCAAACAATAGATAATGAGATGGTAAACCTCATTAAACTTCATTATCATCTCATTATCTATTGTTTGAATCACTAAAATGCGACGTATAACCTAGGCCTTAGTGTTTTCATTTTTTTATACACCCTGTACAGGGTGTCCCAAAAAAAGTCCCCTCTATTGAAATCAAGCCTTTGTTAGAATCTGATTGCCTTAATATTATGATAAACCCAATTGAAAGCAAGACGCTTTATTTGAATGCCTCAACCTAATAACTATGCTATTTACACACTACTGCGTTGATCATGCATTCAAATCAACAAAGGCTTCATTTCAATAGGGGGGACTTTTTTTTGGGACACCCTGTATAGCAGAATCAATAAAGAAATATTACGTCTTTAAAATGAAACTTACACAACATTAAAACATGTACATATATTTACGCTCTTGGAATACAATAAAAGCTATTCAGCTTCTCAAACTAAACTCCCCCAGAATTAATCCGAGATTGCGTCATTTACTTTACGTCTTGCAGGTCAGTGAAAATATATCAATGCAAAGGGGAAAATTGATTAATATATGATGTATTGTTGATTAGGGTAATATGAACGAACATTGAACAAGTTAAAAGGATACAAATATGACCTTTCAACAACTCGATCATTTGTATTTCATTTTATTGCAAACGCGTCGTTGGTTTCAACAATCGGACAGCCATACATTGAAATACCATTGGAAATTGAGACCGGACTGAACAAGTCTAAAGATGGTTTCCACCGGATTTTGAAATCCTTAATACATCCTTGGTAGGATGTCTTCACTTTAATTCCATAGGACCAGAGATTTTCTGAAATAAATAAACTCCTATTGAAGAAAATTTATTCTCGATTCGCAGCCAATCACTGGTCGCAGTATCCTATACACGGACAAATAAGCCCTGTTCGTCGGGTATATGCACTTATAATATATCTAGCTTTTATATGGCAAAAAGGAAAACGGAAATTTATTTCAATTGCTCTCAGTAGCGTATAGCCAGCCTGACGATTGGTCCCACTATGCTAACATTTTGGTGTTCATTGACTGTGAAAACAATAAGTTTCTAAAGAAATGAATAATTATAATAACTCGAAATTTACTTAGCGGGACAAAATCGCCAGGCTGGCTACGCCACTGATTGCTCTAAATTATGATAACGCAATCTTGCTCTAAGGAACTTCTCAGACCTTTTTTGCAAAAAGGATTTTGGCAACTCCACACAAACACAATAGACCTAACCAAAAAAGAGCGAGAGGCTTGTGGCGAGGTACACGATAGTTTTAGTCTGGTTTTCTTTTTGTGAATTTAAAAATCATGTGCATTTTAACTTTTTCGCTGGACTTGTCGCAAAGTACAAGATATCGAAGTTTCTTTCAATCAAAATTCGGAGAAATAAATTGTTTTGAAATTTGGGCAGTAGAACATACATATACCCGGTATTGTTGCTAACTGGCCATGATGTAGATATAAACGAAAGTTAACCACATACCAGGCGCTCCTCCGACGTACAAACGATTCCTTTCGTTCGTAATTCCCAGTCCATCTTTCTTTTGCTTCGAACGCATATTGTTATCGACTTGAAGCGTGACCATCGAGTTGACTTTGGAGACGATGATTTTATGCCACTTTCCGTCGCACAATGTCGCGCCATCGCTTGGTTTCCAGGCTGTTTCTATGACACCATCGCCATTTTGAATTCTAACAACAACCTGAGAAATATTAAGCTAATGAGTACGATGAATTGTGTTTCACACACTCTTGGGAAAATTTGCGCTAAATTATGCAACGTTCACTTAAGCAAACTTTCATTTCACTCTATGCATCTGATTTCTAAAGCCTGGTTTCCATTTAGTTGTAATTGTCGTGAACATGTCATTTTCACCGATGAGAAATTGTGGGGATGTAAGTTCGTCTTCATTCCTGTATTCAAATCTGTCATTGTTGACTGCACACGTATAGAAATATTCTATCACATCAGCCACCTTGACATGTTCACGACACTCACGACTAAATGGAAACCAGGCATTATGCGCGCTATTGATCATATACAAGCAATCTATCAGCTGTGCGACTAAATGCTCAAGCCTGCGACAGGATATGTTTTTAGATGTATGCTTTTCTCCAATCTATTACAGCACCTAAAAGAAACTAACGTATAAGGAAAATGTTGACACATTTACTCAATATTTGAAGCCCAAATCGATTGTGATTGCCAATTTTTTCCTGGCTCCCACATTTGTGGGAACCTCCAACATACTCCATAAAAATACTGTTCAAAGTAATAATTTATATATTTGTCTGTTCACAAAATCAATGTTTTGTTTTTAATTGTAGGAACATCACTCACGAAAAGAAGGCCGAAATTGTATCTGCTTATAGCGAGAATTGACATAACTAAATGACATATACCTGCATGCACAATCTACGAATAATTTCTTATACGTGTTTATTTATAAAATTTATACTTACACTTCCTTTGTTAAGCTCCAAGACAACAAAATCGCCAAAATATGGAAAAAACGGATTTACAAAAGCAAAGAGGAGGCCAGTGGAGGATGTGGGTTTGATATTCATCGTAAACATGATTTTTCGACCAACAAAGAAATCTTCCGCTGGAATAAGAAAATACATGTTTGGTATACCATATTTTCCCAATTGAGCTACCAGGGGCTTCCTGATTCCAGATCGGTGGATCAAACACGATAATCGCACATGTGTTATCATCATGAATAATCGTACATGTGTTATTATCGCTTGTCAAAATGGCGGATTCGTCAATAAAACACTGCATATTATAAAATAAAATGGATTAAGAAGCTCGACTTTAAAAGGTTTTCTTAAACCTTTAGATTTGAACTTTTGTTCTGAACACTTGACACAGACTTTCCAACAAGCGCAGAGATAAGTTTCTGCTGTGCTCTTCAGGCTAAGAAACCTACCTAAAGTAATGTAACTATTAACACCACCAAAGTGTACGCTTTTCTCTTTTTGTTCTTCACAACAATTTGTCATGAACTTTTCGAAATAAGGTTTGCTTGGAAATCTTTCGCCATCGTGCCAAGTAAGCTTGCGGAAACATGCCGAGATCGGAAGGGCTGCTTTCTTCTGAAACTACAGCATTTGTTATAAAGAAACAAACAAAACTATATATTATGACTATTCACGCAATTCATATTCACACAGGGGCTGTTTTTATGAGAGACGGGACCGGATGTTTGCCTGGATGCGACGATGCTCGGGACAGTATGTATGTATTTCTATAATATTCCAGCCTCGTTCCCAGGCTCTTGGATGTTTTCGCGGATACAGCACTGAGCGCGCGGGGGCTGTATCCGCGAAAATTTCCAAGAGCCTGGGAATGAGGCTGATAATATTCATTGCATTCTCTTTAAATGAAACCGCGGGACGAACTTTCATCCTGTCCTGCATACGCGGGATCCCTGGTTCGACAAGTGGGATTCAGTTTTAAACGGGATGTTTTTTGCCATGTAAATATGCCCTTCCCGGCTGACCGGGGACCGATATTTATGCGGACTTGCAATATTCAGTCTCGGAAACTGCCGAAAGACGCCGGAAGCTTGTTTTGATAACTTTCTCGTTTAGCAATGTGGCAGATTACATGTCGTGCAGCCCATATTGTTCACACTAGTGTTTGACCCATATCTCAAAACTGAATCTGATGTGACAATATTGTTCGTTGATAATAACAACTCTGAACAATGTAGGCAGCACAACACAACATTTTTCAACGCTGTTTTTTTCACTATTGAAACAACTTCATCGTACCTTACTTGATAACGGACCATATCCCCTCTTAAAAAAAGAAAAAAAGTAAGAAAATTGACATAACCTAAGGTAACGCGACGCAACGTAACGCAAGGTAACATAACATTGATCAGTGGAATAATCTACATAATTATTTATTTAGTAGCCTTGTGGAAATTTTGTCATGTCCGAGTGACGTCAGCACGTATGATTCGACATTTTTTCGTGCACGGTATTACGTCATACCGTGTAATAAACAAGCTTGTTATATGGGTGCTATGTATTTTAAATGTGATTCGTTCATTCGTAGTCAACCGACTTTAGATAAATGCAACAAGTGAAAAATTGCCTGCATATTATCATAACAAAGTGTTTTTTGTAATGAAATTGTCGTGTAACATCACTAACATGTATGTTTTTGTTCCTATATAACAAAACACTTAATGTTCGCTACACCTCGGGAAATAGTGAGTTTCGTTTTCCCTCGAGTCTCAATGTTTCCCTCGACTTCGTCTCGGGAAACATTCAGACTCTTGGGAAAACAAAACTCACTATTTCCCTCGGGAGCATACATTAAGTGTATATTATCCCGCGTTTGACGTCATACAAATAGCGACGACATCTCAAGGGAGCGGCAATGTGAAATCGACATAAATTCGAGCGAACAAAGTTATAATGTTCATTCTTTTCAATAAATAATAAAACACTGTTTTCACATGCGTGATAAGAAGAAATATAAAGCCTCAATTTGTCGCTATTAGCTTCAGCTTTTGGCTTCTGTTTAACGACAAACCTCTGCTTGATAATAAAATAACATGAATATAACGTGTGTTCTGATTGGTCGAAGCCCGTGTTTGGATCAGGCCATCCAAATACATAAACAATTAAGTAATTTATATACCATGTTCGACTCATGTAATAATTGTTAAATATTTCAATTGATACGCGATTTCTTATACAGTACAAGGAATGAATTATGAAAAATGCTTACAATTGTCCATCTTTGCACTCTGGTAAAGTATCCCCCGAAATACAAATAGTTCATTCCATTGATAACACTAAGACCATTTTCTAACGCACTTCGTCTCCTAACGACTTCGTCATCGACTTTGAGAAGCGCATCGCGATTTTCTCGATAAACGGTCACCTAAAAATCATTGCTTTTCAGACACAGTGCCATCTCGAGAAGAACAAGGAGCTTAATATATTATTCGAAATATTATCGTATATCATCGATCCTAAGATATTAGTGCAATAATAAAATTTGAAGACAACGTTCAAATTAAGGGAGGGAAAACGTTTACTAAACCGAATATGCACAAAAATATATACGATACTTTTCTCCATTTTCCATCGTTGACGACATTTCGAGTTGAAAGATAAATATTCCCACTTCCAGTATTGAATGCAAAATAAACTTTTCCGTAGCGTAAAAAGCAAGATATGAAATCACGTTGAAAATAGTCCGCCGAGAAAAACAGAATACCATTGCTTGCAAATGTCCTGAATTCAAAAGAGACTCCTCCCCTATTGAGTGAATAAAAAGGCGAGCGGTTAAAGAACTTCTTGATGCAAGTTCCATCATTGACAGAAATGCGGATAAATTTTCACAAACAAGAACGGAAGTAGTGAACAACCGGTTCTCGTGCATGGTCGCCGTTGATAGAACCTTACTGAATTGTGTGGTGTTTTCATATTCATGTTATTCCCGATTGACTTTTTTGATAGGGGTTATTTTTACGCTTATTTGAACAAGAACATACAAGTATACACCCGATCATTTTTATTTATAGGGAGAGACCATATATATAGCTATATATAGTGATATTGAAGTGAAAACGTTTAGGAAACCACGTTGCATTTCGGGAAAAACTAGTTATGTGTTTTGGACATCATGCACAGAAAGTAAATGTGGATACATTTTCATCGTTGAGGACAAAAAAGCAGAGAACAGAGTTGATTCTGCTCCATCTGTCCACAAATTTTACCAACAGAGCCCGTGATGCTTAATATTTACATATATTTAAATAGCTGTAAATCGACGTTATTAAACTATTTTGAGCCTCCTTTATTAAATGTATGCATAGGCAACACGCGATCACTTCTTTCAGTTTATATAAAGTAAGGAAAACAACTGTCGTAACACTTACTTTCTATCAAAACCTTTTTTTATTTTGTATTGAGCGTAACCCTTTCCAGTGAAGGCCATACCATCGTGAGAACATTCGACTTGCTGTGAACAATGCTGTGAAAGGTAATGTGAAATGTAAAAAATATTACATATACAATTATCAGCCAGTGGCGTCACCACAGGGTGGACCACCCCATTTTCCAACGGGTCCTTTTTGATTTTCTTCAAATCCGTGGAGAAAATTGTTGGGGGGTTGGTGTACGGGAGTTCGGGTGTGCGGTAACCCCATACACCCGCGCTTTACTCTACATTTTTCACTTTACATATTACAGTATCATTGATTTATTGGCATTATACACTCTACAGCATGTAAGAGGCATCATTTCAATGTTCAAATATGGTCGTGTCTGTAAATGTTACGCCTCTGGAAAGGCTGTTTCCGACGATCTAGAGGTCCATATTTTAAAATTTCTTGATTGCGCGCCTCGTGCCCACCCCACTCTATCAGGTCCGGCAACGCCACTGCTATCAGGCCATTGCTGCCGCACAAGCCCACCGCACACGAGAGGTAAAAGCCCGTCCCACACTAGAGGTATAAGCCCGCCGCACACTAGAGGTATCTATCTGCTGGTGTGCTGAGCTAAACGACCCTTGTGAACATTAGCAATTACTCGCAATTCAAACAATAGATCAATAGTTCTTTGTTTTCTTTTGATATTATCAATAATCACACAAGCGACAAATAAATTAATACTAGATAACCTTTCAAAGTTCAAATTAATGGTAACCCCTTGTCGTATCACCGGAACAGCAAACAACAAACTATGGCTGAACTTGAAGGAATCAGTCGTCTAATTTTGTGACACACCCTGTAGAGAAATGAATACTTACTGCTGCTAATGGCATGGTAGTTTGTATTGTTGGTGTAGTAATTTGCGTTGTAGTAACTGTGGTAGTCGCGGCCTCTGTTGTCTCTGGCATTCCTGAACCAGACGTGTCAAAGTCAAAGATTTCAGTGCTCAGCGAACTAGCTGTAACCCCCTGTGAAAATTTGACAGCGTTATTTATGGAGGTCTAAAAAAAGCCGCAACAGCAAAAAAATATTTTTCGAAACTGCGCACGGTAGCGCTTTCTGGCGTTTTCATTTTCGTTTTCAATGCAAACACAGTTTAAAACACCCTTAAATTACAATAGAATTTTAAGCTAATTTAACATATATTCAGCATATTTTTCGTTGGATCGTGGGGACAGGGCGTCAAAACCATAAACTAGACAAAAACGATTTTGAAAACGCTAGAAACGACGCTCGTTCGCTGACAGACCTATTGACGTTGTTGGCATTGCCATTTGTTTTGTTATCAGTGGTAGTCGCAGGCTCCGTTATCTCAGGCTCGGCGGGTTTGGTTTCTGGGGTGGTTTGAATTTTTGTAGCTTCAGGTGTTCCTAACATATATGTTGTTGAAAGTTGAAGCTATTACAGTGGCTGGTTTCTGGCGTTCAAATTCCAAAAAATCAAAGCTTAATTTCAAATGGGATGCGATTGCAAGATACGCTGCATACTAAAAACTCCTGATAAATTATGCACGTCAACAGCAACTCATTAACACATGCTAAGTTGGACCTTTCAACAGTAATTATAAAATCCCAAGAGAGTCACATTTCGATCGAGCAATTGTTTGATATCACTTCCAGAGATTTTTCAGGTTCAAGGTCACGATTAGGTCAAGTTTGCAGGTAAATATTTTGTTTGTGTAAGGATTTTTAACTGCTAATGACAAAATCGATGCCACGATGAACGTTGGTTAAGAGGATCTGGCAGGTCTGCGAAACAAGACGTTAAGGGCTGTTAACATGATCCGTTTAGCCGAGATTCAACGAAGCGTGGAATTACTTTTGAGGCATTAAAGAATAAGTATAAAACAAGATGCTGAGTGTAGTCATCCTTAATATATAAATCACAAACACTTAATTCAATACCTCAAAATCATCTCATGTTTCTTACCGGCTAAGCTCTGCAGTCTGCATGCACACGTCAAATTTCTTTGCTTCGATCTTAGTCATCTTACAAAGTTTTGACTGAACGTAGTATCTGTGCATTTCAGCATTTGCCAACGATTATTACAACGACAATGGCGGGTATAAATCGTAATACGTATTCGATCATACTTACGCTTGACGGCTTTAGCAAATACCCTATCATTTATAAGGAGGATTCAATGTAATGCAGCCAGTTTAATATTCAGGCAATATTTTCCAAGATATGTATACGAGAATGCTGTACATGTAAATGTACAAAATAATAGGAATCCTGGCTCTTTTCCAAGTTTATGATATACATGAGACACAGTTAATATAACTGTGGACACATTTGACGGTTACCGAGCAAACTTAAATTCGCATTCTTTAGTCAACTACGAGCCGTTTGTTTTTAGTACAATTTGTCCATGATAATTTAAGCATGAAATGTGAACTTATATAGCTGTAGAAAACTAGTAGATATATTTTTAAATGTATGTTACATTGGCTGTTTGCGTTGGTGTAATGGTGTTTCCCAGCGCAGATCAGTCTTAAGGTTTATATAATTTAAAATCGCTTTCAAAGACTTCCAATTTTAGCCAAAACTTTTTGATACCAGTTGTTGGAAAGGAATATTCCAGTCTATAAACTCTCACCAAACCCACATAGCTTTACATCACAACAAACTCTGACAATTAAAACGCGAACAATACTATTATACAGCCCCCGTCGTTTCACAAAGACAGTGCTTACCGTAGATATATTTTGGCCTCTAGTGACAGTCATCATAGCCACGAAAACCAATAAAAGAAAACTCAAAGACATAATCCTGCTGCGACCCATCTTGAAGAATCCGCTCGAGATTTGCATATACGACCAACTGACCAAGTCCCGTTAAAGAAAATGACAATAACACAATACACGCCGAATTTAATGCAGAACATTTGGTTGCATGTGGTGTTATATTACCGGTATTTCTGATCGGTGGTATATTTAGCAAAGTGTATGGAATATTCAGCGAAGCCACTCGGCTTTACGACAGTCAAATCGCCAAAATAATGACGAAAAAACATGTTCGACGTGTTTATTTGCCAATGGCCGGTTGTGTAAACCTCTTGTAGGCCTTTTCAACTTCAAATTTTCGCACCGTGACCACAGCTAGCGAGATACAGGTCATTAACCTTCATTATTCTCTTAACTATTGTCTTAATAGTCAACAGCAAGGGGCTGTTTATTATGATACCGTTTAGCCGAGATTTGCGTAAAATGAATTTGAACATGAAATGAGTATACAGTTATTACAGGGTGTTCAAAGGCTGGTTTTCATATAACATGATTCGTCATAATTCTTCGTAATTCACATGACATTAATTCGACACATGAATCATCTCACGTGGTGTTCAATGTCAGGTAAACGAGTTTTAAAAATACTGTTAACACTTAACAAGCCCTTGGGGGCCTAAGGAAAATTTCTTCCTAGCGGATGGAGTAAGAGAACATTTTGATTCTGGGATGGTGTAAAGACGTCATTCGACTGAATCGCGCGTGGGAGAGCGGTCTTTTTTAAGGGTGATGGATTTCCATTCAGTGCAAAATGTCGTGCGATCGACTTTTTGCGATCGCTTTCTTTTGAAATACAAATTTTGAAAATTATCGTCCGGACAGAAGTCTCTTTTATCCACATGTTCAAAGGATCATATCGAACTAACGTGCATGTCGTCATAATTTTTGCAATAACGGAAGTATAATAACAGAAGTCTTACATGAAGTCTTTCTAGAGCTGGTTCATAAAAATGATAAAATAAAAATGGCGATGAATGATGATACATTTATACATTTATAAATGTACAAGAAAGTGTAAATGTCTGTATAGGAGTGATCATATACTTATGTAATAGTATCTCTGGCTTTACCTTAATTACGGTTAGGGTTAGGATTATTGAAAATTTTATGACGTCATGTACGTTAGTTCGATATGATCTAACGCCGACCTGTTCAAAGCCGGTTTTCCACTACGGGAAATTTTTCGACCAAACGAATTTTTTCGTCCGATATTCTTTTCAATTGTGAGAATTCGACCGTAGCGGATAGGCTAACCTGTTACAATTGAAAAGAAAATCGAGCGAAAAATTTCGTCCGATCGAAAAATTTCGACTAGTGTAAAACCACCTCTAACTAAAACACCATACTGCTTAGTTCGCATGCAAACCACTGATACAAACTGATATTGTTGCACCATTTTGTTTATTTTGGCAAAATCCTCAGTTAGCTAACTGTTCCTTTCTCGACCAATCAGCGTCCAGTAATTTTAGCATGCTAATAATAAATTTCATTAAACAACGAATACTAGAAATGCAAAAAGACTTTTATTGCTTCATAAGTTTACTTCAACACTAATGCATGGTCAATGACCGCACTTTTATTTCTAGCTTATTTCTAACGGGGTTGAATGGGACAACCAAACATGGATATATCACCAAACTTTGAGACAGGATTCGTCAAATCAACCACTGACGACTGCTTAATTCTGAAATTTCGCATACATCCTTGGAAAGACGTCCTCACTTCCAGGCCATAAAACTTCAGGTTTTCTAAAAGAAAAGAACCCTCTTTATTGAAAGTGGAAGTCAAATCCGTATGTAAACAAATGGTTCGTTTACATTTAGAACTTCTATACGTTTTGAAGTACGTTGTCGTTGTGCTGTCTGAATATTTATATAGGTTCGCTATGCCTTTAAATGAATATGAACTAGTGTTTTTGATGAGAAAAACTGCAAACTGCGAAATTTGGGTAAAATTAATATCTGAGGACCTCAGATTCTTATGAGCAAAGCCGATGCGCAGAAGGGACTTGACTCCACTTTAACTTTGTATTCAAACTTCACGAAATTTTGCGATCAAAAAATTTACGTATACATGCATGAATAATTTTGAACATCTCGTATTCATTTATAGCTAATCAATAGACCCTTTCAATAATTACGTCACAACGTTACCGTTTTAAATTTAAACCGCCTTAAGGTGGTTCTAAATTTAAAACGGTAATGTTGTGACGTAATTATCGAAAGGGTCTATTGTAAACCAACGCCGCAGAAATTGGTGTTTGTGCTCACAACTGCGCATGAGTACACACAAGGTTATTATTAATTCAGATGATTCATTTTTGGCGTGTGCAAGCTTCAAATCTCTTGTGCAAGACATATTTTGTGTAGTATCTATAAATCTTTTTTCTTACCAAGTTTAAAGCTTAACGCCTGTATTCTAAAAGCTCACTCACACTCAAACTCATTGAGTGGGAGATCTTTATCTTCTCATAACGTTTCAATGGCGGTATTTCCAGCCGAAAAGAGGCTTGATTTTTAATTATTTACCTTATATCTTTCCATCTATTGAAAGAAAACTTTCTCATTGACCAGCATTAACAAAATTTATATGCCACACTGAATGAGTGTAAGTGTGAGTGAGCTTTTTGAATACAGGCGTAAGTATTGAGAACTGCCTCCGAATCTTACCAATTTCCGCGGTGTTGTTTAAACCGGGCATCAGAATTTGCATTTTAAAAATTGCAACTTTTGATCACCGAAATATTGACAGTGTAAACCTGACATAACCGATTATAAATCAACACAAAAACAGTCAATGAAAGTACATACCAGGCACTCCTCCAATGTACAGAGGAAGCTTGCCGTTGGTCACAGTCTTTTTGCCCTTCTGTTCCGTTACTGGTGAGTGGCTATCAACTTGCAAGGTAACCATTGCGTCGGCTTTGGAAACGACAATTTTATGCCAGTTATTGTCACATAATGGTGTTTCACTTGTTGGTTGCCAGACTGCCGTCATGACACCGTCGCCATTTTGGACCCTGACCACAACCTGAACGATGTTTTTGAGTAACGATTAGTTAACACGATTTGATTACAGGCGCCAGTTGTTCGAACGGTGGATCATGCATTTATCTATTATTGAACAACTGAGCTGAAATATTTCCATACAAATAGTTTAATTTTCAATGGAAGTACATATTTAATACATAAGATGCAGGTTTAGTCATTCACAAGATCTATCAGAGTATTTTTAAACCTTGGCTTATCCACCAAACGTCCTTGGCTTTAAGCCAAACGTCTTTTGAGCAACCGGCCCCAGAGCTTTAAGATGCCCATCTTAAATGACCTGGGGCCGGTTGTTCAAAATCCGGGGTTATCATAACCTGCATGTGTTAAATTAAATCTTTTCATCCCGGCAATGGCCTACGATTATATACCGAAATAATTATAAATATTTTTATAATAATATGATAATTGTAAATATTTCCCTTAGTCAGTAGGTTTTAGAAACTTGTTAACGTCTTAATCGTCTATATTATTTTTGGTTGTAAATATACAGGGTGTCTCAAAAAAAGCGAAAACTATTGAAATCACTCATTGTTAAAATTTGAATGACGTGTTCACGAATTTTAGCCCGTGGGGATTTAATGCATCTTATAAAATGCTAAATACGAAAAATTGAAATTGTGAATACGTTTAAATTTGAATGAGCCTTGTTATTGCTTCGAAAGAAAATGGTACAGCTGACTGCGGAACGGGTGTTTATTGTGATATCACCCCAACATCACCCCAACAGAGTGCTTAGGCATGCATTTCAAAGTCTAAAAATTACGTTATTATGGGTGATTCAATATAGTTTTCATTTTTTTGAGACACCCTGTAGTGTAGTTCTTGCTTTTTACATATGAATTAAATATTTGTAAACATATTCTATTTCACAATTTGTGCAAGAATATGTGTTAATTATTATTATTATTATTATTATCAATAATTTTTTTTATCGCTTCTTTACAAAGTTTTTTCATCTTTTTTCATAAATACTTTCTGGACCGATAGAAGTCATATTTTCTGAAGTTTTAAAACGAACTTTGCTTCAGAAGCATATAAACACTTGATTAAAATTTAACCCAGGGTTAACGCTAACCTAAGTTTAAACAATTGGCCCATGTTGTTACTTGCCCTAAATGCAAATTAAATTTATGAGGTATATAGTTTAAAAACGATCTTACCTTTCCTTCAACGAGTTCTAAGATCACAAAATCTCCGCCGGTGGGAGTTTTCGGATTTACAATGGCGAAGATCAAACCAGTCATGGCTCGTGGCTTGATATCCAGACTAATTACCTTGGAACGACCAACATAGAAACCGCTCACTAAAAAGCATGAAAACAAAAAATGCGTGTGAGAAAGACAATTATATTATGTATCACGTTGTGCAAAACAAGTTTGCATATATTCAAAAATTATAAGCGACTCAATGGCAACTTTAGTAGCGGTGGAAGCAAATTGTAACAATTCACATTTTGACATATTTCATTGGTGGATTTGAGTTACAAAATATGCTTTCAATAGATCGGTTCAAGTACTTTGAAACTTAAAATTATGCCACAGTAATGCTGGATTTTGACTGAAAAGACTCTATTTTAACGATTTTAACAGGATTTTAACATTGGTGTGATACTCGAAAGGATTTCACCGAACAAACGTTAAATTTGATGAATTCACAAAACGCAAAAGCGCTCAAAAGAAGACTGTGGAAAATTATGCAGAAGGGTCAGGGGCTGGGTTAGACGCGGTTATTTATTCCGCGCGTGAAACATAACGAAAATAAATACATAAAATACATTTACTCACCTGCTAGCAGATAACTGTTAACACCTTGGAAATACACGCTCTTTTCTCTCTGTTCCTGGGAACATTTGCTCACAAACACTTCCTTGAATGGTTTGTCAGGGAATTTCGTGCCACTCTCCCACTCAAGTGCGCGGAAACAAGCCGAGATTGCCACACGAGATTTTGCCTTTTAAGAAAAAATATCTTGTTTTCAGGACCGGCATAAACTATTACGTACTCGATCATTACCAGAAATTTGCGACATGATAATTTGCATGTATACTAATTTGCATTTAACTTTCAGCATAATGGCCTTCAACTTTTACTATAAAATACATGGAGTAAATATACAAAACTTAAAAATGCCGTTGCCTTAGACCTTGCCTACTGTTTGCCGACCTCTAGATCGGTAGAGCAGCTGTTTAGAAACGTTTCGGTGACCAATTTTTTTAGCTTCGGCATTTCTGCAATCTGCCAAATTTAAAAATATATTGCTCAAAGTTTTATCCGTGTTCTGTCAACGAACTTATAAGATCGCTCACATTGATTCGAATATCTCGATTCAGGTAGTTGATAAATTGACGTGTAATATACCAAAAAAAATTGTTAAAGATATTGTCTTTTGTTTTTGCGTATAAACTTTTCTGTACGGCTCGGATTTTCACTGCAATCACTTTAAAAAATATTATCAGTCTGATCAGGAACTTGAACAATACGAAGGCTATATACACATTTGTTCACAATCAGTTGGCCGAACGTAGAAATACCTAAGGTAAGTAATTCGATCATTAAAACGTTGGGAAACGGCTGTTCTATTGACCCAGAGGTCGGCAAACAGTAGGCACGGTCTACGGCAACGGCATTTTTAGGTTTTGTATATTTACTATATGTATTTTATAGTAAAAGTTGAAGGCCATTATGCTGAAAGTTAAATGCAAATTAGTATAAATGCAAATTATCATGTCGCAAATTTCTGGTAATGAGTTTATTCTCTTCGGCCACTAGTTGATAAATAAATTTATGAATTATTAAAAATAATCATTAAGAATAGATATTTCCGAATGCAACACCTTATTTATTTGGCGTTTAATCAATATGCCGCAGAAATTGGTGTTTACGAAGTTTCAACCCGAAAATCTAATCACTAGTTCACAATGTGCATTTCTGTATCGCTAACAAAGAGAAAACTATTGGATAACTTTAAAACGCTCAATTTTTCTTCTGAAATACGCATTCTGCAATCTTTTGACAGCTCATCATACTCTTCCGATAAAGCTATGAAATAGCCATTTTGAGGCTGAAAGTATACACAAGGTTATTAATATAACCAAGGAGCAGCGTGGCAGCGTCTTCAAACAACTTAGCATTAACTGTTGTATAACAACTGCCTAAACAGAAAAAAACCACTTCTCAACACCGAGTTAGTGTGAAAATTATTTAATGAACTATGAAAAACATTTTCATACTAACTCTCCTGACGAAGGCCCTCAGGTCGAAACGTCGAGAAGTGTTTTGTCTATTTCAGGCAGTTGTTATGCCACATTTGATGCTAACAAGATTATTGATTTAGACAATTCGTATATGCCGTGTGCAAGCTTCAAATCTTTTGTGCAAGACATATTTTGTTGAGTTGATTTATAATTTTTTTTCTCGCCAGGTTTGAAGCCTAACGCCTGTATTCAAAAAGCTCACTCACACTCATACTCATCGAGTGTGACATATAAATTTCGTTAATGCTGATCAATGAGAAAGTTCTCTCTGAATAGATGGAAAGATATAAGGTAAATCACTGAAAATCAAGCCCCTGTTCGGCCGAAAATACCGCCATTGAAACGTTATGAGAAGATTAAGATCTCCCACTCAATGAGTTTGAGTGTGAGTGAGCTTTTAGAATACAGACGTAAGTATTGAGAAGTATTACCAATTTTCGTGGTGTGGGTTTAATCACACAAAGCAATTGCGAGTATATAGCCTACTTACATTCATTTTTGCTTTCGTGACATTTTGGTGGTAGCCACCAAAATATAAGAAAGGAATTCCATTAACAACGGTTGGGCCTGGCCTGCCTTTGCCAACAGCTTTCACACCGTCGACCTCAAGTTCCGCGTCGACTTTGTCACGGAAAATGGTGACCTGCAAAATAAAATTTAAAAAAATGTAAGAATTTATAATTAAAATATTAGACACTAGTAGCGTTGATGCAGTTTGGTGAGCCAAGTAAGACACGGATTGAGTTCAATCAGGGCGATATTGTTGGGGCTGCTGCATGGGAGAGATCATCTTCACGAAACACGCACAAACTATAAATGTTTGTCAAGCTGAGTGCTCGAAATTTATGAATATCTCGATACAATGAATACACCATTTTAATGAGTTCAGGTGTAATCCGGCCTAGTATTTTACAAGTTTCGTAGTATGCTCCACGCTCACATTGTGATATTTTTGATGTCAGAGAATTGAAAATTTAATGTATTAGGAAGGCCGTAGCGAAAGAGGGGGCAAAATCTGACGGCAAAATTCGGATATATTCTGAGCTGTCGGTGAATAAAGATAGCGTACACTGGGATTGCTAGAGACGATAAATGACAGCACCCAACAGTGGTTCAACACTGCAATAAACCACGTAAATTTTGTCGGAAAATCTAGACTTGCACTACAGCCCCAAAGTACGATGTGCTTATAAACGCCCCGTGTATTCGCAATACCTTCTTCCACGTTCCATCGTTTACAGTATTGTCTGTTGAAAGGAAAAGATCCCCAGATCCGGTGTTGAATCCGAAGTTAACTTTTCCATCTTGCAAGAAGCAAGATATGAAATCATTTTGAGGCTTGTCCGCAGAGTAAAACAAAATGCCATTGCTTTCGAATGTCCTGAATTCAAATGAGAGTCCTCCCCTAAAAGAAACAAAGCTTACTTATTCCGTTTCTCTCGTTAGGGTAGTGTCGCAGCTTCTCGCAAGAATGAATTTCATTGGCTGAGCTTTACAATACATTTCTGTTTCAACCAATAGCATAGCTTCGTTCTTTAGAAAGCATAGAAAAACATTATCCAATTGGACGAAAGCTTCCGAGAGCTGCGACATGTCCCTCTCGTTAACCAGTAGCTCTATTACTCAGATATTGCATTGGACCAATTCCGAATTCAACAAAATTTCACAAAATGTCCTGAACTTGCATTCAAGACTTAGAACCCGAGGAATCCATCGTGATGGTTCACAGTTGGTTCATTCAATGTTATCAAACCACAGAGCAACGAAACGTTTTTATAAATTTAGCTCTCTTCCTCTTCAAAATAAAATACGGTTCGCCACCCCCTGTTAAACCAAACATTCAAGCATTCACCATAATTTGGTATGTCGATTAAAAATGCAATCCTTAGCAAAATAAAATAGTTTACGATAACAATGTTTGAACAGCTTCAGTAACAACTGATGATTGAAGTGAGAGCATTGCCTACATTTTCAGGAACGTTTGGGCCCCCAACTAACTAATAGAGATTGGGTGTGAATGTTTAATAAACTGAAGGTAAACTTACTTCTTACCAAATCCTTTTTCAGTTACCCTGTACTGAGCATAACCTCTTCCAGTTACAGCAATGGCATCAGTATATTCAAAGTTTGGTGAACATCCCTGGAAAAGTGGAAAAATTATTCATTCGGGCCAATATAAACAAGCTGGCATTTTAAAAGTCCTGACTTTTTACAAATTTTATTTAAACCAATGGAGAATATATTATCAATACCACAAAAGTGACAAATTGATTGATTGCAGCACACCTTTTCAAATTCAAATCACTGTAAAGCCTGCGGACACCAGAGCTATGTGCTTGGCAAAAAGTCATTCGTGGCCATTAGCCTAAGCCAGTTGCTCTGGTGTGCCGCCGACTTTCGTCATTCGTGCCACAATGAGTTGGATGCTGAGACCATATTAGATTTTACTTTCGTATACTACGCATGCTCTGTTAAGACAATCCGTAGGCAGATAGCTTTCATTTTGCCGCACACAGTGAGATTTCGGCGCGCGAGGCAGAAATTATCAAACATGCTAGATATTTGCTGTAAGTACGAATGACCAAAGCTGCCGGAAAGGTCGCCCGCACACGAGAGCGACTGGCTTATGCCAATGGCCACGAATGACTTTTTGCCAAGCACAAAGCTTTAATGTGCGCCGGCCTTAATCCACTGTCGAAATTAGCAACAAAACAATGCAATATGGTTGAACTTGAAGCAGTCTACTTTTGTAATACATCCTGTAAACAATTAAATACTCACTGATGGATCGACTTGAGCTGGTGTTGTCGAGGGTGCTGCTGAAGTGGTGGTTGAGGGAATCATCGTGGTTGTCTCAGGGGTAGTGGGTGTTGTAGAGGGTTCTTTCGTTGGTGTTGTTTTCGTGGTAGTTGGTGCTTTTGTCGTGGTAGTTGGTGCTTTTTTCGTGGTAGTTGGTGTTTTTTTCGCGGTAGTTGGTGCTTTTTTCGTGGTAGTTGGTGCTTTTGTCGTGGTTGTTGGTGCTTTTTTCGTGGTATTTGGGGCTGTTTTCGTGGTAGTTGGTTTTGTTTTTTTGGTAGTTTGTGTCGTTTGTTTGGTAGTTGGTGTTGTTTGCTTGGTCGTTTGTTTGAGAGTAGCAGCAGCTGTGGTAATATCACTCGTAGTCGCAGCCTTCGTTGTCTCTGGCTCGGCAGGTTTGGTAGTGTCCGAGGTGGTCTGGGCTTCTGTGGTTAGTGGTGTTCCTGACCCAGAAATCATGGGCTCTGTTGTGGGGGCCATTACAGTTGTACTTGGGATTTCAATGCTGGGAGCTTGCGTGGGAGCTTGAGTGGAAACTGATATTTAAAAACAGGAAAAAAGTATTATTATTCTGAAAATTGATTACACAAATTGCTTAACATTGCAAAGGCCTGTTCACACGGTCCAATTTCGCCAGATCCATTAGACCCTTTTGATAATCACGTCACAACATTATCGTATTAAATTTAAAACCACCTTATATGAGATTCATTTCAAGTTTTGCTCTCACAAGCTATGTGCAAAGATGCAAAACGTCGTTCTTAAACACATGAAAAAAATGTTCATCTTGAGAAATATACGCCATAACCCGTTGTTTTGCCGCTCATATACATTGAAGTAGCAATTAAGCGTAGTTCCCAGTAATGGTAATTGTCGTGGGCAAGCCATTTTCACCGAGGAGAGATGAACTGTCTGTCCGGTAGTAAATTTGTCTTTATTTCTGTAGTCAACTCGGTCATTGTTGACTGCACACAAATAGAAATATTCTATCGCATCAGCCATGGGACTTCATCACAATGAGATATGTAGATTACATATTTTTGTTCCTCTGAAACAATTTTAACCTTAAGGGCGTAGAGGACATTTCAAGTTTTAGGAAATTTGGCATGGGTAAAGAGTAACTAAGACGAAAGAGATAACATAACTAGATGTCTATTCGTTTCCTGGGTTAAAACTCATCATCCCTTTTGGAGTTTGGGTTAACAGTTTCGAAAGGACAAACTTTATGCAATAATTAGCTTTATATCTGAAAGACATAAAAAACATACCTTCAGGTAAAGGTTTGATAACATCTTTCACCTTTTCATAATAGGGGACTTCTCTTATTCCCAAACTAACATCACTCTTAGAACTGACATCAGCTAGATTAATCATACTAAAAACAAGAGAATCATGACGTTACATTACTTACATAGGATTCCTACGTTAAATCCATGCAGTTTCTCATGCACAAGTCCAAAATTTCGATATTTTCTCTTGTAGTTGCTATGTCTTGAACGCATTCGTTAATATGCTCCATGCAGACGTTATACATATTTCAATGTCCTTAAAGGGTCGAAATATTGCACGGGTCGATTGCATAAAAACCTAGATAACTTTTAACTGTATAGTTAAGGGCAGAATTGGCCAATTAAAAGTTTCTACTACGGGATTGACCCAAATGATACATAAACCTAAATCACCACCCTAACGCTAATACTTACCTCGCTTCGCCAGATTTTATTAGAACGGGATCCCTTATTTGACCTTTGAAGGATGGCGATTTTTTAACTAATTCGGATGTGCTCTTCTTCTTATCCTTCACGCCACCAAAACTAAGATTGAATCCTGCAAAATAGCGAATAAGCAAAGAGTATATTTAGAGGAAAAAAGATTACCCTACTTTGGGACAGTATTTTTTTCAGTTACCCAGCCAATTTCTCTTTAGCCAACCCTATTAAACCTTGCCTAACCCTACCCCTGCTTATTAACAATGGGTAGGGTCAGGGGCGTAGAGAGCATCCAAGATTGAGGGGGAGGATTAAACCAGATTCCAGGGGGCACTTTTGCATGGTTAATGAAAAGAGCAGCTAAAGATCATGGGACGTTTTATTGCGAAAGCTGCAAGCAAGGACACCACTAATGTGGTTCAACTTATGCTCTACAAAAAGTTGTTACTGTGTAAATAGCACGTGTAAGTGGGTGCACGTAGGAACCAAACAGGGCACCTTCGATTTTAAAATAGTATTTACAGCTACATCAGCTTCTCCAAAAAGGAATTTTTCATCACGAAAAGGGCACTTTTTTCCCACGCCCTGGGTAGTGTGCGTTATTCAAAATGGCTCAAATTCTTATGTTCTGAATTCTGAACATAAACTCCATTAAGTGTTGTGAAACATATTTTTTTTAAAAATACCTTTACTCAACGAAGCTAGTGCTTTGGCGGTCAGCTTTTTCGAGAATACAACTCTGTTGTCGACCAAAACTTCAAGACTTCCTTCTTTTATTCTCAGCGAAACTGTATGCCATTTATTATCGTTCAGTTTGCTGCCATCCACGCTGCGACGTCGTCGTGTTTCGTCCAAGTTACCAAACAACAGACCACCAAGATTACCATCGATCTTGATGTTGCCATTCTCGGTAGTGATAGAAACGAAGTCCCCGTCCTATTTAGGTAATGAAAGTAAAATATTACAATTTTTTCCAACGATTTGCAAGAGACATAAGCGAGGTTCAGATTTAAATTCCACTACCAAAACAAAAACAACAACAACAATCACTACCACAATCATTACTACAACCACAGCCACCAACTACCACAAACACTAAATCTACCACTAACTCTACAACTCCCACAACTTCTGCCACCACCACTGCCAATACCTCCACCACTAACACATCACTACTACCACCTCTCCTACTACCGCTACCATTATACCACTACCACTACAACTAAAACTACCACTTCTGTCACTAACTCTACAAATACCACACCACTACTACTACCTCTACCACCACCACTACCACTACCTCCATCACTAACACTACCACCACCTCTCCGACTACCTCTACCTCTATCACTACCACTATACCAGTACAACTACAACTACCACCCCTCCCACTACCTCTACAAATACCACGCCACTACCACTACCTCTACCACCACCACTATCTCCATCACTAACACTACCACCACCTATCCTACAACCTCTACCACTACAACTACCACCACCTCTCATACTACCTCTACCTCTACCTGCACCACTATCACTACCACCACCCCTCCCACTATCACTACCACCACCACCAGTACAACCACAATCACTACCACAACCTTTACAAGTACCAGTACCTTTGCCATCACCACAAACAGCCTCTTCAAAGAGATAATTGTAAGAAAAAGTGGGATAGAAAAGACGTTACGCTACCTTGCCTTCCATGTTCATAATAACACCATCTTCGGCTGTCTTAATCATTGAACTGATTTGGGAATCAGGGCTCAACTCTACAGACTGCGCTAGTTCAAGTGACGAATCACCACCTGAGAATTCGGCAGTTGATACCAATTCTCCACGACAACCACGCTCCACACCCAACGAGTCGAGCGCTTCGCGGAATCCGTTTGGTTCCATTATACACCCGATGAAGAATGGCGTTTTTATTCTATACATGAAATATAGTTGAGTTAATTTGGACACGTTGAAGACCTGACTCAATCGACTAACGGTGCTCAACAAATGTTTACTGTTTAAACCGAAGATGATACGGAAGAGAGACTAATCGAAAATGGACAGAACCACCACGAATTCTTGCGATCAACTATTCTTCCGTACTAAACCGTGCAAGACTCCAGTAACCAATTACGCACGTCAGGGGCGTAAAAAGATGTTAAGGATTGGGGGTCGTAGGAAATGTTTTAAAATTTGATTTCTCCAAATCTACTGAAATGGTCGTTTCTGAGCATAAGCGCGTGTGCTCCTGCAACCTATATATACCGATTTCTTTAAATATCATCACCCAAGCCTCCATATTCCGAGGAGAAAGGCTCACCCAACCCATTTCTCCCGGTTCCAACCCCTGGTGTAAAAAATGAGCAGTCCCTGGCATGAGAAAAGCCTCAATTGAAATATGATAAAAAGTAGGTAAAAATGTTTACTGGCGTTTGTGTTGTTATAAACACTCTTTTCCGACTTTGTGTTCAATTATGCTTATGAAATATACTAGTTCGTCGAAAGGCACCATGTAAAGCGATAGAATTTCAATTTTTTTTACAACGAACAATATAATTTGCAAATTCCATTGCAAGCTATCGTTTCAGTTCACACAGAGTTCAATGGGTAAAATATAAGACATTGAAAGACTTACATATTGTAATAGCGAGCTTCTCGACTAATGCCACCAAGGAATGCTGTATAGAAGCGGGCATAACCTTCGTAACTAATACCATCGGCGCTAAGTTCATTTCCCTCATCAACTTTAAGTGTAATCGTCCCTGTCTCGATTTTAAGGGTGACTTTATGTTTTGCGTTGTCGTCAAATCGTCCAGATGTGTACCTTGATACGACGTCATCGTGACGTATTTTGAACCTGCCACGAAATATATATAGCATGAGGGTAAATTAACGAATTCATTTTTAATTCATGAAACTAGGATAATTCTAGGAACTCGGGGCGGTTTTCCACTTGGCGAAATTCTCGATGAAATGACATTTTCCCCTTCTCTCCTTTTTCTTCTCATTCATTCCAGTGAATCTACTATGATTGATTTCTCCGTTTGAAAAGGAAACTAACCAAAATAAATTTTTATTCGTTTGAATCCCCCAAAATTCACACAGGCAATGTCACTCAAGCTTTCGGCAAAAAAATGTTGCATTACATCGAAACCTTTTGTTAAAAAGTTGTGGACCAATAAGAAGGAATCTCGTTTTCAACTAATTTCCGCAAATTTGTTTATGTTTTTCAGGCTAAGCCAATCAGACTGCCTAAATTTTTAATACTTCATGTAAAATAGCAAATAATGCCCTTTTTAATGGAATAGTCAATATTTGTACGTTCTGATCGGTTTACTAAAAACGTAAACAAACTTGCTGATTGGTTTTGTGGGCCCTAATTAGAAGATTTTGAGTTACAGTTGCAAGTGAGTAATTTGACGTAGCTCCATGTGAGTAATTCGACTTAAAACTCGGCAACCTCCACAAACCAGATTGTATTCGACCCTCCGAGCTTTATTAGAGATTACTGATCACATATTAAACCGTTTACATAGATAACAAGACCTCACCTGAACCCAATTGTACCATTTATCATTTCGAGGATCAGATACGATTTGCGCCGCTCATCGAGAGAGTAAAGCTCATTGAAATATATAACGCCGTCTGTTGCTGCTGTCCGTATATCCAATGTTACATCACTACCACTGATTGCCGGGGATATAGTCCAACCTTGATAATCATTTCCCCTGAATTGGAACCATTTATCGTCATCTGTAACTGCGCTAGGAGGTTTGGGTCGTAATCCCGTGGGAGCAATTGTAGTGTTGTAATTCTACAGGTTTAAATATTAAGAAATAATAAAAAATGTGGAATTATTGCAAAGAAAGATAATGCCTGAGGCGCTCCTCCCTTTGTAGGAGCAATTGTATTGTTATAATTCTAGAGGTTTAAACAAGGAATGATAAATAAGGAATGATTATTCAAACTTAAATCCATATTATCTCCGGGATTTAACAAAGGTTGAGATTCATATTTTTGCAATGTTTTGTTGATCAGCATATGTAATGCAAAGCCAGAAGAAGGACAGTAAAATTGCCCGAAATGTTGCAAACTTTTGTAAAATGGCAGAGATTATATGGATTAAGATTTGAATACAATGAAAAAAGGTGAAAGTTTTGAACTTGGAAAATTCACAAGTACGACCAGGACAGCACAGCTGAAAAGAGCGTCGCCTAGACTTGTAAAACGTGAAACAATAGAAAATTTGCCCTTTAGGCTGTTTTTAATTCGGCGGGAAAATGGTTTTACTGGTAAGAGTCCGCTGGAAATAGTAAATTGCCAAGTTGGCTGAGGAATGTTGTAGAGTACGGAAAATAAAAGAAAATATGTTAATTTCAGGTACTATGTTATGTTCAAAGGCAGATGAAACATTGAGAGGAAAAACTATCATACTAGTAGATGCTTCAATAAAATATAAACAGTCTTCAAAGAACAGCAACTTGTAAACTCAAAACTTGAGCTTTGAAACAGGAAAACAAGTTCGTTGTACTAGTTTTACGCCTGTATTCTAAAAGCTCACTCACACTCAAACTCATTGAGTGGGAGATCTTAATCTTCTTATAACGTTTCAATGGCGGTATTTCCAGCCGAACAGGGGCTTGATTTTCAATGATTTACCTTATATATTTCCATCTATTCAGAAAAAACTTTCTCATTGATCAGCATTAACGAAATTTATATGTCACACTCGATGAGTGTGAGTGTGAGTGAGCTTTTTGAATACAGGCGTTAGTCATTCTGAAAGCAGAGTAAACTGTTTCGCTGGCTTGAATGTATATCGTTCATTCTCGTTTCACAATCTCTTTTAAAAAGAGCAGGAATATAATTTGTAATTGCTGTTTTGGAATCTACCTTTTTAAAGAAATTGTTCTTCAGAGTGTGTTTTTTGTTAGCCGCAGCATGCTGTCATACAGAATACTTACTAAGGCGTCGTACAAGCCAACTTGGCGTCCATCAATGAAGAGTTTGTCGAAACCGCCGACTAAGGTCGTGGATTTAAGTTCATCAGGAATTTCAGGAAAACCTTCAGGCGGGGATCCAACGAAAAGATAAGAATCGTCGGCGTCCACGTTGAACTGAGAAGGTAAGCTTCCAGTTTCATTACCCGAGTCTCCCACAGACACCATCACATTAGGACCAGTCCTAGAAGCAAGAAATATTCCGTTAGTTGTGATAGAGTTAACGATGATTGGATGAATAAGGATGGTGAAAGATTACAGCGGCTTCTGCGCATCAGTTCTGCTCATAACATTGGAGGACTCTGTGAGTTAGAAATTGTTCAAATTTCGTATGTTTTGAATTTCCCATGAACATAAACTCAATCTCTTATTCATTTAAGAATACAGTTAACTGAAATGGTAATAAATATTCCGATAGGACAGGATGTTTTACACCGTAGATATAGCGTATTCAAAATGTAAACAAAGCCTTTGTTTACAATACCGATTGTAACCCATCGCTAAGTGGAGGGGGGGGGGGGCTAATATTCATATAATCACGTTGAGCATTATTAGCTGAAATAAAATGGGCAAACAAAAAATCGATTAGGCCTTTCCCGATTGTGCCAGTGAATAAATAATTAGTTTAATAGTCGAGATTTTATCTAATAATTAGTGCGCAATTAGCAGTATGGATCATGTATAAGCCTAAAAGTTGCTTCCTGTTACCCAAAAAAGCAAAAGTTGCTCCAGGTAGCTGGAAAACAGAACAGTTATTGAAATTTCAAAAAGTTGCTTAAAAGTTGCCGAGCACAATCGGGAAAGGCCTAAAATTGATCGAGAACTTAGACAGCAAGGTTAACCTACAGTCCTACACCGAACGCGATATTTTCGGAATGTTCAAAACCAATATTCCTCTGCGTGTGTCGAGAGGTAGCGAATCCAGTCAAAATTCACTATATATAGTCCAGTCGGCCATCGTTCGTAAGTGAACATGTCAAGGTGGCTGATGTGACTGTATATTTCTATGTGAGTGCAGCCAACAATGACCGACAGCAATGACCGATATTAAATACAGAAATAAAGACAAATTTACAAATGACTTTTTCACGACAATTATAATCTATAATCGATAATCTATTAATCTACAAGTTGATTTCAGGGCCAAAAGAACTGGTGATGAGAAAATTAAGCTTTGTTCTTACCGTTCAAACTGAACAGTTCTCCAGCCAATTGGATCTCTTGATGTATCGCCAGGCGTTACTGCTTCTACGGGTCTTTTTTTGACGTCCAAGTTTGTATCGACGGTTTGAACGTCTTTGGAATTACGGGATACAATCTTCAGATTTCCATCGTCAACTTCGAAAGCTAAGTATTCCTTCGCGTTCCCAAGGAACAACAACAGTGCATTGTCTTGATCCGTAGCGAGATTAAACGAGACGCTAGTCTGGCTGGAAGGACCATATGCTGCCCGGGGTATTCTCAGCTCTACCGAGGTGTTATTACTGTATTCGCCACGAGAACTTGGGTATGTACGAATCCTGTCGCGCCCGCGTTCGATATTGAAGCGGATACGTCTGATACGCTCGACGACTTCGGTCTCAATTTCATCCTCTGTCAGGCTCTGGTTAATTTTCACCCTATTAATTGTCTCGGATAGCTCTTGTATGAAACCGTCGTTTTGTTCTGTTAAATTTCTAATGCGATCGATCAACTCCAAAGCGTTCTCGTAACCTTCTTCTAAAGGTTCTATACCTGGGACCTAGAGATGAGAACATATATATTGATATATGTGATAGCGTGGATTGAAGGAGAATTATGATTAGATTTTTAATCCGAGGCAAGGGGATTAAGTGGTCTTGAATCACTCTAATCACCCTGGTGGAGTCAGACTATAAGCTTGAAATCTCACAGCTGATAAAGCCGGCCACACACAAGAGCCATCAGTTGAGCTGACGACCTGTTAGCTCAGCCCGAAAACCATCCACACACGAGAGAAACTTGCTGAGCTAACAGCCTCGCGAGGCCTTTTCTAGCTCAGCCAATACCAAATTCACGAATGATCTGCGCCAATTTGGGCGAACAGGATTCGTTAGAGAATGCTCAGTATTGATTTTTTAGGGTGTGGAATTTGATCCAATTTGAAACAAAGTTTATATATGGCACTCGAAAATGGACATCATTGATTTGAGTAAGGTTCAATTAGGCAATTGTATAATGTTAAATTTGAACTGTATAGCTCGGCTTTAAAGCAAGAAACACACTACATATTCATGAGATAATATATTATAAACTGATAAAACCAGATGAAACGAAATAACAACGTGTTTGACAAAAGTCACATGATCCAAAACTGATCTATATATATGAAACTGTATTACAGTTCCTTTTTCGTATTTAATAATCTTCAACATATAATACTTCGTCAAAAGCTTCACTTTCTTGTGAGCGCAAATTCTGCAGATATAATTATTGCAACGACGCTTAAAAATACTTCGTACCGTTATGGAGTCAACGACAGATTTCGCATCGTCAGAATCAGTTTTTGAAGTCTTCGCGTCTGTTTCCACTTTCTTCGTTCTGCCTCCTTGAGGAAGAAAAGCGTAGATCGTCAGAACCTCGGCGCCGCAAGGCGGAGGGAAGGAGAGGGGTGGGGCAGCTAACTCCCTGGAGGGAAATGACGGTCAAGGCTGTGGCAAGGATGGAATGCGAGGCTTTATATTTGCTACGGCAACTAAATTCGTTTTTATATTCATTTAAATAACAAAATGCAAAAGAAAAATTTTTAATAGCTATTTCTTACCATAGAATAAATTTTCCAGTTAAGCTGACTTAATAGCAAAACGCGATAGAAAGTAATGCAGTAGACACACGATGCTTACGCTTGTTTATAAAGTGCCAGGTGTAACAGGCAGAATAAAGATCGAACGTTTGATTATATAAAGTGATTGGTTACAAACACATCCCTAACTTGATGTGAAGTCGTTAAATTTAGGGAAAAAAGCTACTACTTCTTTGAGCGTGTTGTTTGCATTACAAAAACATACCTAACTTTGATGTTAAGTCGTCGAATTCAGGGAAGGGAGCTACTACTTCTTTCAACGTGTTGTTTGCATTACAAAAACATACCTAACTTTGATGTTAAGTCGTCGAATTCAGGGAAGGGAGCTACTACTTCTTTCAACGTGTTGTTTGCATTACAAAAACATACCTAACTTTGATGTTAAGTCGTCAAATTCAGGGAAAGGAGCTACTTCTTTGAGCGTGTTGCTTGCGTTACAAAAACATACCTAACTTTGATGTTAAGTCGTCGAATTCAGGGAAAGGAGCTACTACTTCTTTCAACGTGTTGTTTGCATTCCTGAAGTTATCGCGAATCTTCTTGATAAGATCTTCAAGTCTCTTCAACCAATTAGTCAACCCTGGAATTCTCTTCTTTTGATCCTCTGCGTCACCATCCAATATCACGCTGGTGTTTCTAGACTCTGTGGCTTTCGCACCAAGGCCTTTGCTCTAAAAGTAAAATAATTCAAAATCATTCAAAATTATGACTAAGAAACTAGGCTGTTAGCATTAATGTATTATCGCTATACAGAGTAACCTAAGAGTCAGAGTCTCTTCACGATTCTTTGCCTGGGGAGGGAGGGGGAGAGGGACTTTTGCTTAAGATATCTCATAAGTGAAAGAGGTCGTTCAAAAAGAATCATGGCAAAATTCCTTAAAGGGTTTTGACCAAATGGAGTGGTCCTTTTAAGAACAAAAAACTTACCTTTCGCAAAGCATCTTGACTATTCTTGTTCGCTTCTTTTGCTATCTTTAAAATTTCCTCAATAGCCTGGACGATATTATCATAGGCATTACTAGCCTCTAGTGCTTTTTGCGCATACTTATTCGGATCCTTCAAAAGGCTTTGCAAGAAATCTGACGTTTCTTTTAGGTAGTTAGCGTGAGCTGTCGCGTTGTTCACCAAAACCTCCAAAAAGGCATTATCTTTCTTCGTGTCGGAAATGCGTTTGTCGAATTCTTTCAAATACTTAACGAGGCTAGATGTGTTACCGGTGGTATTCTATAAACAAAAAAAAAAAAATTGCCTTCAAATTTGTTACGTTTGTGGGAATTGTTTCTATAAGAAAATTTCTAAAAAAATACAACAGATTGGTTCTCCTTTAGAAGTATTCATCTTCGTCAATACACTTAAACAATTCTTTAAATTCCATTCACTTACCGGATACTTGATATTTTTCAAAATATCTTTTGCTTCTTCCAAAACATTCAAGGCGTCTTTCAGTTTCAGATCAGCGACTTGCTTCTGCGACTTTGCCTTGAGAATTACCGCCTACAAAAAAGCCAGAGGTTTGAAGAAATGGTATAAATATTGCCATTTAATAGGTGGTAACGTACATTGCCGAAGATGAAGGTTGTTTACATTTTGGGCGAACTATAAGGATAAGATATGATGTATAATGATATACAAGGTGAACTATAAGGATAAGATATGATGTATCATGATATACAAGGCGAACTATAAGGATAAGATATGATGTATAATGATATACAAAGTGAACTATAAGGATAAGATATGATGTATAATGATATACAGGGTGTAACAAAAAAATTACACTCCTTTCAATCACACTTCTTTTAGAATTTCAATGCTTTATTACTATGCACGGGTGCATAATATTTCGGACATTGAATTTCAGGAAAAAGTGACACCCTGCAATTTTGATACAGTGTATATAAAGAGTTATACGGTTGTAGAATAATAACATCTGCTCTAGCTGGCTTTGCCTATTCTGGTAATTAAAAAGTCCTTTTAATGCTATTGAGCCGCTTGTAACTGAAGTCACAATTCTTAGTCTAGCTTCCGCCATTTTGGGTGGAAATGTAGTTATAACTATTTAAGGAAAGCAAATAGATTCACAGTCCCTAAACCCGGGTCCCCATTAAGTTCACTAATGAAGGTCCGGGTTAACGGATCGAATGTTCCGCACAAAACATGGCGTGGTATTTCTGCAAACCGTTATTCAACTATCAATTCACCATGCAAAATTTCAAGAATATTAATAAATGAATATCACTACTTACATCAGGTTGATATTTCAGCGCCTTCTTGTTGATTTCCTGAGCTATCCGACTATCAAGGACAGATGCGGAGGCTTTCTTTAGTTGATTTCGGAATATTGGTTCTAAACTTTTAAACTGGCCCTTGTTACTCAATACCTCTCCATGAAGCATCACACTTTCAAGGAGATAGAAACTGGACCACCTCTGTGCACTGAAGGATTCTCTAAGTTCCTCTTCCACCAACGCTCTGAGCTCAGAATAATTTCGGCCCTCAACAATCAATCTAATTTCATGGATCTTCTTCAAGATATTCACAGAATTTAAATTTCCATTTCGCATTTCTTGTAAAACCCGCTCGGCGTCAATCGTAGGTTCTGCAATGTAATAGCGTTGACTATTGTTACATTGAAGCCATCAGCACAGCACCCGTACCATGCAATCTTATATACCCATGCGCTGCCTTAATGTTCTGTGGCAATAAATTGAGTTTTGAAATAAACTTATATCGTAACAATGGGCTATTTTCTACGAGTTTTTTCCGTCCGAAACGCCTCTATTGCATGCGTATAACCGCTATTTGCTCGCATAGCGCTATTCAGCAAAGAGAAACCTATATTCTATAATATAAAAAGTCTTCTATATTGTTTTTTAAGTGTGATTCGTCAGGCAAAGATTGATTTTCGATTGTCAGTCACTTGAAGCGTGACAAATTAATGACGAATCACACTTACGCAGAAAAGAGAAAATAACAGAGTTGACTTTCTGATAGGTTTCTATTTCTATATGATAGGTTTCTAAATTGTTTACTATCATCTACTCACCCATACAAATTTTGGTTGGACGGCATTCAGACAGCTGACAGCAAATTGATCCAATGCTGCATTGTGAATCCTCAGTACAAGATTCTTCTGGTTGGCTTGGACAGAAACTGGTTGCAGCCGGACACCCTGAAATGGAAAGATTTAACTTTACATCTGCCCACCGTCAGCTTGGACCCGATAAGTCAGCTAGCGCCTTTGCGGCAAAGTTGAACCGTCCTCCCGCGGTTAAAAAGCCGTTTCACGTTTAGTTAATCTCGGCTAAGTGGTATCATGTAAACAGCCTTTATCATGCAAACTTGCAAGGCGCTCAGCCTGTCTAAAAGCTTTACCAAATTTCGAACCGTACCTTGAATCTCCTTTAGTAACTGCCTAAGCTTTTCTTCAATATCATAGGCATCTTCTTTCGTCTTCGTTGCGTTCTTCTTGACAACATCGCTCAGGTTATTCACATCGTTTGCTTTGTCAACAATATTCATACTCTCGTCAATCACATCTTTTGCATCGTTCTCCAGCGGTTTTCCCGCAGGCTTTGGAGTCGCTGTGGTATCTCTACGGTTATAAAAATATCGCCAGAAAGTTACTAGCAGCTTTTGCCAATGCCGATGGCAGAAACACCGATAAATAGAAATTTATTGTTTTCACAGTCGATGAACAACCAAATATTAGCATAGTCGGACATGGGACTAACGCCTATATTCAAAAAACTCACACTCACACTCATTGAATGTGACATCGAAATTTTGTTATTTCTGATCAATGTTAATTAAACATGGAAAGATTTAAGGTAAAGCACTGGAAATCAAGCACTTATTCGACTGAAAATACCTCCATGGAAATTTTATGAGAAGATTAAGATTTCCCAGTCAATGAATTTGGGTGAGTGAGTTTTTGGAATACAGACGTACATTGTCAGGCTGACAAGCTCACTCACTTAGAGTCTTTGTTGTATGAACAAATCAGGATACAAAAAGGGATAACACTTACCCACTGCCAATTATCATCTCACCCGAATCTATACAGAAAAACAAAACGAATTAAAATAGCTGCATGGTAAGGTAGGTCGTTTTACTACAGACAATAGCCTATTCTCAAAAAGTGGTAATAGTGTATAATAGTGTATAATATATAATTAATTCAATGTTTTATCGGAAATAAATAATTATGCAGTATGAGTGTAGCTATTTTAAAAAAGAAAACAAAAAAAATAAAAAAAGTTGGTGACCACCATTCCTGTCGTGTTATAGCGAAAATAATTAAAGAAACAATATGGCAGAAATTTAAGCCAGGATTTTAAGTAATTATCATTGCTTCTGATCTGATGTCAGTTAATAGGAATAGAACACAAGCGTTGGATACTTGTAAAATAAAATATTTAAGGTGGAAAAAAGGCTCAGGAGACGTGAAACCGTGAATGAATTCCAGGTTACAAACCAGTCAAGTTAAACAATGCAATGCGGGGAAATATTGAACTTTGCAAACTTAAAGAACGTTTTCGACTGCGACATAAAGCGCGAATGAAATTTAATAATATCATGTAACAAACCTTTGTCCTTGCCATCAGCCAGGTCAATAAGATTGCTAATACTTTTGTTGTAGTTGTCCACACGAACTGTGAGACTAAAAATGCAATTTCAACTACATTACACGAGATTTAACGAACCTTTTCAAAAGGTAAACTAAAAGACAAGGGAAACCTACGTCTAATTAGAATACTTTTAGAAACATATAAAATTATATTTGTTTTTGTCTATTACAGGCAGTTTCTACACCACATTTATTTGTAATGATAATAACTTCAACCTTCCAACTGTTTCACGCTAGCCTTTATATTTGTAAACTCTGAAATTACTCCAGTTTTACTGGCCAAAGGCCTTAAATTAAAACACTGAGATGTTTCAGCAAAACTCCCCTCACAAAAGAACCTAATGACTGTGTTGCAGACACGTGTGAAAACTATTTTTATGATAACATGTGTTTCATATCTGATCTCGTGTGAAATGCATGTTAAATTCTGTGAGATTTCGTGTGAAATGCATGTTAAATCGTGTGAGATTTCGTGTGAAATGCATGTTAAATCCTATGTGATCTCATGTGAAATGCATTTTAAATCCTGTTCCTTAACATACTTTTTGATGTCGATTTCAATTTTGTTCAGCCGCTTCCTCGATTCGTCAGTTGCAACGCCATCTCCGCCGCTTGTCGAGTAATTTCCGAGCATTCTGTCCACCCTTTTGAACAATCTCTCCTCACAAGGCCCACAGTATTCACACCCATCAGCTGTTCGTATATGATAAGGTGGGCAGATTTGACACGTTGGATCGTTGGCTTCGCAACATCTACCATCGTTTATATCACACACTTGGCCTGTGGGGCAGTTACACGCTGTAAGAAAAGTAAATTTGTTTTATCTTATCAATTCCAACAACCGCTGGTGGTTACCAGTGAACTCTTATTATTTATACACCTGGAGAGCGTGGTTTTCGATAAAATACTGCTAAAGGAAAAACAGAAGGGTTTGGAAAGTTTCCCTTGTGTATTTTAAATAGATGTTGAACCACATTTCAAGACAAGTTGCTTTTAGTCGACGAAAATTAGTCGGTGGAAGCATCTGTTCTCATTCTCACTTCTCTTCAGTCGGAAGTTGTTGTCAAACGGTATGGACAAGTTACTTGAATTATATGATCGTTTACCTTTGCATCCTTCCTCAGAATAACCGAAATATCCTTCCTTACATCTGTCACATTTTAATCCAGACACTCCAGGTTTACAGACGCACTGTCCTGTCGCGAGATCACAATCATCGTTCAGAGACGCTGCTGAACATCCACAATCCTGGCAGCCATTACACGAATTAAAGTCCCATTTGGAGGCCTTGAAACGAATAATGTTAAGCACTTATTGGATAGGGTTTTTGCTATATACGGATTGGGTTATTGCTCTATATATATTTTAAACAAAAACGGTGGCAAGGGAGACTATATATACAAAGAAAATAAAAGATAACGTGCACAAATGATGCCTTTACGAAAGTTTCTGTTGAAAATTCCCACTCTTGATTCTTTTTTTAAACTCAAGTAAATCATATTTTAATGCAGTTTGCCGTTGCTTTTTCAGTTGATTTTAATCGAAACATTTTATGCTGTTTGAAATGAATTATTCCAATGAATATCAGGATTGGTCAAAATAAATTCCCGCAGCACAATTTCAGATTCAAAGTACAGAAAATATTCTGATTTAAAACAAACTGCAATTAAACAAAGATTTTAAATACATGAAATATTTAATTTTCAAGGGCTCAAAATGTACGATTGAATCAGACGGTTGAAATACAAACCTGACAAGCGGTACAACGTTGTCCAGCTACACCAGTTTTACAAGAACACTCTCCTGTGACGTCATTGCATATACTGCTTGCTGACCCACATTCATCGCAGTCGCATCTGCGGCAGTTGTGTAGAAGTCCGTTACCATAGTAACCAGGTTGGCACTTCTCACAACGTTCACCGCCAGTGTTATTGACGCAACTAGAAATGTTGAATTTAATAAGAATTTCATTCGAAAATATTTGTCAATTAGTCGGCGCATTCACTTGTGTAACAACAATTTCCAAACTGGCACTAGTCGTCCAGTTCAGCTAAAAATTGGCTTCCAAGATAGAGGCGAAAGTTATCGTTTGAGTCCACACAGAGCTCATTGGCATCGACCCAAAAAATTGAAATTAATTAAAATGAATTAAATCCAACGATTAAAATAAATTGATTAATCCATGAATTAATTAAAATTGATTACCTACCGCAAACACTCCCCAGTACGACGATCACAATTCCCAGTTGCGGCCAAGTCAATGTTGTTATTACATTCGCAAGGTTTACAGCCAGTAGTTAATGGATCCCCATAATACCCATCAGCACACTCGTCGCAGAGCTTGCCCGTGTAACCCTCTCGACATGTGCAGTTGAACGAACCATCCAATTCCTGGAAACATGACGTGGCATAATTCTTCGAACTATTTGGACAAGGACATCTTTGGCATGCATCTGCTTCGCCAGTGGTTGGGTCGCCATAGAAACCTTCAACGCATTTATCACACTTGGGGCCTGGAAATAGTGAAACAAAGACAGAAAGTTAACGGCAGGGGGGACAACAAGCCACGCACGTGAACACGAAATGGGTATTTTTTCTCACGTCGCTTGTCGCATGCATACGAAACACTGATATAAACTCGTGAGCCGTGCCAGTTCATGCAAGCATTTCCATGTTTTAAATAAAGACTAGTTCATATTTGGCCAGTGTGTACGATTTTCATTTACGAGATCGCAAAACACACTGCCTAGCTAGCGATCCTTTCCAACGAGTAGATTTGTTTATTTTATGTGTTTAGCGTTCAATTTGACAATGCCATCTTTGTGTTTATCTTGAAAAACACTTTCTGCAAAGCTAGAATATACTGTAAATTGGTTAAAATAATAAATTCATCCCGCCAGGGATCGATCTTTTTATTTACGTTTGTTAAAATGTTTCAAACATAATCTTTGCTGGTTTCCGTCAAGTTAGATGATAGGAATGGATTTGGTTTCTTCAGATAATTCATAAATACCTGCTGTTTTATCCTGACATTCGTAACATTCCCCAGTTTGGGGATCGCATTTTGAAGAATGACCATTGCATTCACACGGTACGCAAGCCTCGCCTGATCTGTAGTAACCAGCGTTACAATTCTGCCAATCAATAAAAATTATTGAAATACGAGAGAGAACAAGAGAAATAAATATTCCTAGAGAAAAATGCACATGTTCATAACAAAATGTGCCATTTGAATATAGGGTATTTTGGGACACTCTTTGCAAATTTCCATTAGAGTATATTCAAGCGAATACCTTCCGTATTTGTGATGAAAATAAAGTACCTGGCAAGATAGTCCGGTGGTATTTTGAGGGCAGACACATTTTTCCACTTGAGAGACAACTAAGGGTTTCATAGTAGGTAATTGAAGGCTTAGAAGCTCATTTTCATCCGCCAAAACATGTAGAAGATCAACTTGAACTAACATTCTCATGAATTCGTCTCGAGATAAAGACGACCCATCGCTCTTCATCCAGTCAGTCTTAAAAAAAAAAGCATTATACCCATCAACCCATTTTGTATAGTGAAATGAAATCATTATAAGACGTATATAGTGCAGCCTTTGGCTTTAAATATTTTGGCTTTCTTCAATGACAGTCAGGGCCGTCGCTAGAAGCTTAATTGGGGAGGTGTATATTCATGTATTCATGCATGCAAGAAGGCATAAAAACAATGGCGTACAAAAGAAATAAGTCGGAATATGAATACCCCCAATTAAGCTTCTAACGACGACCCTGAACACTGAGAAGCGGATAAATGAGTAAATTTCGCGACAAGGATTAAATAGAATCTACATATGAAGTTAATATACGTACTGCAGTCAGGGAAATCTCCGATGGTCGTGAACCAAGTGTAGAAACAGAGTCTTTGTGGAATATACGTTCTCCGTTTGACTATATATAGGTGCAGAAAAAAGAAAAATATTAAGTTTTTTTTTAAATAAAAACTGCCGAATAGCAAAGTTTTTTTACACTGTAATAAATAAATGTCTCAAAATGGCTTTAGATGAAAATAATGCAATTTTTTGTTCTTTTTATCAAATGCGTACGATATTAATTGTTGTATCCCACGTTTGACGTCACACTGATGACGAAGACATAAACGTCCCAAAAGAGCGGGAATGTTAAATTGACATGAATTCGAGGGAACAAAGTCGTAATCTTAATTCTTTTAAATAGATAATAAAACAATTACTGAATTCGGTTTTCACATGATATGGAGAATTATCAAGCCTCGGTTTGTCGTTATGAACCTCAAGGTCCTCAGCCCTCGGCTTTGACAAACTTCGGCTTGATAATTCTTCATATCGTGTTCAACCTCTTTCAATAATCCCCGAGCGGGCGCGGAGCGCCTGCGAGGGTACTAATTCCGCTCGGAGATTAGGAATTACACCCGGAACCCGGTAGAACATAGCCGAATCCAAAGTTGTCCAAATTCTTTGTCATGGACGGTCGACGTTGGGTGGTTTTGTAAGTTATGCGCATGCGCGAGTAACGTCTGGTAATCAAAGAACGTTCTGATTGGCTAAGACAGAAAGTTTGTATTTCAATGCGAACGGCAGCAATTTATATTAACTGTCATTTCGTAAACATTTTTGTAAAAGCGTTTCATAAACTTTGTGCAAAGAAAGTAAAACGAGAAGAAACAAGATGTATGAAGCATGACAGTTAGCAGAGATGAACGTGGATACGGTCAAGACAAAGCCGTGTAAGAGGAATAATTCATAATCTGCAAACTTATAAATGTTTTCAAAGACAAAGGGTACGTGTTTACTTTGTTTATTTCGTATTTGTTTCGCGATAAGAATCAGCCGTATTTGTATACTTTTCGGCTTTGTATGCCGTTTATTAGTTAAATTTTGAGCTTTTTATGCTAACGCATAAACCTGTGAAAGGCTATTACACCTTTGCTTTAACTTCAAAAAGTGTTTTTGAAAGTGTAATTTGAATTTTGGTATCAAAAATACACACTATATTTATAAAGTATAAAACTTTTAGCCGCCGGCGTCGACTGCAATTACAGAATAAAATAACATTTGAAGTTTTTTCTTTGTCTGTGAAGATTTTGTACTGTTTTAATCGTTTGAAACTTCGATTTTAAACCGTTTCTTAATTGCTGGCATGGTATAATGCAGCAAAATTGAACGGGCAATATTTACACTAGCTTTATGATTATTTTTGTATTGAATGATGGAAACATTATAATATACTCGGTAAAATATAATAGGACTGATTTGAGTTTTGTGTCATTTCATAATATAAGTTTAGGTCAGGTTAACTCAGGAAATTGTGTACTTGGTTTGAAATAGCGAGGGGTTGCTGCATGCATGTATTTCTAGTTGTAAAGTATTACATCCTACCTCGATAATCGCCAAAGGAGCAGTGCGTGAAACATTCTTACCAAGCTGCAAAAGTAGGTTTCTACCGTGGGCGTTTGTCTGCAAATAGAATTATGAAACTAAGAAATCGTATGAAACATGCATGCGATCATCACAAACAAAATTATCGATACCATTTGTCAACACAATTTCAAAAGAGAAGAACTTCTGTTGTTTGCGTCTCTATTTCACTCTACAGTTTTCAAAAATGTCCCAATTGGAACAGTGGCGTAACAAGAACGATAATTCACACATTCATTTTTGCCCGACGGATCTCTTTTGTATTTAAATGTAATAGAAATCCGCAGTTACGTCCCTGAATGAGAAAACCTACAAAAAATCATTCCATCCTAATATATGACTGACTATGCAAAATTCTACCGTTCGCAAGCGCTGAAGCATACAGGCATAGATTCTGTATCTGGATCGGAGACACATTTCACCGTGTCTCAAGCTTGGTCTTTAGAATTTTAAAATCATTATATCCTTTGTTTTGAATAAAAATTCTACCAACATTTTACATGTTTATCAGAAAGACTTACCAAATCTCCAAATTCCAAAACCCAGTAGAATGCAGAATCAAGACTCTTCTGCAGTACCCAATCTGCGAGAATTACACCCGTGGAACTAGAACAAAAATATACTTACTAACAAATGCCGAAATAGCACATGCTTGCTTAGAAACAGCTAGTTAACGTTTAAAAAACAAAGGTAGCACTTCCTTGTTCGTATATGAACGTAGAAATTGACTAATAAAATTCTACATCCAGTGAAGTTACGTATTAGAATTATCAACTATTAAGATTGCAGCATAACGTTTTTATTACTTTCCTGGACAATATAGACCAGTGACACGATTACAGGGTTTCCATATCTTATTTGCATATGGCTGTCCTCATAGGGGGATGGCAATGACAAAAGAGAGAAACAAATAACTTGTGAAAAGGATGCATAAAATATTCGATTCAACCAGATCGCTCCCTCCCTTGTGGTTACCAATTGCAAGAAAATTTCCTTGAATTGTGGAAACCCTGGACGTTTAGCCAACCAGAGCACAGAACATAGAGCTAAAATGTGTCTGGAAAACTAAAATGTGTCGCATACAAGCCTGGTACCTGGTATGTTTTACACCAATTGTAATCCTTATAGAAATTAACTTACTATACTGCATCTGGGGAATCCACAGCATAACACTGGTTAGTTTGACCAGAGCACCAACACTCAAGACAGCCTTTGGGATTGTCGCCACTCAAATAGAAATATCCTAACTTACATAAGTCACATCTCCTTCCTGCAACATGTTCCTTAAAAACAAAATGCGAAACAGACGATTAGCGATTGAGATAAAAAAGCTCCCAAAATGCGCTTTTCCCGTCTACCTTTCAAACGCGCAATGCATGATGATGGATGATGAAGCCTGATTCTTACGGACAGTCGGCGATGGCTATTGCTGGTGATCACTGACGAGTGAAATGATTGTCTTTTTAAGAGATTACCTCAAATCTCACAGGCCACCAACAATGAATCGCCTACTGTCGGAGATTAATGGGAAACAGGGGAAAAACTTGGTCATCTCTAACAAGTTGTCACGACGAACAAGGAGGAATTACAAGAAACTTGGGTTATGGTACCAATGTTTTTAGAGTTCACTGGTTTGAGCCCTTTACACGATAAATATTTGCTAAAAGCAAGCAATAGCTACCCCTGTGGTTTCAAAGACTCCCCCTCACCTCACAGAGCACGTGAGTGGTTAACACAAGGTTTTGATAAACAACTTACTTTGCAAATACATCTTCCAGTTTCTGAATCACAGCCAGTGATACCATCCTCGTGACAATCGCATTTTCTACAGTCCGGATAACCATAGTACCCTGGTTTGCACTGGTCGCATCTTCGACCCGCTCTGTTAGGCTTACATGAACACTGACCTGACGTCATATCGCACGAATCGCCGGCATCAACAACGCCGGTAGCATCGCAGTCGCATTGCAAACAACCTTGAACCGGATCGTATCCAAACGTGCCTTTGATACACGTACAATCATCACCTGCTGTATTCGGAGGACACTCGCAAAGACCAGTTAAATGATCACAATTCTCACAATCACATTCTAAAAAGTTAAAACAAGTTTTGCAACTTTATGCGTGTATTCTAAAGTTCAATCACGCCTAAACTCTCGAGTGGGAGATCTCAATTTTCTCATAACGTTTCCACGGTAGCTATTAATATCTGTACCCGACCAAGGGTTTGATTTTCAGTGTTTCACCTTAAACCTTTCTTTCGATGAAGAAAGATTTTTTTCATTGATAATTTTTTTCACACTCAATTAGTGTGAGTTAAGTGATGAAAGCGCTTTTCGGATGAAAGCGTTAACCTCTCTCGGCGTGGTTTTAAAACCGTAATCCTGGATTAAGTTTTAACCAAGAAATGGTAGTTTAAGCAGGTTAACATCCTGGATTAATCCAAGTCAAACTACCCTTAAAATATTATTCCAGAGCAGAAGTATTTAGAAAAAAGTGAAATTTTTAGTGTAAAGAAATATATAGGAAAGGAATATTTTTAGAAATACTAGATATTATAACGTTATAGAAAGTAAAACCTTTTTAACAGAGAAAATTTCTAAAACATTTGTTCCGGCGTTGTAACAAGCCCTTCGTAATTTGAATTTGTACATTTGTGGTGGTAACTCTGACTCAAGAATTCATACGCTGTTTGATGGTCGGCCTTGATTTTACAAGACGGAATCGCCAAATACGAGCTGAATACTTACTTCTACAATTTGGAAATCCGTAGTACCCAGTTTTACATCGTGAGCAAGTTCGACCAATGATGTTCTCGAAGCAGGGACATTGTCCACCAAACACGTCACACGTGTCACTTCGCGACCCACGCGTGTCGCACTCGCAGGGAAAACTGCCGTTATTGTGGTAAGTTGTGAGCGAGAAGACGGATTGTGTGCAGAAGGATTTCGCATCTTTGGTTACGTGCAAGTCGTTTTTAGAGCAGTGTTCAACGAAGTCGTTTGTACGATCCACAGGCTCACCACTCACCAATACAGGCGAGTACGAATCTTTTGGTACAAACAAGATATAGTCCTACAGGAAAAACAATACAACTTAGGGGGCTCATCACATACCTGGAGTAAGAATGTACGTATACGTAGATATAAGAATATAACAAAAACTGCAGCAAACAATGTCAACACCCAAACCACTTTAGAAATATTCCAAAAGAGGCAACTTAGTATAAGTAACATTACTATGATATAAGGAGAGGAGATGAATATTTTTGGGGTTTTTAACATGACCCAGTTTGATACCTAAGTTTGAAAAGAAATCACAGCGGATCAAAATAAAACAATGTGTTATAACGGAGAACTTTACGCGTATTTTATTTAGGTATCATGCTTCTCCAGAAAATGCCTACAGGTGAATCGAAACGCTGAAATTAAATCTTCAAAATGTTCACTTTTTACGAAGTTTCTATTACTTTATATTTCATCAGTTGTCCTGGGGCGCTTTCCTTTATACGGAAAAAACGGTCAGACCAGACCTGTTGTATTTCGGTACAGACAGATCACTGGTATTTTAGAGTGTTTCAAGAACTCTGGACTCAAGTATATCGTTATTTACTTCTGCTTAGCACGGGAAATATAGTTTTATCGCTATATTCGTAACGAATTACTCTATTTCAATTTAAAATATGACCGGTCTGACCATTTTGGCCGCTTAATGAAAAGCGCCCCTAGCCCCATTTTTAGCCGTAAGTAATTTGATACTTACAATCCAGAGCTGGTTATCCTTTGGTAACTTAAAGTTTACAGCGACTCTATTTCCAAGCCTAAACGTATCTCCACCATCCAGTCGTTTCACGACAGCCCTACAGCCAGACGTGTTTGGACAATATTTGAAACTCGTTTTGCCGCGTCCAGTCGCCACGCTGCTCACGGTCGTGTCAGATTCGACTGTTGTGTGATAGGGTTGGTAATAATGAACAATTACTGCGTAGTCTCCAGTCGTAGGAACAAAACCTTCTTTGTCGAAGGAACCCTAAAAACGTATTTGAGAGAGTCCATAACATTTAGGTTACACAAAAAAGATAAGACCATCGTTAGATGAAGATTTAAAGATCGGTTCACACGATTCAAATTTTGTCTGATCCGATTCAATTCTGACAGATGTTTTTTAGTCTGTCGACTTAAAATGTATATGGGCAGCAAATTAACTAAAGGCAATGCAATACTGCTTTATCAATAACAAACTATATTCCATACGTCAGGAGTGAATTGGATCCGACAAAGATGGACCGTTGTGAACGGGTACAAGTTGACGTTGAAGAGCTCTAAAAGCTTTCTCGCTATTTAATTAATATACCTTTCCTTCCAAATAAACAAGAGAAGCCGAAGGGTCAAATATGTTGGGTGGTTTAATGGTGCTTTGCTCGTCTCCAGCCTCCACCATCACCGCATCTCCGGGCATGCCGTAGCTCGTGCGGGTGCAAACCTTCATGCGGGTCACGCACAGCTTGCTGGGAATGATGTAATCCGTTACCCAATCTTTATACGGAATGAGAATAAATGAATCCTAGACAAGACAGGTAGAGTGATTACAACCAAGTCCCAAATGAGTTCAATTGACCATTCCATGGCCACGAAAATTCATCATTACAGCTGGAAAGACCATCCAAAAACGGGTAATTTCAATGGTTTGGTTGCCAAACATTAGAAAGTTGCAAATTTTGTATAGATTACTCTTTTGCATATGCTAAGGAGCCTTACCACTTTTTAAAAAGTGTTGAGGCTCGTGCGGGTGCAAACCTTTATGCAAGTAACGCACAGCTTCCTCGGAACAATATAATCGTTCGAAGTAATAATTTACAAAATATCGCAAACTTCGCATAGCTATCATTCCACATTTTTTAACGTTGCACAACCAAAGTTTTTAATTATACTAATTCTGGGATGCTTTCTTCAGTCAAGGAAAACCCAGTATAAGGATGAATTTTCATCGTTCGACAGTTTAATACGGGATGATTCTCTCATCTTATGTAACATCGTCAAACAAGTTTGTTTTCATTCGAGAACTTGACGATATTGTGTCAGTGATTTCAAATAACTTGTGACAGAGAAACTTTAAGTACATACCACAGCGACATTCCCGCTAGGGCTGGTCAACGCTGTTAGGACATAATCAACGTTTGCTTTCATATCAATAGGTTGTACAGCGCCATGAACAGTCAGACCGACAGTGCGACAGCCAAACGTGTATTTGCATGATGGTAGGCGGAATCTGGCAAAGGATTGTTCACGTGCTCTCACGTACAAGTCCAAGAACTGCGTGCGGGGATGAGTCGTGAAATATTGAACCAGCACAACATATTTCCCTGATTCAGGCACTCTCGTCTTAACACTCATGCGACTCTGCAAAGAGAATGTATGAACATGTCTTCAACAAATATAATTCACTTAAATAAAGTAAAATATGGTAAAAACCCTTAACTATTATACGGTAAAAATGGCCAGATTGGTCCTGTTGTATTTCGGTACAGACAGAATACTGGTATTTTAGAGTGTTTCAAGAACTCTGCATTCAAGTATATCGTTATTTACATATTATTATAGTATATCGTTATTTACTTCGTAGCACAGGAATGCAGTATTCGTAACGAAATACTCTATTTCGTTTCAAAATATGACCGCTCTGACCATTTTGGCCGCCTAAAGGGATGCGCCCTAAGAACGGATGGGGTGGCTAATATTTGGTACTTTGGGGAGCCTATTTTCTTTGGAATCACGTTTTACTTCTACGATCACGTTTCTTAAGGCTACCTATCCTGCATGTTATAGTCGTGATGTCGTTGTTTATTTAATAAATATTTAATAAATAGACTACAACAACGACATCCTCTATTCACGTCCGACTGTTCGTCTTTGGCTTAGACATTGGAGGCGCGAGACCATGAATAAACATGGACATCATTTAAACATACCGTACCTGATTTTTGTCCAACAAGGCCAATGCAGAAAAATCGAGTTCCTTGAGTATCTTTTGATCTGAAAATACTTGTGTTGACTTTTCCTTCATGGCGACTCTGTCGTACGTATATCCCTCTTCAGCTTGGATCCTAACAAACCCAGGTTTGTTTAGTCCGACAAATGAATACTGGACACAGAGATCGTCGAGTTCATTTTCGCCGTTCACTTCACAAGCGCGAGTCACGGGCTCCGCGAGAACTGTCTCGCTACGTTTCTCTGAAATACCTTCAGTCTGATCGGGTCCGGGGTAGAAGACTGGCACTATTGAGACGTAATCCTGAACGACAAAGATTTCAATCAATGCATGAATGCCGGAGAGGGACAATTTCAAGCAGATTAGAACCGAAGCCAACACATGAAGTATTTTACCATGTGTAATACAAAATTTGCGAGTGTTTGAGTATATGTTCCTTATTTTATATCATCTCCCAGTCATATTTTGATGTTAAAATTCTCTTCCTCTCAGGTCGAAACGTCGGATCCTCAGGTCGAAATGTCGAGAAGTGTTTTGTCTATTTAGGCAGTTGTTACACCACATTTGATGCTAAGTTGTTTGAAGACGCTGCCACGCTGCTCCGTGGTTATATAAACCAATCAGGTTACACTGTGATATTTCGACAGTTTTGACAGGTTCCGCTTAATTGTCGAAATATTACAGTGTGACCTGATTGGTTTATAGTTTAACATTCAACGTTTCCGGTCAAACCCAAACGTTTGAAATGTACATAAACAAACGTGATAAAAACGTCACGGTTAACGGTGGCTTTCAAAATGAATTTTTAACATATATTTACAAACTTTGCACAACTTGCTGCAGTAATTATACACAATAACGTATCTCTGTATATAGACTTAGTAGCAAGTTGTGCAGTGTTTTTTTCGGTTCTGTCAACAAGATTGAACAATAGACCATAAGAGTCTCACTTGGATTTCAACCTGTGCATCTTTAATATCATACATACCAGCAACAATTTATGAGAGTCTGTTGTGAACTGGATGTCGTATTTACCATCCAACATGGCGAATTGTGTGGATGATCCGTTCTCGGCGACAACAACGAAGCCGCTGGTGACGTGTGAACCGTTCACAGTTGGTTTAAATGTGACTCGACTTCTTTGTGTGACGCCTTTGTTTCCACTTACATGACGTACAACCACTTCACCCGTTGCGTCTGATGTGTCGTTGAGCACGTAATGATACACAATGTGATAGTTTTCCGGCCATTTTGCATTCACTTGCGCGATTACGGATCGCTAAAGGGAAGAAATTCGTTAATTACTCAGTAACTTCTTCCCTTTTTGAACATCTAAAAAGAACTGCTTCAAAGTATTAGAACTATCCAGTTTAAGTTTCCTTCTGTAGTACAAGGCATCAAAGGGATTATCTTTACTCTAGGAAGAACGGTTCAGAACTGATAGAGCTATCCAGTATTGTATGTTAGTTAGTATTTATATGTTAGTTTAGTTTAGGTATCCTCCTGTAGTAACACTGGATCAATACGAGATGATCCTTACTGGACCTCCAGAAAGAACAGTTTGGAACTGATAGAGCTATCCGGTATAAATAAATATAGCTTAGTTTAGGTTTCCTCCGATAGTAACACTGGATTAATAAGAGATGATCCTTACTGGACATCGGGAAAGAACTGTCTAGAACAGATAGAGCTATCCAGTATAAATAAAGTTAGCTTACTTTAGCTTTACTGAATTTTTAGGAAGTCCAGTTTACAACTTTGTATGTACCTACTCTATGTACCTAGCATAAATAAGTAGTACCGTAGTAACGATTGATTAACAGAGAGAATCTCCATGCGAAGATGTCCCATACCTGGATTTTTGAAAAAACGCCATACCCTCTCCAAGAATAACCTGGAAACTCTTGCTCGCTGTATCTGAAACGTACTGACGTATTCTCCGGTGTTCGGCCATCTTCAATCTCAGACAGCAGTTGATACAAATTGGGATGGTAATATTTTGGAAAAGGCCTGTGGAGTAATTGAAAAAATAAGGCACTGTTGAAATACTTTCAAATCTAATGTAGTATAATAGAAAATCGATTTTACTTTGAAATGGGGCATTACCAAACTAAATTGATCGTTTCAACTTCAACAGAAAATTGGGACGGTCTCGGGCTCGAGATGGGTCTTGCGACACTTGATATGTACTTTCAAAATGTTTCTATACCATATCTGATGTACTAACAAGCCATTTTACCTGTCACAGGTTAGTCCTCCAACATTTGGACGGCATTTGCATTGCCCAGTAAACTTGCCACATATCTGACTGTATGATCCACCAACATCACAATTGCAACCTACATAAATATTAACAATTATAATAACATGCACATCTCTTTAAATTCCCCACGCCAAAGACTTGCATCATTCTCTAAAGCTACATATGTGCACACGGTAACATTTCCAAGCGTTGTTATTTACGTTCTTACACCAAAACGGTTGCATTTAGGATGGACGTTGGGGATAATTCAGTACATTGAGCACTTTACCTCTTTTTAGATCATGTGAACTGGGCGTCAAAACAATTAACAAGACAAAAACTATTTCAAAAACGCTCGGAAACGATGCTCGTGTGCACATAGGCTATAGCGACCATCTGGACGTCAAACTTTTTATGTGTCGAATCAAATGCAAAAAGGCTTTAGCTCATTAACATTAGGTTTGATGCACGGAAATTTTGAAATCAGAAACGGGCTATCTTTAGGTTTAATGCACAGAAATTTTGAAATCAGAAACGGGCTATAAAGCTCGTTCTCCACTAGGCAAATTTGTAGGTAACTTAAAGGCCAACACAGACCAGACGCGAAGCGGCAACGCGGCGCAAATTTTCTGTTTTCAGAAGCATATAAATTAAATTCTGGGATTAAAATTTGGAATCTATGGACGTTAGACCAATCAAAATTTATTATTTTAATGCAATCTACAAGAAAATTTTGATAAGTTGCTTTTGAAAAATATAAAACGTTCAAAATTCGCGTCGCGTTGCCAATTCGCGTCTTGTCTGTGTGGGCCTTAAGAAACATCATACTTTATCACGGCGATACTTAATCACATCATTGGATTTCAGATGTCGCTTCGCGTCGCGGGAATAAATTCGCCTAGTTTTACGTTATTATGAAAAACGTTTGTTACCTGAGCAACCAAATGCATTCGACTGCCTGAGTGCATAAAAACCATCTTTACATATTTCACATCTCTTGCTAGCCACACGTTCTTTACATAAACAGCGTCCAGTTTGTTCATCGCACACTTCAATACCACCAATCACACCAGCGACGTTGCAACGACATTCCTCGCAACCGTAGGGGTTGCTGGCTTGAAGGTTGAACGTCTTTGGCCTACATTCACTGCAGTCCTGACCTTGAACAAACCGCTTGCAGTCACATTGGCCCTGTGCACGAGAATTAGCCAACATTATTTTGTAATCAAGTTTACGAAGGTTCCTTCAGCACAACTCTACTTTGCTATCGACAGATAATGCGGTGGTAGGTTAACAACCTTTTAGTAACGATGTTGCTGTTAGTGTACTTAATTCTTTATAACAAGAAACATAACATCTTTCTCAGAATGGCAATGCAAAAAGTCTCCGTCAAGGACAAGTCTAACATGGTCACCTCTCTAATATGGTCTTGTCCCTAACTGAATGGCGACCACACTAATATATGGTCTCTTATCTGACTATCCATTTGATATGGTGCATTCACTTATATGGTTGCCTCTCCAATATTGTTATTGCTCTGATATTGTACACTTCCGTAGATTTTTACCTATTTTACCTATTACCTAGATTTTTAACGCCTCGTTTCCAAGGTATTGTTTTGTGCGCACTCAAACAAATTCAGGAAGTGTCTATCGGTACGACTACCTCGAAGGTTTCCTTTGCACAATCTAGTCATGCTTTTTTTTTCTTTTGCACCGTTGTATCCACTACATTCAATCACTCACAATATTAATCGTACCGTGCTCGCAGGCATTGATCACGAATCCGAGCAATATGAACGATGGGATTTTCATGTAAATAAAGAAATCTTTCATTCGTGCAATGGTAGGAATACTTTCATTCGCGAAAGATGGAATGTTTCATTCAACCGTCATAAAAATATTCTTACCATTTCACTCATAAACATAAAGTATTTGTTATTAGTATTATAATAAGCTTCAGATAATGTTCATCATAGAACGTACCGTATTTGAGGAGCTACAGTCTCCCAATGGTCGTCCAGGCAATGGTCGCACGCCAGCAGGATCACAGCCGCATTCCTGACAATCAGGGAAACCGTAAAAGCCAGGTTTGCAACGGTTACAAAATGTCCCAGAGAAGTTTTCTCTGCATTGACACTGGCCATCATTCGGATCACAACTATCGCCAAACGAGCCTTGTCTATCGCAAGCACACGGAAGGCATCTTGGGTAATCATAATATCCCACTGCACAACGCTGGCATTTGAAACCAGTGTACTGCGGCTTACAACTACAACGACCACTTCCATCACATTCAGGACCCGTTGAACCGGTGCCAAAGCACTGACAAGCTGGAGTGATGAATAAGACAGTGTAGATATTAGGGGCTGTTTACATGAGCGACTGATTGAAGAACGAATGCATGATTTGCTGCATGAAGAACGAGTTTCATTTTATCATTCTACTGTACATTAATCAGAGTAATGAATATTACCTTGGCAATTTGGATAACCGTAATATCCTATGGCACAAACATCACATCGAGTTCCATTGTATCCAGGTTTACAAATGCAAGCACTAGAATCTTTGTGGCACACTTCATCAGTCACACCATTAACATCACATGAACAAGCTAATAAAAATCACAGTACACACAATTTTTTACCCTATTCTTAGGTTCAGAGCTTGAGCAGGTTCTTGTCAGGGTCACTAGAAGCTAAATTGGGGGTAGGGGTGTTATTCATATATTCGTCACATGCCAGACTGATTTCTTTTTACGCTGCTGCTCCTATATTTAAAGGTGACTGGCGGAGCCAGCCAAGGTCTAAGAGGACGCCCCTGGTCTAAAAGGACGCCCTTGTCCTGAATATATTGTGAAAAACGTTTGAAAAGAATGCATAATATATCCTATCAAAAGAGATTCCTTCTTCCCTCGTGGTTATCATTTAGCAGGAAATTTCCTTCAATTTGGAAGCCCAGGAGATGCGTCTTACCTCGACATCTGGGGTATTCATAGTAGCCATCAGCGCACTGATCGCATCTTCGGCCTTTGAAGTTTGGTAAACAGGGACACTGACCATTACCAACCGCACATACGTCGGTGTAAGATCCACGTTCATCACAGTCGCATTCTGAAAGGTAGAGTTTAACGCGGTTTTCCACTAGGCAAAAATTTTTCGATCAAAGGAAATTTTTGGCTTGATTTTCTTTTCAATTGTGACAGGTTAAAGGATCCGCTAGGGTCGAATTCTCACAATTGAAAAGAATATCAGACGAAAAACTTCGTTTGATCAAAAAATTCCGCCTAGTGGAAAACCGGCTTTAAAACGTCCGCATTTAGTCACTCCTGCATCAAACTGCTCTAAAATCTATGTTTTTTTAACATCTCTGCTACGGATAATTATCGGTTTTCGGGCTTTTCCCATGGGCACAGTTTGAACCAATTTTCGTTTATTTGAACAAAAACCACGACCAGCCGACAATTTAGAGAAGGAAGGTAAAAAACAAATTCCGAATAGACCAGACATCTTGAGAAACAATATATGATTCAAACAAGACATCTATATTTTAAAGTCATGTTCTTACTAAAGTTATCTATTGTAAGACATCAACCTCCCTCCAAAATCCTGGGGCTCGTGCAAATTACCCTTTTTGTCCGTCTACCCACTCTTGGCTCGATATAGCTTCGGTTGGCCTGTTTAAGCAGTTGTTTTATGGGACATCTACTTGCAGTCTTATGAGCTGCTCACAAACAACTTACCAACACATTGTGGAAAGTTGTAGAATCCTCGTGCACACCGATCACATTTTGGCCCGGAGTAGTTGTCTTTGCAAGGACATTGGTCACCATTTGCCTCACATTGTCCATCTTTCGTGCCAGCAGCATTACATTGGCAAGCTGCGGAAACAAGGAAATGAACGTGATTTTTGATGCACAATACTCAAAGTTACATTAGGAATAAACGGCGGTGAAAGTGAGACATATTTCATTCTTTTTTAGGTTGTAAAAACCTTCGTCGTTTTATCGCATTGATCTTTTTTATCTATTTGCACGTAAAATAGAGAGTGTCTTAAGTAGATCGATAATGAAAGTACATTGTATTTATAATAATAGAAGGGTGCAATGTTTTAAGTAACTTACGTTTGCAATCCGGGAAGTCATAATAACCAGCACTACATCGATCGCATTTCTTCCCAGTATAGTTTGGTTTACATTTACACTGTCCATCGCCATTTTGGCATTCGCCGGTTGAAAACTTTTCATCGCAGTTACAGGCTGAAAAATAACAGAAACGAGAAGTAATAAACTTGTCTTCAGTCTCCAGTATTATTGAAGTACACGCAACTACTTACGGACACAAGCATTCTTGCTTGTCATAGGCACGCCGGTTGGATTATAGAACTTGTGTCTACAAAATTGGCAGTTATTTCCAAACGTGTTGTCCTGGCAATCAATACAAACTCCACCGCCACGGTATTCGCCATCAAGGTTGATACTTCTGTTGGCGGCTTCTACCAATTCGTTGTATTCACATTTGCTCGAATGTCCGAAGCAGTTACAAGCTTAAAAAATACGTTGAAATGTTAAACGAGTAAAGTTGTCCTGCAGTATTCGCATATTATAAATGAATGAAGTCAAATTAAGCCACGGCTTTTGTTAAAAAATTTACTTTGCTAAGTTTTCGTCGCAGGACGACGAAAGCTTAACTAAATACTTTTTTACAGTAGCCTTGGCCTCATTTTATCAACTTCTTCTACACATTGAAATATAATTAATAATTTGAAGAAAAGTCGGGCCCCCACTGCTAGAACTTCGACAACCGACAAAATCGACAAATTGCGAACAGTTCAACATCTTTAGTTTGACATAAAGCCCGTGTCAAACTTGGGTCAAGCGTATATCATCCCAAAACGTAAAGAAACTACATTGGCTTCAAGCGAATATACACATGTTAATCACCAGATATCGTTCCAGTCATATTAGAGTCCATCCTGTGCCCCTTCCAATCTGCAGTATGCGGTGCCCTGGGGACAATGCGCATGCGCTGACAAGACAACAAAATATCGCTCAGTACATTTGCATCATACACACTTACCTTCGCACCCTTCTCCACCGTCAAAACCTGATTTCCATTTATACTGATTGAACCCGGGGCAACATTCTGAGCAAGAGGGACCACAGGTATTCTTCTGACATACACAAGAAGTGCGTTCCTCGCTGGGACCATGGACACATCTATCTGAGTAACCATTACAGACGCACATACCACCAATTGTAATATCTTTGATTGAATAGAAATACTAGAATAATATAAAACATAAAATGATTATCACCACAAGAATTAGATGCATTGATTAATGGATCATTCCCCTATTTCCCCCCATTAAACTAAATTTAAAGCTAGGAATTTTCACCAGTACAGCTGGAAAGAACATAATGAGTTCACGGCAACCAGGTATATAATCCATCGTAATTATCGCTACACTGGTTTTAATAAATGATTACTTTCATTTCAATTTTTTTGGCGGAATATTGTAAAGTTACTTACCCTTCGTGTCACGGTTGGGTCACCTTTGGCTAGAGGCAAATATTCTCCATAGAGTGTCTTGGCTCGGAGAAGACGCAATCTCACGTTTGTAGCTTGCATCCAATCCTAATGAAATGAAACTGATGCATCAAACTAAATTTCCATTGTCTACAATCAAGTAAATGTCACAAAATAGCTCCCACCAACTACGCAAGAACCAGGGCCGTAATTAAAATCTTTATTGGGGGGTGCATATTCATACATATACCCAGCTGATTACTTTTGTACGCTATTGTTCCTATGATATGTAAACATGAATATATGAATGTCCGGGGGGGGGGTGTTGAACGGTTTCAAGCTACGGTCCTGGCAAGTACCTGTAACTAAAATTGTGGAGTCAATTGTGGTAGAGGATACAGAGGTGTCTTCAGAAGAATATTTTCTTTCAGTGATGCTAAACCAAAAACTATTTATACATACTAGTACCCACACCTTAGTGTAATGTCAAGTTTACCTGCAATTTTTGGGTGACTTGATTTCTCAATGCACTTGGTCTTCCATTCACTAAGGAGATGTACATCTCGCCATTTTCAAAAGGTGGTATTTGGGAGTATTTCGTTGTGCACATGACTTGATCATCTTCCACAAGTGGCAAGCGAGTGTTGATTTTGAACAAGTCGAGACATTCGAAACGTGATGGTGCAAAATAATACCAAGGTTTGTACGTCTGACCGAAATCTGTTGATCTTTCCAAAACCCATGTTCCTGGTCTGGGAGAGTTGGCTGTTTTGATAACAATGTAAACAACATGGAAAACCTAGGGACAAAATTATCGTTAATTATAATAGTTAATAATATATAACCAGGGAGCAGCATGGCTGCTTGATGCTAAGTTAAAAATATAATTATAGGATTTTATTTGATTTCGTCATATCTTCTCAAAGGGATGAATGGACGATTTGCGCATTAGACTTATTTTTGATCGAAGTAACAAGAAGAAAATAAATGATCATAGTGAGAAAGATCTTACTTAAATTAGTGCAAATGCAATGTTTGGCTGCGGAATTTTCTAAGATACGGAAAATACAGCAATGCGAAGTTATCAAATTTTGTATACTTTTGTATTACGTGCAGAAATGTCTATCTAAATTAGTTACACACTTCCGGCCGTAATACAAAATTTGATCACTTCGCATGGCTATATTTTCCGAAATTTACAACAATTGGGAGACAAACTTGGCAGTTTTAATAAGATCTTTCAGAAAATGTCCTTTTTATCGCCGGGGTAAGAAATTAATCTAAAGCGCAAGTCGTCCATGGCATGGGGCTCAAAAGGATTTGATTTGACAGGAATCAAAACTAGATGACCATAAAATCATCGAAACGTTATCAAGAAACTATAAATCATGGTCGAAGTTAAAGTGGATTTACAGCAGCTAAAATTGACGACCTTAGACAGGTTTCAATTTTTTTTTTTAGCATAAACTCATATTCACTTTTCACTGACTCATTCGATAGTAAACACACGAAAGATCTACATAACTACTTTTAATTCAGAATAGAGATTTTACAGTTAAGTTCTATTTTCCGTTTGAGACTATAGGGTGAACGAAAAATGATAACGCTTTAAATTTCAGGCTTTCATTTCCCTCTCCGGTTATATTGGTTGGCAGATAGAACGAAAAATATCTTCAAGTAAAATTGAGCCTTCGAGGTCAGGCACAATTTTTAGCCATAGCGGCATTGTATATGCACTCGTATACACCATCACGTTTTTGTGAACACATCACACATGCAGATGCAGTTGTTGAAAATTGCATTGATTATATAATTATTCCCCACACTTCAAGAAATATACTCAAAATGCTTAAGGGGACTAATACAGTGTTTTAACAATGCGTCATTTCAGCTTGATTTTTGTTACAAATAATTCAAAACGAAAAATTTCAACCGTGATCACTGATAGCAAAAACTTTGACATTTTAATTCGGCCTTAAGGCTATTGTCTCCAATGGTAACTGCTGTTATAGTTGATAGGTAAAAACCTCAATTCTAAACATTGGCAATGCTATTACAACGTACTAAGCTTGGCAGGGTTTTTTATCTATATTTGTAGAGCGCAGAACAACTTTCCCAAAACTGTCTTCCATAAACGAAAATGATGCGCTTTCCTATAAAAGGTTTAGCAATTTATGGGTTTGCCCCATTTGGCGCACCCAGCCAGGTTGGGATGTTTTCTTTAGGAAGCAAGTATCATCCATATATTTAGCACCGACATTCCATTGTGACCCCACCAGAATAAGGCAAAACTGCCTCTACAAAGCCACCTACAATACTCGCATTGTTTGATCAAATCTCCAAGTGCTATAACCAAAACACTAGCTGTGACAATTGTAAAATTTCAATGCTAATGATGCATAGTGAAAAAAACATTTATGAAACGATGAAATACAAGACACCATATATGACAGAATGTTGCCCCTCTTTGGCAACGTTCCTAAAATATTTCATACAGTTCAGATTTCAGCCGACAAAAAAGGGCAGATTTAAGAGTTGACGCGCTCTCAAAAATTTGTGCTTTCACATACAAAGTTTATACATCGCGTATTGAATATATAAAAACTCTAACGCGGTTTAAAAAAACATATTTTCGAAGTCTTTCTTGTACCCAGCATATTTACAGTATTTCAACTGTAAATTGACTCGAGGCGCTGTGTGTGCATTTGAGCAGTGAATAATATACAATTTTCCTTGTCTTTTATGCGTGGACACGCAAATCATCGCGCTAAGAGTTCAGCGAATTGTTAACATTAACATTGAAAACCGCAGATGAAACATGATTGTTCGTGATGGATTACATAACCCGCCGTGAGTACAGTGTGACCGCCAACGCAGGTTTTTGTATCAGCATTCAAGTATAAACGCGCGCAACAAAATATATTCGCGTAAAAGTAATTTGCGTTTAGGACGCAAGGGTGAAATAACACAGGATGTTGTTGTATTTGCCTATTTGAAAAACCGAGACGCTCTCTCCATAGAAAAATGATGCCGTATCCCGCGCTCAAATTATTTAACCTAGATTCTTTTAGCGCAAATGGTAATAGCCTGGCGCGCAATACCCCAGCATCAGTTACACCAGTTATTCGAAAAGAATTTGTATGAAACACTGAAAATGTAAAAATTATAGTATGGTGTAATACATTTAGAGAATGATCGAAATTAAACCTCATGCGCAGTAAACACGAATCTGTAGAAATGCCGGATAAACTTGACTTTAAATTATTGAACGCAGTTGTTTGTGAGTGCATAAACCTAACCGATTTTCAACTTATCCAACATTTAGACACAACCGCGTTCAGCGCTTAGGTGAACAGCCCGTTTAAGGAGCTTCACACAGCGGCACTATCAGAATAAACGGAATCACAATCGAGTATAATAAACAGCAACAACATACCTGACCCAAGTCAATCGTGATATTAATTTCATTGTACTGCAAACCTCTGGACAATGGAGGACTCTGCCACCATTTCTCTGAGCCATCAATAGCGTACTGAATACGATGATCCCTTGCTCTCACGTTGGGATTACACGTACTGCATTCTAAACCGTCTATACCAAATTTCCCAGGAACCGTCGCCAGTTTACAGTATAATTCTTCTGTTGTGCCCGGTGGTAGATCATATCCACAAGTTGCGCTCGCTCTGATCGTCTTGTGCTGCGCAATGTTTATCGTATCTTGTCTTAGTTGCGCCAGACTTGCTTGAAAGCACGCCAGAAGCGCGCAAAATGAAAGCGCAAATCTCATGTGCGCGAAACGCATTTTTGTCGAAAGCATGAACTTTGTAAACGCAAAGCTCATACACCCTTCTCTTTACAAGCGCTTGCTAATTTTGACAGCCCGGGTTGAATTTCGTTGTTGTCAAGTTGAAATGGGCGAGACTGACAATTCCGCTACGCATGACGTCCAGTCTTCTGATTGGTTCTTCGTCCCTAGCTACAAGATATCAGGTTTCGAGGCATCAACGTCGCGAATTTGATCGCGGATATGGGTATACAGGGAATACCAAGAAAGTTTACACGTTTTTGAGCGACGTACACGATTCGTTAGTGAATTCTTTTGAATGTGTAAATAGTTTGAGTCTAGCAAACGCATCAGGCAAAAAAATGTGTAGATAACGGCGCTTTTGTGAGTAAGAAAGGTGAGAAACCGCGGTCTTTTTCGAAGTCGTTTTGAAATAGGGTCGGGCACGGAAAAAGCGAATGAAGTGTAAATTGAAAGGGTTATGTTTCCTAATAGGCTATTCCTATTAACACGACACGTTGAGCCGACCACGGAAATGCAGATCCGAACACCGAAATTGTCACGTTTTAAAATTCGCATGATCTTAGTCGGCCTGCATGTAAAGACGGATGCATACTTCTTACGTTGCGTGCCAACAGCGAAAAATTTATTTGGAATAAAAAAAGAGGCAATAATTTTTTAAGGTTACTCCTATGGATTCACGAAGGCTATAGGCCCATTTCAAAATTGCCAAAAAAACATTTCCGAAGCCGATTTAGTCCCAATCCACTTCTATCGTTTTTTTCTCAGGGTTGACGATCACGTCATCACCGCAAAAAAACACATTAAAGTTGTCGACATTAAAGTTTAGCGCGTTGACATTACTGATGCGAGATAAAGTTTTTGCCTGATCATGAACATTGGCCGGAATAGATGCTTTAAATATAACGAAATATTCTCACAGTACACACGGTATTAGTACACATGGGGTCGGTACCTACCTACACGAGATTGACGATAGCAATAGTCCTGTAATTTTGTAGCCAGACCACGTAAGTATACTCACGTCAGTTACCTGGTGTAATTACTGCGTCGCGCACTGCGCGAACGCAGTCTTAAATTGCCGTCGGTGTTTTGTTTTGTTTTTTTTTTGTGTTTTTTACGTTTTCGACCCGGTCTACCTGGCCGCGCAGGCTAACTAAGATAGTCGTATTTTGAACTCGTTTGATTTCGTATCGAAATATTTTCGTGCTAAACACACTTCAAATAGTAATCTAAGCCTAGTAACCCCCACAAAAGAAATATTTTACTGAAACAAAAAATTGAAAAAGTTTGTTGTCGCCGGGATTCGAACTCGGGTCGTGCGAACCAAAAGCAGGAAACAGCATGCACGATACACGTCATATAAAATAACACGTACACGAGTCGCTGTGCATGGCCGATAGCGCAGGAAATCTAGACGTCTGTCGTTCGAGAAAATACGCACAGGTAATCATAATGCTGGGACTTGTCTTGTTTGATATGCTCACTCTGCATACACTAGCACACACTGATCATGGTAAACCTGCACTGAAACGGGTTTACAGACAACGATCACATGAATCATGAAAGCCTTGTATGCCATGAAAGCCTTGTATGCTATGAAAGCCTTGTATATACCATTCTATGCCATTTTTCAATCAAACCGCACTTTCCTTTAAAGGGTAAAAACGGCCAGACCGATCCTATTGAATTTCAGTACAAACTGATTCCCAGAGTACATTATTCCAAACTCAGCCTTATTCACGTATATCGTTAGCTACATATGCCTAGCACCTATAATGCAGTTTTACCCGTATATTCTGTACGAAGTGCTCTATTTACTAGAAAACCTAAGAAAGAAACATTTTTCTAAAGGAATAAATATTGACAGGAAATGGGGCACAGTTGCATGCAACGATTAGCGCGACGCAGTAGCCGCCAGAATAGGCGTCTTGTTTGGAATAAAAAAGGAGGCAATAATTTTTTAAGGTTACTCCTATGGATTCACGAAGGCTATAGGCCCATTTCAAAATTGCAAAAAAAAAACATTTTCGAAGCCGAAAGCCGCCCATTGCGAGATAAAGTTTTTGCCTGATCATGAACATTGGCCGGAATAGATGCTTTAAATATACCGAAATATTCTCACAGTACACTAACACACGGTATTAGTACACATGGAGTCGGTATCTACGCGAGATTGACGATAGCAATAGTCCTGTAATTTTCATGGTGATAAGTAAATTAGCTTGTAACTAGATCACGTAAGTATACTCACGTCAGTTACCTGGTGTAATTACAAGCTAATTTACTTGTAGAAATTGACTTTTAAAAGAATGAATCGATCATTATAGGTAGATATTTACTGTACACATGAACATCACAGTGAAACAAGATCAGTTATCCAAGAACAACGTAAATTACCAGCCTCGTACCCAGGCGCTTTAAGGAAAAAACATATAACGTTGCAAACCACCCAAACACCCCCGCGCGCTCACTTTTTTCCAGCTGACCTCTATAGAATAGCTGAATGCAACGTTACATATTTCACTACTAAAGCGCCTGGGTACGAGGCTGGTCAATTACATATCAACAACAAAGGCAATGGATCACGCTTCGACAATATGTTGATATGAACCAGTAAGGCTAGTGCCGGGTTGAAAATTTGAACCAACCCATCAGGTGAGGTAAAACTAAATTATAATTCATTACCATAACGATTATGTTAATATAATACATGAACAACGAATGATATCCGAAAGTAAACAAATTTAGGGTTTGAACCATTATATCATACATTTCTTACAATGTTCAAGTCTGTTTTTTCCAAAATGATGTTCTATTTCTTGGTTGGCGCAATGATTCCTTCAAGTTGGGTCTAAAACAGTAGAGTTAGTAAACGTAAAACACAACTCCTGACATTGGCATAGACATTTGATGCGGAAAATTTCGCCCAGGTTATACGTCGCATTTTGGTCGCGTCAAATGCAATTGAAACCATATATAATAAGCTTCACTATCGTCTTATTATAACGTTCGAATTGCATTCGACGCAACCAAAGTGTGACGTATAACCTAGGCAGGCCTTAAGCCTTTTTTCCACTAGGCGGCATTTTGCGCACGGAGCGGAATTTTTTTGTTCTTCTCACATTATAGTTCTGTATGAAAGCCTGCAGATAATGAAAAATTCCGCTCCGCGCGCAAAATTCCCCTAAGTGGAAAACAGCTCTTACGCCCTGGCTGTATATAGCTTTCGAACGGCTGAACATGTCTATTTGTGGACAAAATGTGTCTGTTGTGTACTCGTTGACTAGATCATAATTCATACCTTCAACTGCTGATTAGTCCGTTTCAGGAACTGAATTTCCTCAGCGTGTTTCTTTTCTTCAATGGTACGACGTTCAGCTTCGCGCTTTTCAATCGCATCGCACTTCGCTTTCAGCTCGTTCACTTGCCTTTCCAACTCTTTCTTGTCGTTGTCCAGCTCTTCAATCTAAGCATCACATATAATTTTTTTGGTATAAAGCACCATCATTTCATAACCGGGCCAGCCGTATATACATGCATGCATGGGTGACTGTTTGCAGCAAAAGGGCACTGAAAAAGATCTCATATGATTTCCCGCTTTGAAGTCAGTAATATTGAAATAAATTCTTGTTTTAATAATTCCCATAAAACTTTATGAAAACCAGCTCTCATTTTCGTAGATCTAGAAACTCCCAAAAGTTGGGCGTTTTTAGAATCTTTTCTGTTCCATTTTTGTTGGCTATAGAAGTAATATTTGATCATTTGATAGCAATGCCTCTTTTGGTATAAATTTCGTAGAAAAGTGAACTGATTTTCTAGAATATCGAACTAAATCCTATGTTTTATTCGATTTCTTTATATCCAGGTGATCTCAAATGGCCGAAAAGAACTCGCACAAATGAAGTAAAAATCTATTTCTCGGTTGAAACAACTTAAAGCGGAAGTTAGAGTTACGGTTCTCCGCATCGGTTACGCTCACAACAATGTGAAGACTCCTGGGGTCGGTTGTATCAAGCCCGTTTAGCTTAAACGGTGAATAAGTCAAAATTAAATAACACGCTTAAGCCTGGTTTTCATCACTCGCAGATAGTCGGCGATGCACGCCGATATCAAAATTACGACAGATGCCGAGCATCGTAATTGGTGAAAACCGCTCATCGTAATACATCTGCAACAATCTGCGACAGTCCCCGACGATCGTAGCAAAACAAAAAAAATTGTTTTGTTACGACGATCGGCGTTTGTCGCAGATCGGCTGCGACTGATAAAACCATGAAAACCGCATCTGCGGACCTCGGCGACAATCGTAAAATGCTAATCATCCTAATTTCGAACCTAGTGTTCCAATTTGCCCCGCCTTCTTGTCCAAAATGGCGGAACCTTCAGAAAATGTTTTTGACGACGATGTCAAATTTATGGAACTTGTACAAAAGTTTCCTACAGTTTATAATCGACGTTTGAAAGAATTTAAAGATAGAAATAAAAAGTCCAATTGCTGGAAAGCAATCGCAGAAAAAGTTGGTCAACCAATAGATCAGGTCAAGCGCAGGTATGAAACCATACGAACACAATTTGGAAAGTATTTGAAATCTAGAAAAGGAAGATCAGGATGTGGCAGTGGTGATATAATACCATTAGATCCAAAATATGAGCATTTGCGATGGCTGAGTAACTATATCGTAAACAGAGCAAGTTCAGGAAACTTCAGAGCTGTTACACCTGTGACACCTGTGACAATTGACGACACTTTTTCTGAGGATTCAAATGATGAAAGCACTGATCATCCTACACCGTCATCAGAGAAAGATGAGGAAGATGAAGATTACCTGAATATATTGAATCCTGATCATAAGACAATGGATCAGTCAGTTGCTGAAGCATCATCCAATGACAAGCCAGTAAAACCATGGATGAAAAAAGAAAGCAGAAAGAGACAGCTTGAGAAAACAGATGCCCAGCTGAATAAAGCAATGACTAATCTTAGTGAGACAATTACTTTGCACAAAAGGTCTGCAAAAGAAAAGAAGATGGATGAAGATGAGTATTATCTA